TTGTGTCTGATTCACCCAGCTGTTTTAACCTTCATCCGTAAGGTCGTCTGAAACCACCTCGACCAACAAAAAAAAACGAAACTTAGGTTAATTTTAACCTTGTAACTTTTTCTTTGCATCAATTTTGTTCTATTTCAACGTGTGTAGAGTTGTAAGAGACGGTTAACACATCCAGTCATTCACAAAATTCTTACTACAGATTCAAATTCACTTATTAATCTCCTGCACTTTAGGCCGTTTGATTAGTTTCACGTCGAGTTCTGATTGGCTCTTAAACTTATTTCCCCTTCTCCTGATTGCCTATTGTAACAATGACACTCATGGAGTAATAACTAAATTGTCCGGTTGAACTAATCTGCCAACCTTCACATTAGCTATGTAAAACAAAATGCGCTTGTTTTTCTAACAAGCACGTTTCTTGAGTTCACAAAAATTTTTGTAAGTTCTCCAATACGATCCACAAAGTTCACGGAATAACTATGTTATTTGAACCAAAAATATAAATCAGATGTTGTGTTTTCTTTGTATTAACTATCACCCAGGGACATGAAGTCGAAGGGAATGAGTAAATTTAGTAATTCTTGTGATGGATGAGCTGTGAGTTATTGCGTGCAGAGTTGGACGTCTTGGTAAGAAAATTGATATCCTTGATCTGTTTTGACATTATTTAATCAAAACGATATCGGAATGTTTGAATTGCAATCACTATTTCTGGCAAACCAATTAAGTATTCCGATATATCACGGCATAGGGTAATTTTTTGGACCATTTTTTGGACTATTTTTTGGACTATTTTTTGGACTATTTTTTGGACCATTTTTTGGACTATTTTTTGGACCATTTTTTGGACCATTTTATCGGGGGAAGCACACCATTAGTACTCAGGGAGGGGTGGGATGCAGTCTACTAGTACTCAGGGAGGGGTGGAAGGCAGAGTGTTATTACTCAGGGAGGGGTGAGAGAAGGACTATTGCTAAGCAGGGAGAGGTGGGAGGTGGATGTAATAGTAAACACTACTTGTTAATGGAACTTTTATTCGATCGTATAGATTATCGTCATCGGTTTTTCGACTGACTTTTTGAATGTTCTTCATTTTTGTCGTCATGCGAAAGCGAAACTGCCACGTAAACACTGGGACATAAAATAATCAGCAAACGATTTCGAAGAGGAATCCATATTCTCGTATCGAGCAAAAGCACTGCTTTACATGTAATATGGGAAAGATGGGAAAGCGCAAATATCGATTTTATCTGTTTCGCAAACAAAGGAGTTAATCACCCACACCGGAAATAGCGACCAGGCATTCCTCGCGACTCCCGTACGTTTGTTTTCCAATTTGCCCGGGCCGCTGCCAATCACTTCTTGCGTAAATACCTACGTAACCTGCGTGGAAGTACAGTGGCTACTGTTGCTTACCGATATTTTCCGTCAGCAAAACGTAGAAGTCAGTAAACGTGACCGATTCTGCCCGGAAAATTTTATTATCTGGAGCTTGGATATGTCAGGAGAGTTTCATTGACAGCTGGATTAACTGCACCCCGTGTTGTGAAACCATTATAAAGACATCGCGCTTTCCTTCGCTTTTTTTGTCACATACTAAAGAAAAACGTGAGGCAACTGAAAGATGATTCATGCTAACCCGTCGGTATCACTTAGCACTGGCACAAGTCGACCTAACAGGCACAACGCGTATCTTAATAGTGGAGGATCGAAAACAGGAATGGAATTGGTGATATCTTCAATGACAATTATAGTCCAGTGTTTAAGTGCCAGTTTAGCATTCGCATTACAAAAGATTAAAGAAACGCTACGGCCCAGCGCAAAATTTTGACATACAAATAATCAGTCGAAAAGCCGCTCAAAATAATGTGTATGATTCAATGAACACTCCATAAATCAGTAGCAGTTACCAGTATATCAACTTCCCACCCCTCCTTGCGTACTAGTACTTCTTTCTCCACTAGTAGCAACAGTCTGCCTACCATCCCTCCCTGAGAACTGAGAGACTGCATCCCACTCATCCCTAAGAAGTAATCTTCTGCCTCCCCCCCTATAAAAAAAATAGTCCATATTTTACCCTACGACCCCAGGCAGAGGGTAAAATATGGACTGGACCATTTTTTTGACCATTTTTTTTGGGGGGGAAGGCTGACCATTAGCACTTAGGGGTCGGTGGGATGCAGTCTATCAGCATTCAGGGAGGGATGGTAGGCAGACTGTTGTTACTGAGGGAGGGGTGGAGGACGAACTACAGTGCGCAGGGAGGGGTGGGAGGTTTATGTATGAGTAACTACTGCTTCTTATTATGGAGTGTTCATTGAATCATACAAATTGTTTTGAGCGGTTTTTCGACCGACTATTCGTATGTCAAAATTTTTGTGCTGGGTCGTAGCGTTTATTTCATACTTGTCATGCGAATGCAAACTGGCACTTAAACACTGGACTATAATTGTTATTGAAAATATCTCCATCTTCCACTGTTAAGGCATGCGTGTGCCTGTTTGGTCGACTTGTGCCAGAGCTAAGTGATACTCGTGAATCATCTTTCAGTTGCTTCACGTTTCCCTTTTTGTATGTGACTATGGAGCTATCCGCACTAGCGACAAAATTGTTAATAAAGACAAATTTTTTGTCATTACCAACACTTTACAGGTGCGGATGGTTTGTCGTGACTCGACAATTTTTTGAGGCGGACAAATTTTCAAACGCACCGCCGACAAAATTCGTCCCTGTTAGGTCGACTTGTGCCAGTGCTAAGTGATACCGACGGGTTAGCATGAATCATCTTTCAGTTGCCTCACGTTTCCCTTTTTGTATGTGACAAAAAAAGCGAAGTAAAGCGCGATGTCTTCATAATGGTTTCACAACATGGGGTGTAATTAATCCAGCTGTACGGACGGAAAATATCGGCAAGCAACAGTAGCCACCGTACTTCCACTTGGCAGGTTACGTAGATTTTTACACAAGAAGTGATTGGCAGCGGCCCGAGCAAATTGAAAAACAAACGTAAGGGAGTCGCGAGGAATGCATGGTCGCTATTTCCGGTGTTGGTGATTAAATCCTCTGCATGCGAAACAGATGAAATCGATATTTGCGCTTTCCCATACTACAAGTACAGCAGTGCTTTTGCTCGATTCGAGAATATGGATTCCTCTTCGAAATCGTTTGCTGATTATTTCATATAATAAAAGTATAAACGTTGAAATTGCAAAAGCGCTCGTGAATTCTATATGCTGCTAAGTTAAGTGCTAAGGACCGGAAATTTCGTGATCTCGTCTGATAAGATGAATGACAAAAGGAAGATAGATAAATTTATTAATTACATACTGTATACACAAAGGGAAACGTGAAGCAACTGATGGTACACATGTCGACTCAAAAGGCACAGGTATAACTCAATAGAAATCAAAGTCCAGTGTTCACGTGGCAGTTTTGCTTTCGCAGGACGACAAAAATGAAGAACATTCAAAAAGTCAGTCGAAAAACCGATGAAGATAATTTGTACGATCGAGTAAAAGCTCCATTAACAAGTAGTGTATACTATTACATTCACCTCTCACCCCTCCCTGCCTACGAAAAGTCCTTCTCTCACCCCTCCCTGAGTAATAACACTCTGCCTTCCACCCCTCCCTCAGTACTAGTAGACTGCATCCCCACCCCTCCCTGAGTACTAATGGTTTCCTTCCCCCCTATAAAATGGTCCAAAAAATGGTCCAGTCCATATTTTACCCTATGCCCGATATCACTTACATTGAAAAATGTCAAAACAGATCAAGGATATCAGTTTTCTTACCATGGCGTCCAACTCTGCGCACAAAGGCACACACAAAATCCAACTTCTCACTCACTCCTGCAATGTTCAAATAGCCGTTGAAGTTAAACTCTTGTTGAAAAGTAAGCGCGAGTCAGACAAGAAGAGAGACCTCGTCAATTGACATTAAATGCACGTCATGATACTACATAATACTATAAACAATCAGGCTAACCGACGCGTGCAAACTGTGGTAAACTGGGAGGCCAGCAAACCGTAGCAGAATTCAGTCTCGTCGCTATTTCAATTAACGCTTTCATGAACGACAACGAATAAATGCAATATCGACAAGAAAAAAAGAGGACAAACTTACCGAAAAGTTATGAATTGGCTCTGCTCTACGGCAAAACTAAGTGAAGACTCTTCAACACAGCGACTACACTATGTGATGGTTTCGCGCCAATTTTAACATTCGATGACGTTATGCCCCCCAGCAGATCGCTGTTCCAAGTGCGGTTTGTATTTGAGGTGGTTTCGGCGAGATAGCCCTTACGTCACAAGCAAGCAAGCTCGACGATTTGCGACAACATCGAAATATTTCATGTAATGCTAAGCAATTTAATGTTCAGTTAGAGCGTCTGATGTTCTGCACAGCTATTCAACGTAACGCTACACCATTTGTGTGTACGCTGTACCATTCGACATTACGCTGAGCCATTTCACGCAACGCTACACTGTTTGTATTTGCATTGTGGTAATCGACATGGCGCCAAGCCATTTCACGCAACGCTACACCTTACGTGTGTACACTGAACCATTCGACATTACGCCGAGCCATTTGACGCAACGCTACACCGTTTGTGTACTGTGTTGCAAATTAGCGCTAAGCTACTCGCAATTAAAATAGTCCATTTCACAATTTTATGTTCCAACTCGACATGGGAAACTAGACCTTTTATCATTTGGCTAGACTATTCATGTTTACGGTCACTGTTTCATGAAGGAAACTAAACCGTCTCTAATTTGGCCATGCTATTCCTTTATTAGCTATGCTATCCTGCAGCTGATCCTTAGACCAGCTTTGTATTTGCTGATCTGTTTGACATCCTTGTACTTTTGTGGTGATGGCCACCCATACAAGAGGTTTCCAAGAAAAATTCCTGACATTCTTCAGTGTGAAATTCTAGGAATCATAAACAGCAGAAAGGCTCTTGGATGTCACATAGGTCAAGTCAATTATGATAATGGCATGGCTGTATTTGGCGCCTTGGACGTTAACGATTGTAGTTCTAGCTTCTGAGTTTCTTCGCTTTTTCCAAGTGAGGCGAATTCGTTTTCTCTTTCACGACGAGGGAAAGTGAACTCAAGCTAAGGAAGTTGACAAGTACGATTGTTTGTAGTCGAAAATTTTCATCTTAGGCATAGCTGCTTGCGTTCTCTCGTGTGCTGTCTCGATCACTAGATTTTGCTGAAATCTAGCATTACCAAGACGTGCTGGGGATCAGAATTGAAATTCTCCTGTACTACTCATTTCTTCTTTATTTGAGCACAAAACTGGTAAACTTGATTGTACTTTACCTTTCAGTCAAGCTTGTAACCAATCAAACATCGCAACGGATATCTGAAACTGATGGAAGCGAGGAAAGTACATTTATAGATGCAAAGGCCAATGTCGTAAGTCGGCTCTGGAAAGTCTTAAGGTAAAGGGCTTCGTTTTCTTTTTTTGTTGAATATGAAATGTGTAGAGACCGACACCTCAAGTGCAGTACCATTATAGAATTCTAAGACAAAGGGTAAACATGAGTCGCAGCTTAAAAATGATTTACATGTAGACCGTACCGTGTACTCATGGATAATTTTATCGTGGTCATACATATTGCAATTTTGACTGTTTGTTATTAAGGGAATAACATGACTTTTTTCGGGAATATTGTTTATTTGCGCCCGCGTAGTGTCATTTGCGGCCCGAGCGCTTCGAGCTCGGGCCGCAAATGACACTACGCGGGCGCAAATAAACAATATTCCCGAAAAAAAGTCATGTCATTATCATTATTATCAATAAACGAGGCCAAATGATATCAAGAATGCGAGTTTTAATAATACAAGCTAAGTGAATGACGAATTCAAAGTCACTTCAAATCATCATGTAAGTGTTGATTGAACAAGCTATTAAAGAATCAACTCAGTCCAGTGAACTTATTAATTAACTAATTGAAGTCAACTTTCAGCTTCGTTTGTCGCACCATTTCTCGAATTTTTTGATCCCCCACGAAGTGGCTCTCTTTGTATTTTCCGCCTGACCTTTTGCTTCTAATTTGTCCTAGTCTTCTAGCCCCAAATCTGAGTTTTGACTGCTAATTTCTTCCATTACTTCAGTTTTCGCTCGAAGACGATTCGACGACTGAAAAAACTGCAGTTCAAAACCGGAGTTTCGCAAATGAATGGTTTTCCCGCGTCAACACTAGGCTTACTCTAATTGGTTTAAATCCATCGGATGATGAAGCAAGAACCAATCAGCTGTAGGGATAATGCATTAGCAGCCCGCTGTCAGTCTTTTGCGGCCCGCTGAGCGTGTGTTTTGAAGAGGCCGATTTTCTATTTGGCCGCGTATATTGATAATAATATAAGATAGCAATGCAGTCTATCAATTGATCGTAGCATAAAATGAAGGTTTCAGGAACAATCTCGCGAAATGCAATCCAAATTGCAACATGTTGGTTTTATTTGGATCTGTTTCGCACTCTATTCGGTGGTCTAATATAATCTGACTTTGTAAAATAATTTCTCAATCGTATTCAAGATGGTATTGCAAGTCTCCTGGCGATACAATGTTTACGACTGGGCCTAGCGTATTTCAATTGCGTGAAAACCAAATTAGTTGTTTGACAACAGGAAATGATTTTTGTCATTATATACAATTAAAGAAAGGGATAATTTTTTGTGAGAGAGTAACACTGCGGGTGATCGGAGAACACCGCCTTTGCCGCAGTATTTTGATTTATTAGAAATAAACCTTTGAAAATTCTATTTTCTTTGAAATTCTGACGTAGGAGAACCAAGTTCATTTAATTTGAAAATTAGAAGAAGGAACTTGTTGGAAGCAACTAACCCGGCAATAAAGAGCGTGGGTTTAGGTTAGCACTGAGGCAGATTTTTTCCGGATGCTTGACCGAGCAATGACATTTTGGTGCTGCACTAGTCTTTTGACATGGCTCTACATGTCATTGCAATTAGGTATCGAACATCATTCATACTTGGACATCGACAGGAGATCAATAAGGGTCTTATAAGAGTCTCAAAATTCAATCAAATGATTGACAGGTCATGCAATTTGAACATCAGTTTTCCGAGAAACTGACAGAATCTTGCGGCAACTGAATATAGTGCATATTATATTACACCGGGTTTCATGAATCGGGAATATCACGCGATCATGTTTTAGGCATCATTATAGTAAGCGAATATAAGAAGGAAATGTGATTTTCATGATATTTGATTTGTTTTGTAGCTGATCCTTCCATTTAAATACATCCTGAGCACACGAAGCCAGACACCTGGAATCAGCAGAAAATAGCTTCAGGTACTAAATACAAAGAAAACTTAATTCACGATCCATCCATTTTACCCTGTCTACCATGCATCTTCGACAGCTTCCGCAATGCTGCTATTTCAAAAAGCTTCAGGTGCTTAGAAACGCAAGTTAAATTACTAGTTAATCCATGTTTTATCATGCATCTTGGATAGCTATTTCGAAATAGCCTGTAAAACGACCGATTAGTCAGTAAAAAGTGTCGACTGCATATTGCCAACTGCAGACCGGATACAAAACAAAGAATAAAAGGACCTTTTCGTTTAATAATTTGATTTAACCAACTGAAATTCATTCACAAGGTTCCTATCGTGCATTGTTCTAAATTTCCGGTTTTTTTTTATCAAATACATGTGTTTATGTCCGGATAATCGAGGTTCGACTGTAGCATCACGTGTAAAAATGACTGACTCTCAAGTCACGAAGAGTATACACTCGTTTCATACAAACCGATAAGCTTTTTATCAGTTTTCTTGGATATCAAGCAGACCTAAAGCGTCTGAAACTCTACAGAATCTTGCAAATTTGACATAAACTGCACTAGTCTTTGAACAAGGCTCAATAACTCGAGAATACTCTGCAATGGGTTATCCTATTGACATGTATTGAATAACGTAGGAAAATTCATTACCTGACGAGGGAATTCCGCGTTAAATTGCACGCGGAAACCGATATCGCACGAATCGCGAAGCGATGAGTCAGGTAATGGATTTTCCTTGAATCGCATCATTGAATAAATATATGTTATTTGCTGGCTGGGAGGCAGTAGGCCGAGGGCAGCATTCTCAAGACCGAAGTCACAGTTTTTCACCAATATTTTTCTGTCAACCACAGTGATTGAGAGAGAGAAAAGAGAGGATTCACAAGTTATTTATCGGCTTGAGGTAGTGACCGACGTGTTTGTTTAAAAATACTGCCCAGCCGGAAAAACGAGATATATTTATGAAAAATGGCAACGAAATTTGGGATGTACTCGGCGACTCACGAAAGCGTTACCGTGGCCCGTGGGCAGAGATAGGAAAATACTGACCGGGTTGAGAACCAATCAGATTGCAGGATTCATTACCGTGCCCTCTGAAAAAAAAAAATCTTGTTACTTAATGTGTTTTTTTTTCTTCATTTTCTTTTCGTAAATAAGCAGGAAATAATTACACTCTGCTGACTTAAATTATTGAACAGTCCGTCGATTCCAACATCGTTTCCAAGTATTGTGTGAGGGGACAGAGAGCCCACAAATCGTCTCACTTCGTCTCGTTTAATGCGCTTCAATTCATGGAACTAGACCGTACACGAGTGATGACGTTGGCTATGTCATATAATACTTATACTCCGTAGTTTCCATCTAAGATACCTGTGCTCTTCCGTTTCAGGCGTTATATGGGAAACATGTTACAATCTTGAACAGCGATGTCCGATCAAGGTACAGTTATTCCCAATTTGTATGAAGTTCATGTAGGGGAACTCTGTATCATGATATTATTAGTAATGGTAATAGGAATGAGTGAGTCTAATCCAGTCTGTAATCATAAGAGTGAAGTACTTATAAAAAAGCGGGTTCTGGTTCATTTCGTGTCCTCATGAATCTTAGCGTGAAATCAAGGCAATCCGTGAATTTTACCAATGTTCAAGGTCTATTTTTCCCGTAAACGACGTTGTTCTCATAAACAGACCTAATGGTTTTCAGGTTTTTGTAAAAAATTGTTTTGATTTACAATTCATAAGTCGAGGAAATTCTTCGAACAGCCGATAAAATTTTAACAAAAAATTAGCATGAGTCCGCGACATGTCGATGCATTGCGTAAAATCAACTTGTACGCCTCTGGTGTAGTTATTTCTTTCCGTCAAAACTGCCAATATTTCTCCTCGAAGGGCTGAATAATATAAAATGTCTCTGGGTGCATTGTCAATGGCTTTTGAGAGGATATAGACAGAATTGATGCTGTCTTCTGGTGTATCTTGTTTTATGTCAGCATCTACATGATCATAATCGGACGACCGCGCAGCAGGAGTCCGATTTTGTTTATCGCGAGTTTGACTGCTAATCGAATTGGACGACACAAAGTCTTATACCAATAAATCATAAAAACTACAATTTCCAAGAAAGATGAATAGTCAAGTCATAAAAGAAAGGGAAATTCAGGAGTCTGTACACTGTTTCTATGGTGATTGAAACCAAGGTTGTGGTTGGTTGATTTAAACTACAACTTTGAATGTGATTGGCTTATTGAACTGTCTGATAACAAACTGCCGAAAACAAAATATCCAATAACAATTTGGCAAGTGAATTGGTGGAAAAAAGAGTTTTTCAAACCAATCACAGTCAAGGAAATTGTAATTTTTATGATTGTAGAAGAAAGGTCATTGCAGCGGTAAAAAAAATTGCACATACAAGGAACGCTGAATTGTTTCGTGAACTTTTCAGATAGTGCTTGCTACAGAACCAACGCCGTCTACTGGTCTTTTTAATAATTATCAGAGCTTAATCAGTTTTCGGTAGTTTTTTTTCGTGAAAAAATTTTACCAAATTCCTGTAAATTCGTCATTCAGGATCAAAACGATAGAGCATTGTCAGGCTGTATTTATCGTGAAATGGGTATTATTGGCATGAAAAGACGTTACAAATATTTACTTCAAACTTGAGAGAGGATTCATTACAAACTTGCTTATGATAGGTTAATGGGGTGACCAAATTGTAACATATTTAGTTGCAGGTGAAGTCTTTCGCGATGATACTCTCCCGTTCTTGGTAAATTTCTCACTTAACGAAGATTCAGCGTGCTTCTTCGAGCAAGGTGACCATGACAGGGTTTACTATTGGCAAGCTCCATTTGGAATGACTGAATCTTATTTTCTTGACTTCTTAATCGAAGTCGTAAATGAAATCGTCTTGACTGAAGTCTCCAATGGGGAAACGGGCCGATTACTCGAGCTCCTCCTTCCTACTTCAGAATTACTTCCAACGTTACAAAGACAGAATCAGAAACGTATAAAATTGTTGAAAAGAAATGACGAGGACGCCACATCCATATTACGCGAAAACCTCGCTGGCTTTGAACAAATAATTGTACTTTACCCCTCCTTGGGAAACATATCAAGCGTACATCTTCGAATAGACGACGTAACAGATCCTTCCGGGGAGATACGAAAAACAATCAACCAAATTCGTCTGAGTGAAGCAACCTTTTATGCTGAAAGCGATGCAGAGGATGAGAAGGAGGAAAGCCAAGATATTTATTCTGAAGAAATTTACTCGTCAGATGAAGATGAAGAAGTTGAGCGGGAAGTCCAAGCAAGCCCGGACAAGCCTTGCTATTATCCTTCCCAAATAGAAATGGCAACGATTTTAAGGAAACGAATTGAAGCCATTATGTCCCATTACCATAACATTTCAAGACTCAAGGAGGTCTTCAACGATATTGAATTCGTAGTGTACACAGCCCGGTACAGAATGCTAAGCAATCAGACGGAGAAGAGGATTCGCCATCCTGACGCAGGTGTACTTTCAAAAGAAGAACTCGAGTCGTGCAATTGTGAACGTGATGGAAAGAAACGGATGTTCATGTACGTTCGCAGCGCAGAGACGGATACGCATTTTGAAAAACTTAAAGAAGATGTTCAGGAAAAACCCCAGACACTCTTTGTCATTGTAGCAGACGAATGCCACTGGGGAATAACCAAAGACAAAGCGAGCAAACCCTCTGCCCATAATCTTTTCATCAATGAATGGTCCAAAGGCAACCCCCCCAAAAATGTTATTGTTCTACAAATCTCAGCGACACCGTTTAACCTCCTGACGCAGAACTCTCGTCTTCCTCTGGTTCCGTGCGTTATTCTCAAGGACAACGTCTCTCCAACCAACCAAGCAGGCGATCTCGTGGTCCTTAAGCAAGAACCTGACTTGGAGCGAGTAGGGGAAACCTCAAAGAAACTTGAACTTCACGTTGTCCACTGGTCAGAAGTTGAACTTAAAAACTTTGAGAGAGGAATGCGAATGAAACTCAAGTCAACTCTAAACATTGAAGATTCTCTCTACAAGTACCTTCAACTCTCTACCAAGGGAAACCTAGGTGTCACATCTGTACCAGAAGAGGCAACGGAATTCCTTATCCAAGGTAGCCACGGCATAGTGACTTTGAAAGCAGAAGAAAAAGGAGGACGCTTGTTGACGGTCACCACGGATACCCATGGAAACTTAGAAGCCAAAAGTGATCCTCCAGTACCAACAGAATTTGAGGTTAAGATGGATTTTGGAGTTGGAGTTGTCGCTTTTCGATCTCGCGACGAACGAGATCGCTACATTTCTGTTGACGCGACTGACTACGTCAGTTTGCAAACCGCCAAAATTGAGCGAAAATGTGGTGTTTCTATTATGAAACCAAAACATAACCTGGCTAAAGTTTCTTTCCAATTCTACACTGATCAGTCGGCACCAATGCAGGTGAACACGGTTGGGAAGCAGTATATGAGTTTGAACTACTATCTCAGCACCCTGAACAGTCCCATCAAGAAAGACCAGAAAATTAGGGAAGATGAGACCTTTCAAAATATTGTGGATAAGGCCAAGAGAGAAAGGAAAATGTCACAGTCAGGCTCGACTTCTTTTCCAATTGATGCCTTGCTTTGTGCTGATTACTGCTACCACATTATACTTTCGAGCGTTTTCAACAGAGGTGACGAGATATGTAAAGCACTGACTGTTAAAGTCGAAGAATCACCCACTAATGAATTCCACAGACGTCTCACATTGTTCAAGAAGAAACTCAATGCACCGGACGTGGAAAAGTACATCCACCCGGAGGCCTTCGAGCTAATTCAAAGAAATATCTGCGACAGAGTAACACAACAATTTAAGGAAGACTTGAAGAACGTGGAGAAGCTGAAGAAACAGAGGGCATCCAAGTGTACTGAATTGCAGACAGAACTGGCCATCTCATTTGTTGAATGCATGATGCACCTTCCTACGCAAGAACTCGAGGAATTAAAACACTACACACCCTTAAACATTCAACAAGAATTGCAAGCAAATGGTTGTGAGTTAATGGTACAAATATGGCACGATCTAGTACAAAAACATGAAACAAGTTCCTTAGTGGAAGATCTGATCCAGAGCGGAAAGGGAGATCTAGGAAAGATGAAAATTGTACGAGCTAAAACAATGAAAACTGCTGATCAATTTTATTACACAGTTCAATTAGCGCGAGAAGTTTCGGGTCTCAAAGAGTACTTTGAAGTCATTAGAGACTATGGAGGTATTCAGATTGAGAACCAGCTTATGAAATCGTCAAATCCCTTCTTTAAAAAGCTTCAACCAGAAGCTTGCACCTACAAGTTTGATTGTCATTGCAGTGAGTTGAAACTACAACCTAGACATAAAATATGTGTTAACTGCCAGCACGTGCACAAATTGATAACGCAGTATGAAGACCTGGAAAACCTGGCATGCATACTCATTCTGGTCGATAAAGGCCGCATGGGAGACACATTTCCCCAGAGTTTTGACTGTCTCGACTTGCGACTTAGCTACGATAGTAGTCAAGAGTTTAAGGAGGGCTCGGCAGTCTATCTCTCCAGTCTTATTCAAGAGCTTGGAAGAATGTGCCGTTATACTCAAGTTCCCACAAGTGCGACTCCATATGTATTGATTGGGCGACAGCTATTCAAGAGACTCAAGACGTCAGTTAAGAAGTCTCCATCAATAAGTGCAACTTCCTGTAGTAAAGCAGACCGGTATATGGCTAAGACGCCCCGGATCAAAGACGCACAATCATCGGCTTTGCGATGGCTAGACTATGAAGCACATAAAGACAGCTACGATTATGGAAACTCACAAACGCACTGCAACAGAATCCTTCTGCAAGCCGAACCTCAGATTGGCAAGACGGGAACGTACTTGTGCCTGATAAGAGAATTGCGACTGAATATTCTGGGAAAAGAAAGAGTTTTGCTCACTTCACCCGCTACATTTGACGAAGGTTCCTTTTACCAGTGGAAGGAAAGAAATAATCCTGACGAGTCGGTTATCACAGATGTAGATGAATGCAAATACTGGCAATTTCCGTACTGGAAGACAATCGCGACTTGCCCAAGCCTGCTCGACAAACCGGTTGAGATGGGGAAGTATTCAATAGGAGGGTGCTTCTACTCTCATGACATGGAGGAAAATCCATTCATTTTTCTGAAGGAGGAAGGGAAAACGCTAATCAAGACCGGTCATCAAAACCTTAAGACTGATGATTGTTCAAATGGCCCCCGTGCTTGGCATTGGTACCATTTTGAGAAATGTGCTGAGTGTGGAAGACTTCTACAGGGCAAAGAATCTAAGCTGGAAAATGTGGTGGTAGACATTGCTGGAATCCCCGTCACTGTTACATGCTCCTTGCCCAGCAATTGTCCGTCATTCACTCAACTAAAAGAAAAATTAACGAGCAGTAAATCTCTAGTGGATGGTCTCACTTTGCCATACTGGATATTTCATCCTTCACACAGAGACGATCCTAGGAAGTGCACTTTGAATTACCACCACGTAATGCAAGAAAACGGACGCGTTATCAATTATGTCCAAGTTGTCGTTGTTCGAAAGGAAAAGTTCGAGGCCTACAGATCCACCTGGGGAAAGGTACTCGTCATTGTACCACTTCCAGAGGAACTACCCAATTGCGGCCTTGGACCGGAAGATGGAGGAATTGGTTATGCCAGACTGTTTATTCAAAAGTTCGCATTTTCTTTAGAGCTTGAATACGTCTTCATGATTGATGACAATATCGCCATGATGTCAGAAGCAGAATTTTCAAAAGATCACATGCCTGGAAAAGAAGTAAAAGTACTCAGAGATGACAGTGGGGTGATGCAAATGCGGCGATGCACTTTCCTTAAGCCTTTGTCAAGTCTTCAAAAAATAGTACAGGGAAAGGACACTCCAACCATGGCTGACAGGGAACACGAGTCTCATCCACTAAAAGATGATTTTGAAGCCCAAGGCTTTCCACTGTATACCTACACTGGTCCTGCGAAATTGTTCCGCGATAAGCAACATGGGAGCTATGGTGTTCTTGGTCTGATGAGAAGTGTCCCAAAAGCAGTGAGTCCGTTCATGAAGACCCAGGTGTACGCTGTGGTCTTGCTCAATGTCAAAAGTACTGTGGACAAAGGCGTCTTTTACCGTCCATGGCCCTGCTGGGAAGATCTACGCTTCAACGATGATTGTGACAAAGCAGGTCTATGGGTTGTTAGATGCAACCGTTACTCTTTCGTCAAAGTTCAGTACAAAGCCTGGATTGAGAGCCTCGTCCTGCCTCAAGTCTTCCCTTGGGATGAGAAATGTTCAATCGTGGAGAGACCAGTTGAAAGCGAGCTACCAGAAGCCCTGGAAGAGGAAATTATCCTAGAGCACCTTTGCAACTTTGTGAACACCAGTGGTCCTGACAAGTGTTTCAAAGAGAGAATTGAATATGATAGACTGGTGAATAAAGAAGCAGCAGATTCTCCCCTTCGTATCCTCGAGCAACTTGATGTGGGTATGGTTGCAGAAGAAGATCTCACCAGGGGAGTTTCTTTCCTGGTTCTCTCCTACTTTCCAGGAAATCGGAGAAGAGAGACCTTAGATGTCCTTGATTCAAATTTCTGTGATACAAAGAAGAAAATTGTTTTCGTTGCAAGTGCCACAGAAGCAAACAGGCGATGGCCTCAAATGACTGTGCAAACCATATCAACCAGGCACGGTATTTGTCACAACGATGAGATGACTGATAGAAACGCACAATTTGCCATTTTTTCCGCGGCAGACCCTAAGAGGCACCGTTTGCGTTGGATTTTGATCGAAGCATCCTTCTCGCATAACAACGACGTAGTTAAGACAGAAATGGGCACAAATGATATTGAGGCTTTTGAAAAAAGCCTTGAAAACAACAGAAATGCGCTAACTCTGGAGGAAAGTACCTCGTCTAACCAGCAAAACACAGGCAAAACGACGAAAGGAGTTAAGAGATCGCTGCAGGAATCCTCCAATGACTGCCAAACATTCAAAAGGCAAAAGATTCAAGAAGAATGCCGGAAACGACGTAACAACCAAGAAGGCGAGACGATGTCGGCAGATGGGACAGCGGTTAGAAAAGAGAGAGAAAGTAGTAGTAAATCTCCCCATTCGGTGAGAGAAGTCGACTATTTAGCTTTGTTCGGTGGAGAAGGAGATGCCGAAGTCGAAAGTAACTCTGACGCCAGTATCGTAAGCGAAACCCCGCAGTCTCAAGAGAGGAGCCAAGAAGATGGATGTAACAATCGCAAGTATTTTGAAGGTACCAGTGAGGTCACTAAAGCTATCGTCGATCTTTGGATGGAATACAAGAAAATTCCAGGGAGCACTAAAAAGGTGAAGCAGGAAACAGGAACGAGCGATCTTACAATGGAATATGTAAAGAGCAAGCTTTCGAAATTCACTCTTAGCCAGCTAGAAGAAAGAGATGAGAGTGGTTACAATGCGCTCTTGAAAGCCTGTTCATTACCATCCATGAGTCCTCATGTAATGCAGTATCTCATAAATGATGCAAAAGTAGAGATCAACTCTCGTTTGCCTCCTAACTTTGGCAGGCACCACCCAGCAGGCGAAGGGTTGATTCCAGGAATGTCTGCTTTGTCAGTGGCTATTAAATGTGGAAAGAAAGCCAAAACGCTTCAAACTTTCACGAAACGAGGAAAAGAAATTTCGGTAGGAACTTCTGACGAGGAGGGGAATACTGCTCTTCACCACTGTGTTCTATCCTGTTCTAAATTTGCCTTTAAGAAGGTATTCCCTCTATACAAGAACAAGAATTGGAAAACGATGATCAACGGTGAGGGAAAGAGCCCTTTAGACATTGCCAAGAACATGGAATGGAGTAGATTGAGCGAAGGTAACCAACAGACCATTGCATTCATGCTTAAGGAAATGGAGGGAGGCGAGAAATCTAATTACCATCCAAATTGCATAAAAAAAGTGCCGTTAATGAATGATGGCTCTCTTGAAGGAAAGCAAGCCAACAGCGATCAGAATAAACGCGTACAAACATTTAAAGAAATGGAGGGAGGCGAGAAGTCTAATTATCATCCAAATTTATTAAAAAAAGAGCCGTTAATGAGTGATGGCTCTCTTGAAGGAAAGCAAGCCAACAGCCATCAAAATGAACGCGTAAATACATTCAATGAAGAACATCAGGAATGGTCCACCCAAATAAAGCGACCAAAAATTGGTGACGGTTACGGCCAGCATGTAGAAGAAGTAGTTCCTGGCAAAGCTGTTGATGGAGGCGGAAAAGTTGGTCTTGGTGACGACTCCAGTGATAACGGAAGCGTTAAGCACGATACTTTGGGGAAGAAAGCTGATATAGTCCAATCTTTAGATGCCGCCGCGCATATGGATGGTACCAACAGTGTCACCGGGATTATCGTGGATTTATGGAGAGAGTATAAAGAAATGCAAACGCAAGTTGAGGAAAAGGGCAGAAGCGACCTAACCACAGACGAAATTCAGAACAAACTCGAGCATTTCTCAAAAGATCAACTGGATGCAGCAGATGAAAGAGGCTACAATGCACTTCTTAAAGCCTGTTCCTTGCCTGCTATGAGTCCTCATGTAATGCAGTACCTTATCACTACAAGAAAGGTTGACCTCAATTGTCAGCTTCCTTCTGATTTTGATGTGAATCACTCAGAGGCTAAGGAATTAGTTCCAGGAATGTCCTCTTTGTCCGTGGCAATCAGAAAAGGAAATGTAAAATCAGTCTCCACGTTTATGAATAGGTCAATGTGGATTCAAGTAAGAAGTTTTGACGATAATGGAAACACCGCTCTGCATCATTGTGTGATTTCGATTTATAAAACTGCCTTTGATAAAATTTTTCCCCTTTTCAAGCCGCTGGAATGGAGAGAGATGCGAAACAAAAGAGGAAAGAATCCTTTGGACATATGTATTGAAAAGGAAGAGGAACTACAAAGACAAAAAAAGGTAAAGGGAAAAAACCTGGAAAAGCTCAGAGACATGCGTAAGGAAATGGAGGTTTCAGCTTAAAGTTTACAAATATCAGGTGAGGGTTAGTCTTCAATGTTCCTAGTATTATTCAGTATCAACATATAAAGTTTGAATTGCTGCTTTCTCCAATTTTTAGGGAAAGCTTTCCTAGGCCGTCCTTTATTATTGTAAAGTATTGTGTTATAGTAGGTGATAAATAAATGACTACTACAACGACTTGCTTCAATGAAAATAATCCATCACCGCCAAGGACAAATTCTCTTTCAAACAGATTGTTTCGAATGTAAGCTCGCAATTTTTACATGCAATTATATAAATTAATTTATTATAATTATCCCAATCTTATTCATGGTTCGAAACTGCCATGTTGAAAACATTCTTGCAGATGATGACGAATTATCTACTGAAAGTTTCTTCTTTTTCTTCTCTCTGGTATTATTTTTATAGCATCCAAGCCAGAGGTGAACTACACCTTACACCCTTCGATTTCTCTAAGTGGCAACTGGTATTCCTCGTGAACATGGATCGAACACAGCATTTATCAGGCCTCAATGCAAAACCGAATAGGGTTTCAAGAGGAAATTATCAACTGAGTTTCGAACCTAATTTAGGGATCTTCTCAACCAATCAGAGTAGTAAAAGACCTATGTGATATTTTCCTTTGTTATGATTGGCTGTGGTGATTACTGTGAATTTGATATTACGACACTCTTGAAAAGTGCTCTGAAACCTATTTGAAGTTTTGGTATAACTGGTAATTTGATTCTCTGAAATCTAGAAGTGCACATCTATTTTTGTAATCACTTCTCGAGTTCTAACTAGCCACTGAAAATTTCAGTGTAAAAGGTGTAAAATTTGTCGTTACTTTGTACTTAAAAGCGTTTTAAAGTACTGCTTGTGAAAAAAATTGAAATCTTTCATTAAAAATGAACTGAATACTGTGTTTTAGAAACCAGCAGCGTTAGCTATTCGAATATACATGGCGAAAGTAGGGTACATAATCTATATCTTTTAAAACTTTTGCAACTTTTTGGCTCTAAGATATTTTTCTAGGGAATTTTTTTCCTTACCTACTAATACGTTTTTAGCACAGTGACATAGTAAGTGTTTTCAGGCAAAATATGTTCCGCCAACAAATATTGAACAGTTAAAATTTTTAATTAGTAAGTGTTTTATAAGAAAGAACGAAGGCTTTGTGGATACAATCTAGACTTAATAAACTTGTTTAGAAGCTATCAATTTGCGCCTATAACTTTTTAGGTAATATTGTTGTATGTTATGACAAAAAATTTAGAAATTAACATATGAGAAAAATTAAGGATTTTCCAATAATACACTTGTAGTGCAAAACAGCACTTTTTTGTGAGACTATTGAGACGTTATCATTATTACATACTTTAAAAGATTTTCATGTCTTGTATATTTTCTTTGATTGTTAAGCATTTTTCAAAACATAAAAGCTGTTAAAAGTTGTCATTAAAGTGGAAAAAATATTTGACGTTTGAGTTTGGTATACAATTTTTTTATAGGGGCATTTTATTGTAGATCTTTGTGTTTACAATCCCATGGTGGACAGCCATAGAGATTTCTTGGAATGAAAGAAAGTTTCATGTACAACAAAATATATTCAAAAATCACAAAGGTCTGACTTGTTATACCAACACAGGAGCCATACCATTGTTTAAGTGACCAATAAGGCTACTGTGATGTCATTCGAAAATAAGCTTAAACAGTTTAGTAAACACGTAAATGTTACTTTATCTAATCTCACAGCTCACTCCTGAGATTTGAGGGCTTGTCATTGATGTGTGCATCTGATAGCTTGCCAGAGTAGTAATGATGTGCTAATAAAGCTGCATTTTTAGCACTAACTGCTGACATCTCCATTGCACTTGCAGAATATTCAATTGCATTGACAAAGAACACTCCATCATCCAAAACAAATGACCAAAACTTTTCAGGAGGGGTAAAGTGTGGATATGCCAGCCATGATACTACCTTCATCTCATCTACTCTGCTAAACAGTTTATTAAGTTGCAATGCAGTCAGATTAGAGCGTGAAAAAATTTTGTTAATGGGCAATTCCTTTGGATCAATTTCTGTCCTGTTTTCAACAGGCTCCTGCTTGCCAATAGAGTTAAAAAAGTTTGTGGGTGTTTCTGTTGTGCCTATCACTTCTGGAATATCATCCTCAGTTGAAAATCCAAAATGAGTCATGTTGACTTGACCATGTATAAAAGTAGCAATTGTGCGCCAAAATTCTCCTAGGTCTTTTGGAGTAGGCCAGTTGTTGCAGTCTTTGCAATCAAAATAGTAATCTGCAATCTCTAAGGGTGCTGCAACAATGACAACATCATAATGCTGATCTGGAATTTGGCTGTCACTTTTTAAGGTGTACACAGGGCATACAGAACTTCCTTGACTTCTTTTCACAATCTCTGATATCTTGGTGTTTTTGTACACAGTAGCATTTGAGCTGGAAAGTAATCCATCGCAAACCTTCCAGTTCCCTCCTTCAACAGACCAAAGACCACCCTGTGATCCTGCTAAGGACACTGCTCCTTTTACAAAAACAGATAGACAACAATAATTATAATAATAATGATGATGATGGAAATAATGGGATAATGTATTCTAACTGTCCAATTGAGGATGGTCCTGAGGACTGTTGATGGTGGTGGTGACTACCATTTCAACAGCCTTAGAGGACACCATTTTCAGAGTTGCATCGACTTTGATGATGACTTCCTCTAAGGTTGTGGAAACATCAGTCATCACCACCAACAACAGGACTTCCCAGGACTACTCTCAACTGGACAATCAGATTAAATGATCACCTGTTACTCCCAAATTCAAATCATTAACTTTAATAGTAATCATGGAATTAAGCAGTGGCAGATCCATGAAGTGGCTCTTCATCCACTGTTTCGAAGTCAAACTGGAATTTGAAGCATTCTCAGTGTTCTGTTGAGAAACTCTTAAATCTGGAGAACCTGAAGGCAAAACCCTCACAGCAAGGCACAGCTGAGCACTCTTAACTCTCACAACTAGGTATCCCAAACAGTTAAAGGAGCTATGTCATAATATTTTTTAATCTTTTTCTTGTGCCCAATGTGCAAATTTTACCTTGATGTTGAGGGTGGCACTTTAAGAGGCCCAACGCCCCATAACTGCTGGCATATCCTTGGTATCTTTGGAAAAAGCAACAACAACCCCCTCCCCTAGTTCTTTAAATTTCCTTGACAATTTATATTAGGTACCTCCTGTGACAGTAGAGTGTCAGAAAAAAAACACTGACTGAAGGGCATTATCCACAAGATCCATTTTTAGGATTTTCAACTTAGGAAAAATTGAAAATCAAAAAGTAGCAAATGACAATATCTCTGCCACTCCACCTTTTGACCTAGGATCTGATTTTAATTCAAATTTAGTTGGACAACTAAATTTACACCACTAACCAAAGAATCTTTCCTCTGGCTCAGACAAGAAAATGAGGCCATGGGAAAAACAAAGGATTTTCAGTAATGTTGTCTCAGTTTTCTTTGTTTCTTGGCTTCAAGACATGCTTTGTGATCCCAGTGATGTAAATACCATAACAAAAGATTTGCTTGCAACCAAAAAAATTGTCAAAAGTTATGTAGTATGTCAACCAGTCACAGTGACTGTTTCACAGTGCCCAATCTAAGTTGGCAAAACAGGACCACCATGCCTGCTTAGAACACAGTATTTGTCTTATCTCGACCACTTGTGGAGCCAACCAGTTGGAAAAAATTAATAATGCACTGAGTCAGACAACTTACCTGCAAACCCATTTAGAGTCACATCTTGACCATAATTGATCCTCATGACAACTGTCACTAACTCATCTATTAACAATTGATTAAGACCAATATTCTCCAAAGCTTGTCGTGTTGTTTGCTGTGTGTACTCATAGAACTTCTCTCCACCTAGAGCTCGCAACATTTCTGGCACAGTATTGAATGCCTGTTCCTTTTCTTGTAGATCATAAATATTTGAAAAGTTTGTTAACATTTCTGTGATGAAATTGTTCATGGTGTACAAGTCAAACAAGCCATACCGCCAAACAAGCTTTATGAAATTCACAAGTTTCCATCTGCTACCATAAAAGACAAATTCTTCCCCATTATAAATTCCAAGAAGACTGTTAGGTTCACTGCTTTTCAGTTTTTTTAACCCTATTTATGGAGAAAAAATAAGAAAATTAATAAATATGTCACATGCTCCAAGCTGTTATTGTTTTGGTCACCGCGGAAAGGAGGAAAAAATGCAGTGAAGGTTTCCAATTGGTGGCTTACGTTTGATGGTCATGAAGCAAGAAATGACATTTTTATTTCTTGGTGTTTGAAGTCTAGAATGGACATGGAGTAAACATTTACATCAAATATATAGGGAATAATACATGGGCAAACATAGATATGGGATTTCTCTATGAGTATTCAACTTGATATCTCACTAACTCACAAGCACCTGTGTGTTATCTTATTTATTGTAAATCACCCCTGAATAAAACATTAAGGTCATGAGAATAAGGGAAATGATCAACAACTAAAGAAGTTCTTGATGGTTAAACAAATTCTCCTTGTTAGCATCTTAAGAAATGTATGGAGAACAGTATAGAGAATATACATACTGGTGTTAGGGTGTAAAGGGTTAAATTGTGATAAGGGCTCTAAATGTTTGATACATCCACTCCTCGCATAAGTGCCATGGATTAGGAATATGAAAGTGTTACAAGCTAGAGGTAGGTATCTGAAAAATTGTCATAACTTTTTCTATCATTTTTTTCCATTTTTTTCATGTTTTGCTTTGATGCATTTCATTTATCTTAGGTCATTACCAGTTTCCTGGGGGGAGAGTAGAAACACCTGAATGTGGTGAGCAGGAAGTCATTGTTTTGTTCTTACCAGTCTTGCCTCTCGTAGCCCATCAACAAAATCTGGAAGTGTTTCATTACTTAAATTTCCTTTTTATTTCATTTATTTCTTCTTAGTAAAAATCAAGGAAAAATACTTTGAAATCTGACAAATTAACCTCTAGCTTAAGCTTCCGATCTACCAAAAGAGGTAAGCGTTCCTTGTTGTTCTGTAAAATCGAAATGATCCAATCAATGGATGTCAGAGAATCTTAAAAGAACTAGATATATCACTATTGATTGTGATAATTTAACTTAAGCACCAATAATAACAAAAGAATGTCTTTAAGCAGAAATGAAACTGAGATACGTACCGAGATACTCGACGAAATCTGCCATGTATTTGTTACTCTTATGTATTATCGATCCTCCTGATTCAAACCTTTTCCCAGCAATTTCCACGGTACTCAAACGTCCCCCTATCCTATCTGATGCCTCGTAAACATCAATTGTTGCCTCGGGTCCAAAGAGTTGTCGAATGAAATGCGCGGCACTCGAACCACCAATGCCTGCTCCAATGATTGCTATGTTAGGTTTTGCGTTTTTCTCAGCTGCAGAGACGGTGCACCGTTGTCTATCGAGGAAAAGGGCTGGTATAAGAAGGATGCTTGTACTTATGCCAAAACCCAATGTCCGAAACATTGTTTCTCGCCGGAAAATCCGTAAAAGAACAAACAAACTCGATCACAAGAGGGTACTCTTACTCTTACAGATTGATCGAGCAAAGCGTAACGCAGAAGAGGTCTCGTGACCTAGGCATCCGTGACACAGAAAGGTTCGTGACGTAAACACGTAAATGTGACTGTGATAGCTATATGCTTCTACTTCCGGTAATTGAACTGAGCAAAGTACAAGTGCACCTGAAATCAATAGCATCATCTCAGATCAACTTTGCACGACAAGAAGTTCATTTGCCACACTTTTACAACAAGAGAATATCAATTTATATTCTCTTGTTTTGCAACTATTCAAAAGTGGCCAAATTTACTCGCCGCAACTGACGGCAGAAATAGAAACTGCACGTCCCGAAACTAATTCATTTTTCCAAAGCAAATTTCAGCAACAATAGTAGCAAAATTCACCATTCGATGGCCTTTTTCTTCCCAGTTGGATTTGTTAATTAGGCCATAGAATTAGATTGGTAATTTTGTCTGAGTTCTTTTCTCGCTGGCTCGGGAAAAGATGCAATTTAGAGCAAAGAATGGTGCGACTCGTGAATTAATCACACTGCTGAAAGCCAAAAAGATTGCAAGGATCACAAGTGATTTCAAAATGGATGTATGATTTAACTTTCTCTTCTATATCCATCTTTTATCATTTTCTAGAAGCTGTAAAGCTCAACGTAGGTTTTGACAAAAACCACTGGATACTTATGTTACTTCGGACTGGTAATATTGAGCAATCAAGAAATTTAATGATTTTTAAATGATTTAATTAAGTACTTTTTAAAAAACTTATCAATGATATCAACAATATATGACACGCGAGATTGCTTGGTGGCAGGAAGCAGGAGACGATCTTGCCCCGTTTTGTACGTTTACATTGCACTGAATATCAATCACGAAATGGTCCTTTTCCATTTTCTAAACTACCTCTAAGATGATTAACTGAGTAGATAGTACTTAAATGCATCATAAAATGAGCTGAGGGACCGATATTATTTATTTAGAGGGAGAGAGAGGGAAAAAAAGGGGCCTCAAGGCTATTTTAGATTGGCTAGAGGGGGGGGTGGCTAAATTTTTACACAGAATTTTAGAGGGGTTAGCATCATAAAATGAGCTGAGGGACCGATATTATTTATGTAGAGGGAGAGAAAAAAAAAAGGAGCCTCATGGCTATTTTAGATTGGCTAGAGGGGGGGGGGGTGGCTAAATTTTTATACAGAATTTTAGGGGGGTTAGCATCATAAAATGAGCTTAGGGACCGATACTATTTATGTAGAGAAAGGGAGAAAAAAAGGGGCCTCAAGGCTATTTTAGATTGGCTGTAGGGGGGGAGGTAGCTAAATTTTTTAAACAGAATATAAGAATATTTCGCCTTTATTTACTTTAAACCTAGGGTATCCCCTACGCTTTATCCAGGGTTTTTATAATTTTCAGGATTCCCAGAAAACATTAAGCTTGGGCAATACGTGGAGGGGGGGGGGGGATGCAGATATGGGAAACCTCGATACAAACAAAGTATACAGGATATTTAACTATCTTTGCAAAATTCACCTAATGAACCCTTGATTTCCACTTCCTTTAAATTAACATAACAGTAAATCCTAATGTTCATTGGAAGAGGGTAAATGGTATGCCACGTCAGACAACAAATGTGAAAAAAAGCAATGGATGTGCATGTTTATGAAGGTGAATTTGCCAGTTTTTATTTATAGTTTTGCAGATAGATAATATGTTTCAAACATTCCATTTCTATCTGATAACAAAGGCTACATTCCCTTCACTTCAAGCTTAAATTGTAGAAGGTATACACGACGCTCAAAGCTCTTGCCTAATGGAGCCTCTTAGACTTCCTTTTCGGTGTTTAAGTGATTGTTTGCATTTCTAAGGTCCTAATGCAAAGATGATCTTTCTGCGTTACACATAAGTAGCCCGAGAAAATGGTTGCAGGTGTCTAGTTTAAAATATAGTATACATTTTACCATTTTAAATTTTCTTTATAATTCTTATATGATAATTCAATTTATGCAAAATGTGGCAACCAAATAGAAAGTGTGTGCGCAAGCCATCCATTTGCGAAATTGCCTGTCAAAATGACAATAAAATGACATAAAAGCATCCATTCAAAAACGCACCTTCACGGCTGTAACGACAATCTTGTTCTGATTAGTTGTCATATTAAGAGATACGAAACCGACAATTTCTTCTTGTGTACGCCATACTGGATGCATGCTTTTTTTTTCTTTGGTCCATCTTTGACCTTGAACTAATAGCGACAGGGCATCTCTATCCTCAAGGTAGGTGACATTTTTTCACAATTCAATGACGAAATCAACTTAAGTCTCTAACAACCTTTCCTCTGATTGTACGAGAAAATTTGTTTCCCGTGTTCGTTATCGAAAGTCTTCAATTGTGTAAATTAATGAAAAGAACTATGCGATTGTAGTTTTCCAATTTTGGGAACTCGGCGGAGTTCTCGTGGAGAAGAACAGACCCTCCAAAAAAAACCAAAAACAGTCGTAATCGCAACATTAATCGTTTGCGAATAAGGAAGAACTTTCTGAAGCGACATTAAATAGGCACTTGGCTTAGCTTTGGGAGCTGGTTGTTTACCTTGCATGTAGTCAGAGTTTTTTGAAAAGGTGATTCCTCAGAAAAAAAAAAGTTATCGCACAATTAACAAATAGAGAAGCCTTGACTGTGCTCTGTTCTGTTGTAAAGCACGCAGGAAGCAGCTAGAGCACGAAAGAAGTGTAGGGAGAAACACGAGACGTAGTCGAGTATTTCTCCCTACTTCTTTCGTGCTCTAGCTGCTTCCTACGTGCTTCACACAAGAAAACAGAGCACAGTCAAGGCTTCTCTATTTGTAATATAATAAAGAATCTGTGAAATTCCCCACGTATTACTTTCAATTTTCAAAACAAACTTTAGTTCTAAAGAGAACTACAGTGTCGTCAGCATGCTCAATACTTTCACAAAGCTTGCTACAATAAGCCAATCAGAATCCCCGTTAGAATGGTTCAAATAATCTGATTGGCTGTACAAGACTAAGGCTGTCAAAAATGTCAAACCATCAAAGTTCACCTTCTGCGCGTTCGGCAGGTCGAATTTGACACTTTTTAGTCTTTAAGACAGATTCTGAAAGTGAAATATTCAGTGAAATCCGGCCCCATTGTGGCTCTTAAAAATACGTAAGTTTTATCACGTGATAGTTAGAAAACAAAATGTTCAAGCGTGTGTTTCCTGAATGAACGACAGCCGAATTTACCGGAACATTAGGATTGCTCGGGATTACAGCGCCGTAAGACTGGTGTGGCCTTCCAATCAACGGATCGGAAAGGATATCAGAGCAGGCTCTCAGTTGTTCTCTCGCAGTGCGGCCGATGTAATTTCTGAGGCGAACTTGACTACGATGACCGGAGATCGCCATGACGAGCTCTGACACCGTCATGATTTGTATGAATTTTAACGGTTTTGCCAGTTTGGTTAATAATGGTAATTGAACTGAGTGGAGTGCAATTTGGGCTGAAATCATACGCGTGATTTCAAATTTCGATTTCGATTGCACGACACGAGGTTCAATTACCACTTTATTACATCCATTTTGAAATCGCCCAAATACAGGACTTGGTCACTTCAAATATTTTATTGATGCAGTACTGAGCCGTTTCGAAATTAAATTCATCCATTTTTGGGGGGGAAAATAAGAACTTTGGAAACAAAAGTAGCAAAATTTGCCATACGATACTCTTTGTCTTTCATTTTCCTGCAATTTGATCGGTTACTTTAAACAAGCCTTGAAATCTGATTGGTTGTTTTGTTTTTAGTGTAGCCTGCTCATTGGCTGGGAAAAAGATGCAATTTAAAGCAAAAAATGGTGCGATTCGTGAATAAATCGCACCAATTAGAGCCCAACGGATTACGGGGACTAGCAGTGATTTCAAAATGGGTATAATAATATTTTTAATCATTTCTGATTTGTTCTCTTTTGTTTTTGAACATGAAACCATATATTACACGAGTGTTAGCTGTGTTTGATTACGTACGTAACCTTGCAATCTAACTGAGTGTGAAAACCTTTAAAACTCGGACCATCCATTTCGTTTAATCTTTGAGGATTTTCGTCTCCGCTCACGTTATAATAACGTCAATTGCGGCGCCTGGCATGTTTACAAACCTTTGTTTGGTTCTTCTGTTGCTATTTGCCGATTCGCCTGTTCCGAAATTTCTCTTTCAATTAAAGAAAAAAAAACTAGAGAAAAGTCCCGGAAAAGGTCGGACAAAGTACAATTTGGCAGATGGCGTGACAGCTTTAACTCAGCTCTATGCTCTTTACTCTCATGGAGCACGCTCTTTCAGTTCCCAGTTGGCTTGTTAGCTCAGTTGGTAGAGTGCTGCACCGGTATCGCAGAGGTCATGGGTTCAAATCCCGTACAGGCCTGAATTTCTTTTTCAGGCCTTATTTTCACTACTGCCTAGGTAGTGCACATTACTGCGAGGATCACTTTCATTCACACAATCACCCAATCTTACACGACATCGACTCAAAACGTTACTCAAGTTTTTGCTTTCAAGATCATAATTTGCATCCTCAAGTTACGGGCTTTCTGCAAGCTTTTTTCTTTTGTGCTCTTCGATGAGTTTTTTTTAAAATAATTTCTTCAATTAAAAGGGGATACGTGTACCCCAAAGTTATGTAATAAAAAAATGTAGGCCTAAAGACCATCGTACCTTATCACCACTGATTAACAAACAATGTGCACGTCGCTGAGTCGCCTGATTACGTGATTTTAATGCGCACTTCAGGATGCGAAGCGCAATACTGAGGAATCACTTTAATACCATCAGCAGAACCGAAGCTGTTTGATAGAATTGTTAGCTGTAATTTGAGAATAAGTTTAGCGAGGAGTCTTTATCAAACTTTGGTGAGAAGGACAAGAATTAGTGTTCTCCTTCCAGATCTAAAAATGCAGAAGTCCACGGTGAAATTCTCAGACGACGATATTTCCCAGTCAACACGCAAGATTGAAGTTGCAACATGGTGTCCTGTGTTTGCCATCGAAGCCTTTGTCACAGTAATAGGAAACCTTCTGATTGTTATTATCTTTGCACGAGATTACCGCCTAAGAAAGCTAAGCTCTTATCTCATTATCAGCTTGGCGCTGGCAGACCTGTGCATTGGCTTAATTGTTTTACCGCTATGGATTTATCAGATGACAGGCTTGGGTGAGCTGTGGCAAACCATCACTTTCCTGACGTTGGACATGTTCGCAAGTGTTGCCTCGATTTCAAACCTGGCCGCCATATCACTCGAGAGGTTATACGCAACCATGTTACCATGGAGACATCGTGCCACTCCAAAGTCCCAAGTTCTGTTCTTCATTGCCTCTATTTGGATGCTGTCTGCCGTCATCACGAGTTCGTATGCGGTTGCACTTTTTGCATATTCGTCACCGTTGGGTTCCCTGTTCTCCTGGTTGCCCTATATTTGTCTCTTGTTGTTGGTAATCTGTGGGTCGTACTCAGCTCTATTTGTAAAAATGCGACGAACTGACCAACGTAGATTGGACAGAGAGCGCAAATTAACGGTGACTTTGTTCATGGCTACAGTTTTCTCCATAGTCGCCTATCTTCCAATGGTTGTACTTGGCGTCAAGTACTTCGCTCTCAACAGAAAAACGAGCAATCTTTTTCTCAACATTTTGAGCTTGTTTAACTTTGGGAATTCTCTTGTGAATCCATTTTTGTACGCATTCAGAATGCCAGATTTTAGGAGGGCAGTTTGTTCACTGTTTGGCATTTATCACCAGGATCAACAAACGCGCCAGAGTCACGAGACTATCGCACATTTAAGTGAAAGAGCGCCGCCTTCGTTTGCGTTGAGAGAGTTATCAACAGCGGTTTCATCAAGGATAAGTCCAGTTGCTAGGCTCCCTGAGGCAGTTGACAAGCTTTCTGAACTGAAATGAACAGTGTTGAGAAATTCTCACTGACAGAATTGTGAGGTACAGTGAGTGTAACAGTGACCGCTCGTATCTCACTGACTGTGTTATTGCGAGCTGCAGTCTCCTTTGTGCGGCAGTTTGCTCTAACTTTATATCAGAATTCCAGTCTTCATTAAGGCCTTCAATCATTGTTGTGAAATCGTTTTCTGAATCATTTGTTTGCGCTTACGGTCGCAGGCAGATATATAATAAAGGCAGTGTTACCGTTTCGTCTTCTTAGAAGAGAGCGGTTCCGGCCATTTCACATTAAGGAGCATGTCACACACAAGATTAGCATCCATGTTTCAATCAGACATTAAAGGAAACAAAGATGCAAACTCAAAAAATTTCCAACGGTGAATATACAACAATAATTAATGTAGCAGTGCTAAGTTTAACGATTTAACTGTGTTATCACAAAAAAAGGCCCACCAAAAAAAACGCATGGGGGCTCGACATAACATTAAAATAATAAACAACAGAAACGTTAATAAATAAAAAAAAGAATGATTTCTACACTATTGGCTAATAAAGAATTTGTTCATGCTTAGCGTACGTATATCGAGTTATGGATGCACGCGGAAAGTTTGGAGAACACGAAAAATGCGTAAGAGAAGCTCGAGGCGCAGCCGAGAGCAACTCTAGCTCTTTGAGTGCTCTCCAAACTTCACAAGTGCATCCATAACTCGATCTACGCACAGCTAAAAGCACGTGCAAATTCTTTTGTAACAGAACGACGACAAGGATCTGCGCAAGTCTTTTTCGGCTTTATTTTTGTTGCTTGTTGAATCAGTGCTGATAAAAAAATTGGGCAGTTCTTCGCTGGTTTCTTCCATATTTCAAAGAGGAAGAAAACTGCACTTTAATTTAACTGGACGGAAACTCTGAAGCCAGGTAAAAAAATGCTCACGTCATCTCATTTACGCACGGGCGTGCGTACTAGAAAGATTTTGTTATAGCGGCTCAATAGGACTTATATAGGGCAAGCACGCGCGCTATGTTATAATCACGGTTTGAGTATCATGAAGGATAAAATTAGCTAAGTTCCAATTGGTCAGTAGAGACGAATGAATTCGCGAGCAAGAAAAAATCGGAGAGGGATTTTAGGAGTTCTTCCATCCTTCCTTAGTACCCTTTCGTTTTCTCTCGCCAACTTTCGCTTGCCCTGCGTCCTTGTTCGTTCTACAAACAGACCGCCCAGACCAGAGGTTGCCGCAGCTTAACACTGTCCAACAAAGGAAGCATCGATTAAGACAACTGATACTCCAATGAGAATGACAAATCAACAACTTTATTGCTGAGAACACAAAAACCACTCATATTAGCTAAATCAATTACATTTCACTGCTACAATATAAACGGATACGAATAAGAATATAATGTTGGCAAAATAGATGGTGAAACAAAAACGACAAAACGCGGTTAACCCTTTAACTCCCAGAAGAGACTAACATGTAACTTTTCCCTAAAATATTCATACATTATCCAACAAACAGGTACTATGAATATACAAACTAATGAGAGAGAAGTTTTTGTCTTGATCTAACACCAAATTCTCACAACTCATTTACAAGAAAGCATCCAGTATCAACAGTGGAGAATTAACAATAAAATCTTGGCAGTTAATGGGTTAAGACTCGTACTCGGCCGCCATGTTCTTCCCGTGAGTCCCCACGCGCCTTAATCCACTGGATTCCACCCTCTTCTTAACAACTAAACCCCAATTGGCGACTTGCTAAGAGTCTGAATACATCCAAAAAAGCAACAAGCAACGGTTCATGTTGTAATTGTCTGAGCAGGACTGAATATTAAGAGGAAAAGTGAAGATAAACAATGACTACAATTATGATGAGTTGACAGAAACGAGTTTTAACGAAACTTAACTCATTATGGTGTGTTCACTTTAGAACTGAAACATGTTTGGCGTAATCATGAAAAATTTTCGCGTCCCCAAGTCTAACCCTTTATTTTTTCCCTTATCTCAAAATAAAAGCTACTTCAACCTGTGGATGAGCAAAGAACCAGCTGCGCCTCAAATATGATAAGAAGGCAACAATGCCGCACCCTAGGAAAGATTGATTTGAAAATCCTGTTCTTTGTCATCTCGATATTTTCTTCAAATTGTTGGGCTCGAAACCAACAAAAAGAGAATATTTTCCGATCGTCGTTTCTCAGGTCTATCGTGTTCAATCTAGCTTTTTCTGATCAAATTAAACATGCTCCAGCCTAGCGTGAACACAGGAACAAATCTAATCAAATCTATATTAAATCTAATTTCTAGATAATCATTAATTAATCAAACTCCAAAAAAATCCCCGCATTCCTACATTAATTCATTAAAAATTTAAAATGAAAAGGCTCCCTTGAGTTTTAACCGGAATGTATCCAGGCCTGCGACGCATGCGTATTTGATACCCTAGGACCTGCCTGAGTAAATACAACGAAGGGTGGATCGACCGTAAAAAACACTTGAAATATGTGATACCCTTGGTTGTTTTGCTTCCTATCCATAAGAAAGTATTCGATATGTTATGTATTAAAAACGAACAACCAAACACAGAAAAACGAAAATCGAGCGATCATTTCTCTATCTCGCGTGACAGTCTAAGTCACTCGCACGCGGTTGCATGGAGCACCCGATACGTAGGCTCTCTAATTCTTCATGAGAATGAGCCGACCTGGCCAGCAAATCCTAGCTGATGGTTGGCGCCCCGTGATGCAACTGACAATTCTATAGCCTTTATAGTTTGCACTGAAATAGGTAAATAATATTATCAAAAACCTTTTTTCCTCTAGCTTATATTAATGTAACCACGCTTTATAAATTAATGCCTGCTCCTTAGGCTAATGGTTTAAGTTCCCTTCCTGTCGCCCTTATTAAAGAAAATCAGGGCCAATAATAAGTAAGTTAATAGGTCAATGTAATAAGATTATAGGTGCATTTCTTCTAGGGTGTTTCTTTAAAATAATTCTAGCTGCTAAGTTATACTCATTTATTCTTTTTTCACCCAGGAATGATCAATATATTAGTAATATCTTGTTCTCAAAGTTAGGTTTCTATGGGTCAGTACCATGAATCAAAAGGCCCTTGGTACCCAAAAGGCTACCGCTGAAACGTTATATCATGTTGTGTCTATTTCACGATCGTTGACTCACTAGTCCATCAGATGTAACGAAAAATCGCTTTCTTCCAGAAATTGTTGATCCCAATCAAAGCCGTAGAAAATAGACTCTATCTAATTTACCCGATAAATACAAAGGTACACGACTGAAAAAGCGTTCCATCTTTTCCAATACATAAAGAGACAGAGAGGCCCTGCGTAGCCGAACTTTGGAATGTCACGCCACGCTTCCGTCGAAAAAGAGTTGGACGAAAGGTTGCGTGACACCTCGGGCGTGGAGGTAAATTAACGAATCAATTGTGTGACTTGCACCTTATTACTTCGTACCAAAAACAAAATTAATGCTTGACGACTCCATTCTCATGAGCTGGTTCGTGATTGACATTGTACATACAGTCCAAGAAGCCCCACGCTATTTCATTAACAATGGATCTATCCGGAATGCTCTGGGACATACCATAGATGGCAGACTGCAATAAGAGCAAAGTCAATAAGCTGTCGAAAAACCGATACGTCATTACTTTAAAAATTTACGACGCACATATTAGGTCAGTAACTGAATTACGAGACGGACAAAACCTCACAGATCAACTGCATTAGACGAAATTGCAGATATGGAAACCTAAAAAAATTCAGGCTTTGAAAGAGTTCCTCTCACATACTAGCTCAATGTTACTACCATTTCAAAGAAGGAAATTTGCCTCGCCACCAAGTTCGGTGGCTAGTGGCACCCTACCACCATCGAGTTCACACCCTGTCGAAACCTGACTTTTCGGGGCCTTTTTCTGCAGTTTCTTCAACTCGATTCATCTGTGATAATTATTTCGTTAATGATTATCATCCACAGGTCAAATTCGTTTTATTTCATTTATTTGTGCTAACAGAATATCTCACCATGCCGCTTGATTTTGCTGCAGGATCTTTCAAAAGTGCAGCGGTACATTCTCTGACGTCCTTAATAAACTGATCAGCCACACCTGGCTGTGTGTTCAAAGCTGTCACACAAATATGAATACTGCAAAAAATCGAAATACAACATATCAGCCATGGACAGATACACAACTTTCATTTCATTATTTTAAGAATTCTGTTTATTAAATCAGTGTAAATTTGGTAGAACATTTGAGAATAAAGCGTATTAAAAACCAACCTCGTTTCCAGGTCCTCTCTCTCTCTCTCCTTAAAGGGAGGAGACCCTGGGAACAAGTAGCTTGTAAAAGCCTACGTCATTGTCAAGTGCAATTTATTATTATACTGTTAGGTACAGTTCTGAAAACTGAGTGACTGAAAGAAACAGTGAATACAAACCTTGAAGGGAACTGAAGGGTGTTTAGATGCCAGCCTTTCTTGGTGAGAGCATCGCCCAGGTGGTAAACATCAAAATCATGTGAAGCAAACGCCACCACACTCACTTCAGGTTTTCCAAGAACAAAAATACCTTTGATCTTTCGCAAGCTATAGGGGTACAAGGCAAAGAAAACTTCCATTCATTAACTAAAGACAAACATTAATGAATTTTCAATTTCAATCTCATCTTCATTGCATCTCCCTTCTGTAGGAAAGAATTACAAGGCTTAACATACCGTTGTAAAGGTCACATGGGTAACTCTATCACTCTCACGATTTCTATATCAAAATCTCTCTCATGTCTACCATACATTTTTTGGACTGAAAATCAGCCATAAAAAAAAGGCCCATGCAAAACTTAATATCCACAACGGTAGCTGAGGGTTTTGTAAAATAAACCTTAAAATACAAAATTAATAATCTTTCTCACCCATCCTCAATTTTCTTTCTTGTTGATATAATTTTTCTTGTGCTCTCAACATAACCTGGAAGAAAAAAAGCCATTTTTGTATTGATTGTGGCAGATACTGCTGAATGGTTGTAACCAAATGAATTACACTCTCACTCAAACATTTTAAATTAAATCTAGTTAACTACAAAATCATCCACTATATGGATAAGCTTTCCATACCAGACTCTCCATAGTAAATCATTGTAGCCCATGTCGCTGCTATGATTGCACCAGGTCGACTGCCAGGTATTGATGGACAGGCATAAATTCCTCCTTGCCAATCAGGTGCAACAAAATACTAAACAAAAAAAACACTGTAAATCCCCTTACATGAGCTGCATCCTTTCTACACTAGGTTTGATGCACAAGTGAATTTCATTTTGAGTAAACAAAGCAGCTTTTGCAACATTCAATCCCCATCTTCAGGAAAACTTAACCTTTTTCCAATGCTAATGCTCAAAATGTCAGTTTTAGAATCTCTTTATGATGGCCCTGCAATTCACCTTATCAACTCAGTTGATAAAAACAAAATGTCTACTTCAGCATGGCCTTTTTTGTTGTTGTTTTCTTTTTAATGTGCAGCTTGCATAACTAAATGAGTTTTATTGTTTTTCCTTTGCAAAAAACAGCAAACTGCCAGCAAACTAGAACCACAATTTGGTATACTGCACCTCCCATGTTGGCATAAGAATTTCATGCATTTTAAATTTTGGCCGAATTTTGTGGAAAGTCAGCAATTGGTAATCTTGGTGCCCCCCCCCCCCAAAAAACAAAAAAAAAACCAAAAAAAAAAATTAAGTTCCAATGAGAAATAAAAATTCATACAAAATTAATGCTGTGGAAATTTACTACCAGTAGTTGCATACAAAAGCTGCAAGGAATTACACAAAAGGTAAGGATATGATTTTTGTTTAATTGTGTAATTCTGAGTACATTAACCCTTTAACTCCCAGATGTGATTGACATAAAACTTCTCCCTACAATATCCATACATTCTTTAGCACACAGGTAATGAGGATATTCAAACTCATCAGGTAGAAGCTGCTATCTTGATCTAGCACCAAGTTCTCATAACTGTAGCAGCTACAGGGGAGAATTAACGATCAGATCTTAGGAGTTGAAGGGTTAAGAGGCAAGGTTTTAAGAGTCAATAGTATTTTCTATAGAGGTTTCTAAGAAGTAAAGTTTGTTTTGAATCAATTCACCTGAAAATGCCTGAGATGCTTGTTGCTGTACATGATAACTGAAGATCCTTTGGGTGAGAATCCATACTGAAGAGAGAACAGACAGTCTTCACTTAGGGATCAAAGTGCAAAACAACAAACAACTTAGATAAACTTAAGGGAAGAAAAAAGAGACATGAATACTAGTAGGACACACTAAACTCAATAGATTTCATTTTGCATCCAATGTTAAAATAGGGTTGAGAAAATATACATACACAGAGGCACTTTGGAAACCTCTCACTTTGACGTACCTTGTGTGTATCACAGGATATACTTGTAACTCCATCTACAGAAAAATCAAATGGAGGAAGACTAAACCTGGACAAATCAACAAAAATATGCAATATTAGTATTCATATCATGATACAAAATCAGAATCTGTGAGATGAAAGCCCAATTTCTTATCATGCAAATATGGGGGGGGGGGGGGGGGGGAAATGGGAAGGGAGGGGCAACTGTTACGGAATGGAATCCAGTCCAGGGGGAGTAGCCATATTTTCAGAAGCTTTATATTTATGGAGGGTAGGATAAGCTCAGTTAGGATGACCCTTCTGGCTTGTGGGTATTTCTACCTTTTATCTTTTTTACCCAAATGAAAGCACCGAAAAACCACTGGGGATTGTGTTATAAAAGAGACATACCCAGCTTTTTTCATGAATGGTATCAGAAAACCACCAAGGCAGGCATCTACATGACAACCAAGATTATACTTTTTGGCAAGTTTGGCTATTTCTTCAATTGGATCCATAACACCATGAGGAAACTGAGGTGCTGAGCCACAAAGCTGAAACAGAGACAGAGCATTCATGTATTGTTTAGACAATAGCATAACTGTAACAGTGTATTAACAGGAACTGCAATACTTAGATGTTGCCTAAAAGGTGAAAATGAAGACAGAGAGGAAGACAGGTTCAAACAAAAGATAAACAAACAAACAAAAGAAACAAATTAAAACAAGCCACAACAGTCAAGTGACCCACATACAAACAGTGAACACAGAATAACAGTAACTTGCATTTAGGCATAACTTTTTTTTTAGTAGAGGGTGACAGTTGTGGCTGTTTTTTTAACAATAGTCCACATTTTGAACTGACAGCAAACACCTGTAACTAGTGAAGATCTATCACTGCAGACTTTCAATTTTTTAACATTTTCCACAACTCCTTCACTATTACAAAATCTTGCACCCCAAAGCAGGTTACAATGAGACAACAAAATGTCTGAAAAAGACAAAAGACAAAGCAACAATGACAATAACAGCTCACAAATTGCAGAACCAAATTGAACATACTAGAATGGTATTCTTTGTTATTGCTCTCCGCATGGCCTGCAAGAAAAAAAAACATATCACTGAGTGGCAAACATTTAGGCTTTGGTCTTTAACCTCTTAAATAAAGTTCAAGTTCCAAATCTAACACTTGTAAATACCACTTCTTACCTTGATGTTAACTTTCCTTGTTTTCTCATCAACAGGAACATGAACAAGCTTAATATTGAAATAGTGAGCTGCCTATAAAACCAAGGAAAAAAACCAAGTTTATAGGTGGAGCTATATTATAACTATACTGCCAGAGGGTTCCACTTGTATGATGTAGAGTCACTGATTAGTAGAACTCACCCTGAATAACAAAGACAGACAAACAAACAAACAAACAAACAAACAACCAGGCCAATGCACAAACAAACTTGAAATGCAGAGAGCAATAATGATTTCAAATTTTTCCAGCCATAAACTCTGCTTGCAAACCCAACCATCAAAAGAGTAAAGTTGTCTTGGGAAATTTTGAAGTAATGGAAAGTAGAAGAAACTGAATCTCTTGTAGGGTTCCTGACCTCTAGACTTACATACAAAAATTCTTCTAAATGGACTTTTAATTTCAACATAGAATATGACATTTTCCCCCCCATGTTCCATCTCCTTGCTAATTTCCCCAAATCCTCCCACCCTAAAACTCACACCATCCTATCTTTGCCTACTCCCCAAACCTAGTTTCCCTGCCAAAGACATAATTTTATGGCTTTGTTTCCTTTTGACTATATTTCTGAATAAAAATTGAAATTAGTGATTCACTGATCACTTAAAACACAGTGTCAACTCAAATGAAATCTACTTATTCAAAATAAACCATCAGTACTTTTACCTTGTCAAATGCTGCATGAATACTTATAGGTGCCACACTGAAATAAAGAAAAATGTGTCCTTTTTAAATAGCTCTGAATCTGTAGCAAGTACCCTACAACTAGATTGACAAATTACTAGTTACATGTGCCAGTGCATGTCATGTAACAATGGTTGATTCTTGAAGTTAGGGTTTTTTTTCCCTTCATTACCTTGTAATGTAAGTGGTGCTGGATAATTTTAAAGTACCACTTTTCAATTTTTCCCAACTTACAGCTATTCCTATGGACATATACATGACCAGGTGAGATGCACAGATCTTTCAATGTGTTGTTGAGCTAGAAATTGAAAAAATTTTGGCATTGAATTTCAATGCCCTGAGCTTCTTTTCTTAATTCAAATGTGGAGGATATTTTCAGTTATTTTACATTATTCTACAACTACATTTCTGCATGAAAAGCCAGTGTTTTTTTAGGCCTGTCTTAATCATTCAATACAGGATGGTATTTACATTTCTGGGTGTGTTATTCCACGGTCACTTGCCCAGTCACGATATGCCTTACATGCCATCAATATACTCTCAGTTCCTCCACTGGTCATCTAAAAAAGTAAAAAAAACATAGTAGTCTCTACTACAGTTGTGAATGTCCTTGAGAGTCTTAAATTAAACAGTGGCAAGTCATAAATACATACAGAAATAAATAAGCAAAATATCACTGTCCAAACAAGTTGTAAATTTTCACATTTATGCAAGAATACTAAAAAATGAAGTTTAAAGGATCAGATTGTTGGTGCCTACAATGCACTCAGGTATCTATGCTCTCTATGCAAGACTCATTGATTTCATAAAATAATTAACATTTAAATCTAGCTATTAATAAACTAAAACATTTCTTGAACACACTAGACTGTTTAAAAAAGAGGATTATTACTTAACCCTTTCACTCTCAGAAGTGATTAACAACTAACTTCTCCCTGCAATATCCATACATTATCCAGCAAACAGGTCATGAGAATACTCAAACACATCAAGCAGAAGTTGCTCTCTTGATCTAACACCAAATTCTTGCAACAAATTTAAAAGGAAATATGTTGTAGCTGGAGGAGAGAATTGACTATCAGATGCAGGAGTTAAAGGGTTAAAGCAAAAATTGCAGTGTTATTCTTATGCTGTATAGAGGGAATGTAACCGTTGAAAAGTTGGGGTTTTATTGCATTATTTCACGAATGGTTCTTACAGTTCCACATGCATCCTTCCCTCCATGGTACATATTGACACACATCTGAACAACTTCTGCTTCCATCTTCCGCACTGTTGGATTAAAAAAAAAATACTTATGCCATTTTCATGACACATGTAATGACACCCATGGAATAAAAATTATCATAACATTTCTCAGCTAGTACATTTCCTATGATTGGTCAATTTAGGAGGCCACGATTCACTGTGTGGCCTGCTAAATTCAAAATTTTAATTGAATTGAAATTTTTCCCCTCTATTTGAACCCAGAAATATAAAAAGTATCTTCCTGAACTCATTTTATCTATCTATACTGTAAGTTAGAGTTGTACCTCCAAGCATTGAGCATGGGTCACAATTCAGAGTGGAAAACTTGATCTATAAGTTACAGTATGGACCTTGAACTTGAGTTGGTTAGGTTACATTGTGAGCTGCTTACTTACCATCAGGAAAGATATCCACATGGAGTGGATTGGCCCAAGTGAATTTTGAATAGACCTGTAGGCAAAATAATTCAAATCAAAGGAAGGCTGATGCTGTTTCTGATCATAAAAGCTTCTTTAAGTTAGCACAATAATTTCAGTTAAAAGTTTAAATTTTTAGTGAAAGATTATTCATCCTGTTTAGTAACTCTGGCCATCAAAAACTCATCTAAGCCTAAAAATGTGCAGGTATCCACAATGTAAACAACATACCTGATAGAATACAGGAATTTTTTTTCTTTTTTCTTTTTCATAACATTCAATGAGTCTAAAATTCATCTTTCAATTTCCTGTAACCTTTTAACTCCCAAGATCTCATTAGTAATTCTCCTTACTATCTGCCATACAGTTCTTGTGATGTTAGTTTGGATAATTTGGTATTAGATCAACTTCTAGTCCGGCAATTGATATTTTTATTTATTCCCATTGCTTGTCTGCTTAAGATTGTATTGATATTGTGAGGAGAAATTCTGTCTTGGTCACTCAGGGAAGTTAAAAGGTTAATGCCCCTAAACAAGGCTTTTTCTTTACCTTTGTTAGCACTTCTGTGAGTTCTTTTCCTCCACAATAAATTGCTCCAGAAACACGTCCTTCCTCCCATTTCACTTCACCTACATTGAATGATTAGATTACAATGTAAGGTATTGATAAAATTAAAGAATTAAAGTCCATAAGTACAACATCCTCCTAGATGTCAAATGATCTCCCAAGATTAAGATTTGTAGCGGTTCAGCTGTGTAGCTTACTCTTAGTGGAGAAAAATGACACACTGTTTGAAACTTGAGAGACTATTAAAAAAATTTTAATATTAGTAGATCAGAACTTATAATAATTGTCATCAAAAAAAATTCAGCAAATACATGTATATCTTGTAAACCACTATAACAAAAAAAATTTACAAGTACAGATACCAAGGTTATTGCTGTTGTAGTGATGTAGATGTCACTTACCAAGCTTTGTGTAATTTTCAATTTCCTTCATTAGATCTTTCTACAGGGGAATAAAATAAAGCTTTTTGTTACCATAAAAGCATGTGTCATAGTATTAAATTAGAGTACATGCAAAGAGGCACACCTATGCAAGTTTGAAATATTAACATGTTTTGGATTTTGGACCACTTCCTGCACTCCTTCCCCCCCCTCCCTCCACCTACAGCCCACAACATTCTTCACAGTCATGATAATTATAACAATACAAACAAAGGAAATTAAAAAATAAAAAATAAAACTGGTTTAAAGTATTCATAACCAGGAAGACTTCAGATCACAACAAGTAATAATTATCTAGCCTTGACACCAAACATAAATTCAGGTGAAAATTATTTCGTAAAACAGTTTTAAAATCATTTACAATTACTAAACTCATTTCAAAATACAAACCTCTTTCATTCCTTTGGCTGGTAGCTTAAAATTGAATTTAAAAAAAGTATAAATAAGTACATGAACTTACACAGAACAGTTAGCATCACAATTTGGAGCAAAATCTTAAATTTGCAAAATGATGTTGATTCAACAATCATCTTCCAGAAGGTAACATTTAAGGAAGGAAGTGTACTAGTCTACCTTCTCCTTCACATTTCCTTTCAATCAAGTTTCTTGTTTAACAATGATCTAAATTACATACACATCTGTCAAGATACCCACTACAGTGTACATCATTGAAAACAGAACAATTGAAGAAAGTACAAGTGTGTATATTTAGATGTTTGAAGATTCATACGACATACTCTTGTATGAAAGGTCTCTCCTGGCTTCACAGGAAATACTGTTTTGCCCATTTCTTCCACAGTTTTATTCATTTCATTGGCTATCTGAGGAACAGCAAATAAACAATTTGAATTGAAAAAATCAACTTTTCTAACATACCAAAGTACAGTATAGATGCAGTGGACTTCTTTAGTATTGATGAAGGTCTCTAGCATTTACTGGCAACTTTAACATACCATACTTTTTGAAAGGAAGTGATGGTAAAGTTTGTGTCCAGACACTCAAAGACAAGGATAAGTATTTGACTTGGGAAATTTTGTCAACTGATGTGTATCTTGTTTGTACTTTTCTTTCTATTACAGTGAATGTTCTGATAGGTTCCCAGCAAAGGTTTTGACTTTAAAATCCTCATTACACAGGTATGTATAGCATGACCAGGAGAGTGGAGAGGTTCTGAAATATTTCCCCTCTTACACTGTATTTTGTCAATCTTAAACACTTGTATCCTCACCTTATCTTTTATAAATGGCAATCTTCTCAACGTTCGAAAAAATCCTTTCTTTACTCTCTCTATCAGACCTGAATGACATCAAATAACATTGGCATTAACAACAATATCATGTGAAACACAAGCCATGGGAACTGTAAGAGTCATGGGCTGATTGATTTGTCTAGATTATCTTATGTCAACACTAGCCACTGGGTCAAATTATTATTGAGACAATTTAAAAATTAAGAGGACAAGAATAATTTTGTGCTTTCCCAAGAATGTAAATAAGTTAAGAATCTTTCTTTACTTTCAGACCAGCAGTAACTTCTCTATCTTGCAGCAGTGAATTGCATTGCTACATGAAAGTCTTCACACAGGATATCACATGAAAGGAGCTGTAAAATTGTTAATCATAACCATTACAATTAACTCAAATGTGATTGGTGCTTCATTTTTGACTAATCATTCTGTACAGTTGTAGTTGGACAGTTGGCTGTAATCAGACACCTGTAATTGGACAGTTGAAGCAGCCAATCATACTAGGTCTACTCAGATAAATCCACCAATCACAGAATTGATCACATTAACCACAGCAACAACCACTTATCCAACGAAAAACAAGGCAATTTCCAAAATGGAGGAATATTTAAGTAAAGACATTGTCTCCACTGGAGATATCTGTTCTAAGTATATTTGTTTTTCAGAAATTTTAATGGTTATAATTAATTGGTAACAAAATTTTTTGTCGTTGAATTCTGTCAGTAATCATACTTGTGATTAACAATGGGACTCCCGCTTCACAGTTGTCTGATTTTGTTAATCATTCATATGTCATGAACCAAATTGGACTCCACTTGGTCCTAATACCATTATTAATTAATGTGTAATATGGTAACAAGCACATTTGCCAAAAATTGAGACTGAATATCCTATGAAAAAAAGCAGAAAAAAACAAGTGGCCTTTACTTGAATTTCCCTCTATGAAATGATGGGTGTGTTAATAAACAGAGTAATGCGGTAACATGTAATGGCACCATGCTCTTTAATTAAGCAAGTGATATCTTGACTTTTTGCAAGCTTTTTTAGAGTATGCTCAAGACTGGAAACACCTCAGGATTTACTATAATTCTTTCAATCAATCTTCACCTTTTAATGCTCAAATTTTTATAGTAACACATCCTTTTATTACTTATATGGAAAAAAGGAAAAAAAACTCAAGAGTTGAATCTCTTTATATATGTATAAATCATTGGAGGGCATAGCTGGAAGAATGTTTTGGGGATGTTTTTATCTATGCGAAAAGTAAAGATTAGTTTAGGATTAGTAAAAATTACCCTGGCCAACACACAGTCAAATGTCTACACATGTGCTGGCATTGTTATGACTAGGTGGTGTCCTTTTAGGCTCTCTGACTCCATTGTCTCACGCCAGTTACAACCAACCACACAAGCCACTCTGCCTCAGTTTTTTCCAAAACATATCAGGTTTTTAGCAAAGCTCAAAATAGAAAGGCATGCCTTCAGGATACCTGTAATTGATTATGCTTTGATTCAAAAAAAGATTCAAGCTTTCCTTTCCTGACTTTAATCTCCTTTTTAATTTCATATAGCTATCAACATTTCAGTTTTCTTTAGCTTACTTTATGAGAGCAGTTGTATTGAATATATTTCTTTGAAATTTTGCGAAGGGAACTTGTTGCACGGCTAGCCAGAATTGATGCATTTGCACATGTTAGACGTCTGACTGCTGTGTTAGGCGATGTTAAGTGGTGCCATTGCAGCTGACATTATAGTTTGCTTGCTTAATATTTAATTCACAAATTGCATCAAATACAAACTTTTTTCTCTGAAGAATGCCCATCCAATCACCCAGCGTAGAATTTCCAAGGCAAGCCAAACAAAGAAGCAGTAGGTCACTGTATTGACAACAATCTGTTATACAGAATAAACAAGTTGGTTGGTTTGTCAGAATTAATTAAAAGTAGATGGAACCATTCTAAGACTCATCTTTGCTCGGGTTCCTCTTTATCTTAATCCGGGATTACTGCCCTGGATTACTAGCCGTGTACACACATACAAAGCCATATGACAATATAATCATGGTCATAATTTGCCACCCTCATACCTAAACATCCGCGAAAATATTTCATCTCATTTGATGTTATTGTTTACACAATCGCAGAACTTGACACGTTTGCACTTTCATTTAATTACACGTGAGCTTGCTGATTTCTCCGTTACAGAGATTATGTAATTTCAAAGCAAGAAATTGCCCAATTACAAGTATAAAATATCGACCTTTGACCACTTCGAAAATAAACTGTTACGTGTAGTCTAGGAGAATTTTTGACAGGCCATATAAACCCTCTTCGTAACACTTGTTCCTTGAGTGATGAAACTGAAGTTCATGAGCAGTCTTCATGAACGATTAATATAAAAAATACAAGACAACAGATCCTAAAAACATGCCAAGAGAACTAAGAATTACAACATACTTTAAATCATTCAAAAAATGGAGAAAACGCTAAGTGCAGCTACGTAAGTTTTAAATCGGCTTATTACCTCCCATGCTTCCATTCCTCGGCACCATCGATGAATATGGCGTCTTGCCTCGGCCAGGTAAAAAACGAACGTCCACTGAAAGAAAAATAAAATAGATCACAAAATTAACATAAGGAACATATATTACTACCGTTGAAATGCAGTTTCAGAAAAATAATCTTCGATAAATTCTCCCGGCTTATGTAACACCAGCACAGTACGACAGTAACATCGGTACAGTGGCCGGTAAACATCACAGTTCACAACTAACACATATTTCATTCCAGTGGAGATATTCCGGTAGATGAGGTTCTACTACATCTAAAAATTGTTCCCATAACGTTTTGTCTAACATGGTCGAAGACGATTGATATTTCGAGCCTAACAAATATTTGAAGTTGTGTGATCTTCACTGTCCCATGAAAGTCACGTGATGACGTAAAACCGGATTCTCTTGAAAGTTAAGCAATTTCCGGTTGTGTTTCTTCGCCTTATTTAGACTTATTAATCCTTTTTGTGAGAAGTATTTCGCAAAAGCTCCCCTGAATGAATAAAGTTTACTTTGATTTTAATAATTAAGTGGTTATGGGGAGACATGGGCTTGAAAGTTTTGAGGTTTATTGCAATACTCGTCCAGAGAGAAATTTGTGTGACGCACTTCCGGAAATATGGTGGATGATTTCTTATTGAAGTAACTACCGGATCGAGCGACAAAGCGCGAAGGCGATCTTTTCATATCAATTGCTTCAAGTCCTTTTGGCTACCTTCCATTAGACCTTATTCGGGGCCACAACTGCTTCTGACCTATTGCCCTCACAGTGCTCATTAAACTGTCCTTGAAAATTCGGGTAATGTTCGTTGATACTCGTTGTCGTTCCGAATAAAGCCGAAGAATACGCGGGTGATCTCTGACGCTCCGAATCCGAAACAACCTCGCCGACGAGAGATGACTCTACCGAGTGTGCAAGAAGGAGTCTTGTAATGGCTCATGATAGATATGTGGAGCTAGAAAGACATCCTCTCGGTGGATTTGGTTTTAGTGTCATCGGTGGAGTTGATACGCATCTGCCACCTATGGTCTGTGCTTTGGTTCACAATGGATCGGCACAACTAACAGGGAAGGTGAGATATGGTTAGTTATGTCAGCTTTGTTACGGATTTTTAGACGGAATAAGACAGTTAATTTATTGTTAAATCATAATTTACAAAAGTGATTGTTTTTTGATCTAAGAAATTCGTGTATTTGAAAGATTATGCCTGAGTTGAAATTTTCCTAGGGCCCGATGATATCGACACAACGTGGCAAAGTTCGTTTCGAAGCGAACTTATCTACAGGCGAATTTTTATCTACTTTCCCGGCCTTTCTCTATTATAATGCAAAACTCACAAGTAAATCTATTTATTTCAATTCATATGCTTGGATCGTCTATATTGGCTAGCTTTTGTAGTCTTCGTTTTTGCAACACGAGTGTTGTAGCTTCTATAAAACAACCATCCCATCGAATGTATGCATGAAAATTAGGGACCTGAATAAAATTGTATGTTTCATGATAGATCATGGGGGAAAATTATTTGGGCAAAATATTACTCTATGTACAATGACGAATGATAGTTATTTATATTAAATCGTGAATTGTTCAGTTAGCTGAGTTCAAAATCACCTTGTGTTCCTAAACTAAAAACATCTCACAAATGTTTTCCTTCAAGTTGTACACAATTCTTTTGTAATTGTATGTGTGCAAACTCAGCCAATTCATGTCAACTTAGTTCAATAAATAATGCTTTGTTTAATTTAGGAAAAGGAAACGGTAGAATGTGTATTGGAAAGAGCGGATTTAGGAGATTAGAAGATGTTGGTTCGTTTCATTAAATTTCAGACTACAGGGCGTGCATGAAATCCTATAGCTGCCCCGAGTAATTGCTGTCGTGCCGAGAGGGCAAATGTTACAGCAGTCGTCTTGAAAGGGAGCTCTGAAATTATCTTAATTGTGTTTGTAGACAGAGCTCACATTTTTTGCATGAAATTCAGTGGGAAGCCAACTTTATGAAAGCATACCTGGAGTTAACCTGGAAAGATTAAATTGAATGAATGGCGGTAATAATTTTATTGCATGTATTCATCATCTGGTAGTGATAATGGTGTCAACAGATTAGAACTGTTTTTCGCTGTTTAGCCTTTTCCATTTTCTTTGCTTAGTAACTTTAAACTTGTTATAAATCCTAAAGCTTTGAATCTTGTTGAGCAGTTATACTTGACTACCCTCTATTCCAAAATTGTGTTTTAAATTTACTATATTTTTTTCACTTATGAAAAGAGTAAAATTTAAAAATGTAAATAATTTCAATTTGTATAGAACAAACAGCTTATGCATGCAAAAACTTGTAGGAAATAAATTAAAATATAGAAAGTGGTCAACTTAAAGGATATGACAGAACACGTTTTATTTCAAATTGCAGAGAGTTTTGGAACTAGACTTGACTACTACTTGACTACCCTCTATTCCAAAATTGTGTTTTAAATTTACTATATTTTTTTCACTTATGAAAAGAGTAAAAATTTAAAAAATGTAAATAATTTCAATTTGTACAGAACAAACAGCTTATGCATGCAAAAACTTGTAGGAAATAAATTAAAATATAGAAAGTGGTCAACTTAAAGGATATGACAGAACATGTTATAGCAAAACTCCAGTAGCTATAAAACTGATGCAGCTGTAATCTGCAATCTTAGGGATGTGGAGGATTGTGTGGGGTGCAGTTATAAGGACCAAGGATACAGGAAGGGGGGGAGAGCAGTGGGAGAGCAATGGGAGGGGGGGTAGCAGTGGGATAAAAGCAGATTTCTTTCTAACCAAGCTCATTCAGGGATTTCTGTCTTGACAGTGTTTTGTTTATTCTCCCTTTGCTGATAGTGGATAATATAACTTTGAATGTGAATTACTCTATAGAAGGGAAAAAGGGACTGAACTTGTTCCAAGCTTATCTTTTTGGATGACTTTCTTTATTACCAAAAAGTTACTTGCCAATATTAATTTTTTTTAAGAGGTAATAATTTTTTTTCCCAAATTGAATAAAAAAATCAATTTTTCTCAACCGGTGGGTATCCCATTGGCATGGAGTTCACTTTTTTCAAAGTACCCCTAACCAATATGATTTTAGAATATCAATTGATCACTGAAAACTCCAAAATAAATAAAATATGTTCACATTTGTCTTGAAATTCATAGTAGTGCTATTAGATGGTGGTAGTTGTTTGATTGTGATTTAATTTAATTCTAATCAAGGTTTTTGCTGGAGACGTCATTTTAGAGGTTAATGGTCAACAGATTACACAGTTCACTACAAGTCAAGGTGATGTAAAATTGTTCTTCTTTTCCCTTCCCCCCCCCAACACTTCTACCCCTCCTCCCTCCTCCCTCCTTCCTTGTCTTATCTTTCTGCCCTGCCTCTTCCCAGACTTAAATGCAAAATGAAAACCAAGGTGACACTCTTGGCTACATGCAGATTCTTACCCCAACTTTTCACTCCTCTTGCTTAGTTGGTAGATCTGGGCTAGTTATCCGGGATGGCCTTTCAACTGCATTACAAATGATCCTTGTTTTGTGACATTCAATTTATATGGATGTTCAATGGTAGAAAGTGACAAGAGCAAAGCACTAGGCAAATTATGTTACATTATATGCTTTAATTGTCTGATTTCTGGAAGTGAATTGTGGTGATGATGGTCAATCAGAGTCCTTATAATATTTTTTCTAACTTCTTTAGCCAAAAGCTTTAAAAGTTTGATTTGTACCGATTGTATGGACAAAGTTGTGAAAATCTAACCAAATGTTTCTTTAACTTCAGTTGTAGAAAGCATTCGCAACACACAGGATAATTTGAGAATCCGTCTAAGGGATGGTGAGACTAATTTTTTTTTTCTCTTATTACTCAACAAATACAATTTTATATTTTTGATTGAACAACTTTTAGTAGCATACCTCTTTAACAGGCTGTGGTATGTCAAATTTTTCTCTGGCATTTAATTGGCTTGTCAAATTGATATACAATCACAGAATTGTGTCTAATCAATATACTGTAATCCTCTGCCCCACTTGGTTGTGTGTCTTCTCTACATCCATGTGTACAGTGGCCCTTATATGCATTTAAAGCTTTCCGCGAGAATGTTTTCTCCATGTACACTTTATCTGTATATCATGTATGGTGGTAAAAGTTATGTTTATAATCAGGTGTTAGACCCATGTTAAGATAACATAATAAAAGGATATGGATAAATAAAAGGTGACAGGAAAAAATAGAATGATGTTCATTATTATCAGTGCAATTATTTCTGTGGGTAGTTCAATTATAAGATAACTCAATTTGTTTTTTTCATTGGGAATCAAGTATGAGAATGATTAATTTGTATTTTACAGCAGAACCATCATGGTAAAATATGTTCACATAATTGTAATGTCTGTATACATTAAATTATTACACTTTAAACTGTTTCTGTTGTGTTTTTTTGTTTTTTTTTTAAGAAATACACTTTCTTAAGCCTTGAAATTTTGAATTCTCTGGGTGACATAGTATAATTTTGTCACCAAGTATTGAATTATATTGTTTTAGGTTTTGTCTTCTCTGATTTGTTGAATTTTAATAAAAATATTATTGAGTAATTCTTTATCAAAGTCCAGAACTGATACACACAGAGCCAAAACAACCTAAAGTTACACATTGTACTTCCCTTCTGCAGTAGATGCTGTATTTTGCTCTACTTACTGGTTATGCATGTAACAAATGAAAATATGTGCATAGATCAAAATTTACCACTATATGAACAGATAATTATTTTATATATGTGAAAAAGAAAAGTGGCCTTTCACTTGATTAAATGAAAAGTTAGGCGTTGCCAAATAACATTCTTAATCAACAGGAAGGTTATGCCCAAACATTGTGGGCTATTTCCTTTATGAACCATGAAAGATTTTTGGTTCAGTCGTCATGTTAGTCCCAAATAATGGGCATTTAACACTTTGAAACTGCTTATTATTTTAATTTATGGATGTAAAGGGTGTTTTCCAAGTTAGGCTTGACATTTGTATGAATATGAAAACAAATTTCTTTTTCTGAAACATTGTTTTTTTCAGCATGAAGTGATATATTTTTTTCACAACCGAGCCTTACTTGTGAACTTCCTGTTTTTCATTTGTATTATGTTTATTTTAGTTTCTGAATATGTTAATATATCTTTATCTTAAGTCCCATTTTTCATATTTTAAATGACCAATTCAACTGTACTTTCATTTTGGAATCATCACTTTGTTTTGCAAGTTACCAAGTTAGCCATGGCATGTCACATCCCACACAAGACATCCTCTGTGGGACTAGAATGAAATGTCATGACCTTTAGAATGTGAAACTTGAATCCTATTGTATAGAATTGCACACTTCAGTAGAAACTACTTCTTTGCCGTGAAACATGTCAAGGTTCGTGTGGTTTGAATCTATATCTGTTTCAGTTTTAATCATTCAATGCTGAGAAATTGAACTTGCATGAGTAGGTAGTTTCTAACTACCTGTTGAGATAAAGGCTTTCCATTGTTTTTATGCGTAATGTGAAAGCTAAACCACTGAAACAAGCTCATGTTTCCCACTTCAAATGAACACATCTTGTTCTGAAGTTAATGGTTTTGATTTTGTGTGACTCAGTTTTCCTTAGTAAGAGCCTAAAGGTGATAGAACAATATTTATACAGGAACATAGAATGTAATTTTCACAGTATTGATTTTCAGTGATAGTTTGGTTCAGTGCCAATATTAATCGTATTGTCAGAAAGTAGAACTGAGAGGTGAAAGCTGATTCGAGTGATAGTGTTGGTATGACTCAGTAGCTGAGCAAATCTGTATCTACTCTCCTTTGTGCTTTCGGAAATTCAGTTTCAATATTTATAGCTTTGTGGGAAATGTAAAAGCTTACTTTGGGAGCAGATGCAACATACATGTAGGTATGAAACACAATGTAATCATACTGTGTGTTATTCACTGAGTGAGTTTAATTTCTTGAGAAGTAAAAAAAATGATTCAGTCAAGGTTAATGTGTTTGTTGCATTTTACCCAAAGGCTTTCCTTGGCTTTTAGAGTTATTGTACATGTTAACTTTAATTAGCCAGAGTGTGTGTTGTTATCTTTCAAGAGTATGACTCAGTTGCTAAGGTTTTGACATACGTTAAATGATTTAAGATTATGATATGGTACAGCAGCTCCTACAGTGCTTTGAAGGTATATATAATGATGCTTAACATAGGTGACAGAAAGTGGTTTCAAGAAGAATTTCTTTAAGGCATTATTAGTACAAAGTTAAGGCATTATTGATACTGTAAATTCTGCCCTCATTTTATACTATGCATGTATCTCAGTAATGATTTTGACAAAATACTCTGCTTAAATATGAAACCTTGTATTTATTCATAAAGAGAGAACATCTAACTTTAATCTGATATTCTTTTGGTTTAGCATTTTATGAAGGCTTTCAGCTGATAACAATTGATCCAAGGCTGAAATTTCAATAAAACACTGCTCATTGTTTACTTTTTTTGAAAGATATGCCAGTTTTTCTTTTGACTTTGATCTCAATGTGTGTTTCAAATTTGCATGCTGTTCAGGTTGGCTGGTTGATTTCATAATCTGTTTTTGTGATAGAATGTTTTTAAACTGAATAAAATTTTGGGGTTCTGAAAATAGTTGTGTACAATATCCTGCACTAGATGTACCTAAATAGAGCAAACTATGCTAATCTCACATGAGTACAAGTTATATTAGCCATCAGGACTGATTCAAATCGTCACAAAATTTATTTTAAGAATTTTGTTCAGAACATGAAGGTGCTGTAAAATCAATAGAATGATGAGTGTAGACAAACTGTTTAAGTCCTTTTACAGGAAGTGTTATCTGATGAGTACATTGTTTATATGCTAGAATGTTCCCTGTACTTGAATTTATTTAAACCATGGCATTCAGTATTTTTAACTACTGGTTATTATTGTGCTTTTCTTTACAGATTTTGAGTGATGGTGTGAAGTGTTAACTCATAATGTATATGAACTAGTGCCAGTAGTTTGAATGCTTGAAATCAGGAAAATTTTGTCTGGCTAATATGTAAATTTTGCTTCAGATTTTGTGATTGTTAGTGGTAATCGAAAGCAATATCTCAAAAATATTCTGATATGTCATCTACCACATATACGTCATATTGGTGTACTGTGGAGAGGAATATAATGTGTTGATTGGAACATGGAAGAATAAGGAAGCAATAACATGCCAGTACACCCATTTGCTGAAGCATCACTTTCTTTGTTCCTTATCCTCTTAATTTACCACTAAGGGGTGGTTTGAGTCATAGACTTATAGTATGTGTTGTGTAGTTTCAGTGTGATAAAGGCAAAGTAATTTAAAATAATATTTTGTTCCAGATGATTCATTGAAATTCTTTGAAAAAAAATATTAACCTTAAGTTTGAAATTATTCATGGGTCAGAATGATGTGGATTTAGTTTAATTTGTAATATATTTTTTTGTAGATGAATTATCAATTATCTTGAAGGCATGCAAATCTTCTCAGTGTTAAATCATATACACCATGTAAATGTGAATTCCATATTAATTATGATTATAACCTTTAAGATATACTGTGTATGAATGTTGTTTTTAAAAGATGAGTGTTATTGAAAATGTCCAGAGTGTCTTCCTTTGAATGATTATCCAGTCACTTGGATACTTCTCTTTTGAGACAGTGTTGTTGTAGGTTCCTTTTTCTTTTTGAAAAGTATTTTATAGTGTATTATGGGGTTAAAAATTACAGTTCTTGTATTGCATGTCTGATCACTTGACTGTATTGGAAAACAAAGGCATTTCCTGTAAGTTATAAGCCACATTATGTGTGAATGCTTGTTTAAATAAACAGACATGCTTAAAAATGATTAAAACTACAACCATCAGGATTCTTTGCATTGGAATGGTTTAATATGTCCCTTAGTCAGAGTTGGAAGACTGTATAACTTAGGACAATTGTCAGAGAGACAGACAAGGTCTGCACTTTGTTTTATGAATTTCTTAGTCTTACTCTCCAATAGGATATTAGATTGCTTTCTTATAATGCTAGGTTTTATTTATTCCAACTGACATCTTGTTGTAGAAGCTAATACAAAAATAGGTGACAATGTTAATCATTGGTCTCAACTTTTTACCTCAACAGACCCTGGGACTAGGGAGCGTGCACGTCCATATCTCAGATCATTTTCCGTTGCTGACCCTAAACTAGCCATTTGCCAAGCAAGGCTGAAGAGATCTGCTTCAGCACCAAATCATCGTAACCGCTCTCACACTGATCAACTCCCTCGAAGAGCAATCACAAAGAAAGAGGACAAAAACATGCAGAAGGGGACTAGCACAAGTACAGAAGATGTCCGAGCTGTGGGTCGTATGAGTCTTATAGGATTGGAGCAGGGCGTTGATGGTATATTTGTTCGAAGAAAAGATGATGTGGTAGAAAGAGTAATCACTGACTTTCCTGTGCGTGTTAATGTCCCTTCAAGTAGAACAGATAAAATTAATCGGCCTGAAAACTTTAAACGACAGAGTTATCCCAATGAGGAACACAGAACTAGTTGGGAATCTTTACCAGAAAGTTGCATTAATTGTGGACAACCAGTTGATTATTCTAAAGACATAGAATACAAATATTCCATGGAATCATCTCAGGCATCAAAATATTTAACATGTAGAAAATGTGGGCATGTCAGGAATTATTCTTCTGGTGGAAGAAGCCTACCGGGAACCCCGTACTCAAATCATAAAACGCTAGAACCTTCTCCATTTGGATTGCCAACTAAACACAATCAGTCACCAACTAAACTTAATGGAAATGTGAATTACAAACCTGGTCCGTCACTTGGCGAGAAAGGAATTACATCAGATTATAGTAAAACTGCTTCAAGTGATTCTAAAAGAGTACTTAATGGAGGTCTTAAAAAGGAAAAGGGAATGTTTGAGAACTTGCCAGGCCCTGATTCTGCTGGTAGACAATACAATGACCCACTTTACGAGAGTCCATCAGCTTTAGCACAAAGACTGTTTAATTTAGATGGATTCAGTAGAGAAGAGGTTACTCCAGAACTCAGTAAGAAGTAAGTGGAAAAGTGAGCATCTGTTGTGATTTTACATTCTTAATGTTGGGAGATGACAAGTGAACAAAGTTCAGGTCCATGAGGTAGCAGTTAATCTCAGCACTGCATGTATGCTCATGTGGGGCATAGCAATTTCATGGATGATTCCTGAATGGTTTGGGAGAATTTTTTTTTTGAACCTTTCCCTAACCTATCTTACCATCAAGTTTCCTTTTATTTGCATGATTAGCATTGATGGGTGTATGGAATGAGGGCTTGTGGAGATTAACTAGGAATGGGAAAGGCATTCTATTCTGAGCTAAGAAGCACTTAATACTTAATGTAATACCCTGCATATGCTTGCAATATGCCTAGTGCATGTAGTTCTAGATGTGGCTCAGAAGAGCATTTTAATTTTTTCAAGGGGTGTTGTTTGCGGCAAACTTTCCAAAACTCCATGAAAGAAATTCACTGGGAAATGTACTGTTGACCACCAACAGTTTGCTTTCCTAAAATGCAACTTCAAATTTATGAAAGGTGTAATTTGTTCTATCAAGTTTGAGCTTGGGAAAAAGAAATAATTTAAATCCCCACTAGAAATTGAATCTCAGAAGTTCCATGAGGGTGGGACAAAGTGCTGTTTGATTCCTCATGGAGATTCATATTGTCTTTTTCTTCATCTGGTGCTTATTATAAGGCAGAAACTAAATGTTTTGTTATTCTACTACTGAGCTCAATATTTACCATCTTTGTTATTCTATTAACTAAATTAATTGCACTTTTTTTATTTCAGCACAACCTATGGAAAAGCAGTGGCTATTGAATATCTCAAATTCTTTGATTTTCAAAATGAGACTATCACAGAGGCTCTTCAGAAGTTCCTTATGGCTTTCCATTTGAGTGGAGAAACGCAAGAGAGGGAGAGAATTTTAATTCCTTTTTCCAAGAGATATCAAGAGTGTAACAATCCTGAGTATGGATCAGAAGGTAGGACAGAGAGTGTCACAGTCAACGACAGGTCATACTAATTCAAATGAAGTGAGACTTCATATTATTTATCTAAGGTTGAACAAAGACTTTGCAGCAGTCTTTTTGTTTGTTTTTTTTCTTTTTGTTTTGTTTTTCGTTTTTTTTAAACCTTTGCTTTTATTACAAAACACAATTCTAACAATGCAAGACTCATTACGCTACTCTACTTACAGAACAATACTTACAATACTTACAATGTAGGTTACTCATGCTAGCAATACAGTAAGTTGAATATCGTTACAAAACATGCAATTAATTGCAATATGGGCCACTTACACTTCTAATAATACAATTACTTACATTACTTGCTGAATATACAATTACTTACAATACATTATACGGTATATTGACTTTGAGGAGGCAGGAGTACTTCTCAATAAAACATTTAATTAAGACAAGTTTTCAAGGTTGTATTTAATGAGTAGCTTACTGATAAAATCCTGAAAGGAGATGGCCAAGCCATTAAACTTGGCCGAATAAATATAATGGTGCCATTGCAGCAGCCTTGTAAATTTGTTTTGCTAGGCTCCGTGGTTTTAAATTAAGATAAAGTAACATTTTTTCCAGCTATAGTTCAAGGGTGGCAAATGGAGCATACATCATATACATGTACAGCTGTTAAAATCTCTAATAAAAATAATTATTGAAATTCCATTAGGTATTTCAATATCATTTTCAGTAGTTTTTTTTCCATCTTCTAGTCTTAATTTGTTTGCAAAACTTACATTACTTGCATTAAAGCTCTCTTTAACAATATTTTTCATATTTCATATATTACAGCATAACACCAAAAAAATATTAAAATGTACAATAGTTATTCAACTTGACAACTTAAATCCCTATTCAGGGACACAAATCTGTTTTGACTGTTTTTCTGTTTCTCTGTTTCATTGATTTCAGATGCAACTCACACTTTAGTCTGCGCCATCTTTTTGCTAAATTCTGATCTTCATGGTGAGGTAAGCTGTTAGGATGCTTGTTTCAGTTGATTAACTATTAAACTCCCATGAGTAACCAAGAGAATTTCTCCTTACAATATCAATACAATTTCAAGCAAAAAATTGATGAGATTTAAAAAAATTTCAACTAAGGGATTGTTAGTTGATCCAATACTAAATTCTCCAAACTCACATCATAAGAATTGTATGGCAAACAGTAAGGAGAATTACTTTTGAGATCTTTGAAGTGAAAAGGTTAAGTCAAGTACATGTATTATTTACAATAACAGTAAAATTTACTAAATAACAGCTATATTTTGGTGATTTTTATGAAAATTTTTCCTTGCCACAGACCCTTCATAAGAAGATGACACAAGCACAGTTTATAGAAAATTTGTCAGACCTCTGTGATGGAAAAGACTTTCCTAAAGATTTACTGAAGGTATTATTTTCTTATTCTATATTAAACTTATTTTGTATGTCAGCCATATTTTTTAAATTGCTTTTTCTCCTGTATGGTTAACTATAGTGGTTAAGTTTTATTGTTAGTATCGAAAATAAGACATAAAATAATTTATCTTTGATAATGTAAAAATTTTTCCTTCAGGCAATATACCAAGAAATCAAAGCTAAACCATTGGAGGGTTTCGGGTAAGAACTCTCTTACTCTTTCACTTGTATTATGTGTAGCGGTAATGATTCAGTTTAATATATACTCCACCCAGTTTGACTTGTTATTTTTCTTTGTGGAAGGATTATGTAATGTTTCTGGAAGGAAGGGAATAATAATTTAAACCAGCTGAAGATCATTTTGACCTGAAATTTGTTTTAAACCATAACATCTACATCATAAACAGAGTCAGAAAGATGGTAAATTTTGAGCTTGGGAATGACATAGAGAAAGATTTTAATTTGAATTGTTGTGAGTGTGGGATAAAAGAAGAAAAAGTATGATTCACCCCCTTCTGCACCCCCCTTCTGCACCCCCCTTCTCCACCCCCCTTCTCCACCCCCCTTCTACACCCCCCTCTCCACCCCCCTCTCCTTTCTTGCTAGCCGGTATGTTAGCTGATAGTGTCCTTTGCTAGCAGTCTTCAAAATGTCATCTATGATATTATTTATTACTCAACAGACATATACCAATTAGCAACTTTATTTATTATGCAGTAACTAAAGTCTTATATCTGTTTTGTTGAGTTTACCCTAGCAGTTTTCATAAAGATGTTATCACAAAACAAGTCAATAAATGATATCAAACTGATACCTTGTTGTGGCTTAATTTGCAGTGGAGTGCTTTTTTCTCTTTCGATTAATTTTTTTCATGCTCATCTCAGTTTTGAAAGGATTCCTGCATCAAGTCCAGGCAAGAGAACTCCAACACCAAATGGGATAAAGGTAGTGGGAAGATTCCAAGGATCAATATCAGTATCTGGGCAACTGCCCACCTACCCCTCCCCTAACTCAACAACAGTCAATTGACAACAAGTTAAGGTTAATGTTGGGTTAGGAGAAGGGTAGGTAAGCAGTTGCCCAGATGCTGATATTGATCAGAATACAATTATGATAATCTGAAGTGAAGTAAAATTCGTCAGAAGGGCACACTTTTTGGTCTCTTGTACAGCTTGTAAATGAAGTAGTCTGATTGGGCAGGTCAGGGTATTTGTGAAAAGAACTCCTGTTGGCGATAGGGACAATAGAGAAACTTCTATCACCCAGACAATCAGACTCCACAAAGTATAAGCACTGAGGAAGGGCTTATGCATGAAACATCAGCTATAATCTCTTTGTGATGCCCACTTCACAATATCAACTTGGGCGGTAAAACCAAACCATTGTATAATACTCCCCATTGGAGCAGCACTATGAACAGTTTCTTTAGAAACTTACCACTTCTATTCTTACTGTATCATGAACTGTTGTTGCTGGGTCCAACCATTTACTGAATACAGTTGTGTGTACATGTAAGTACATGAAGTAAATCCTTTTACTGCTTTCTTAAGTTATTATTATAAATTAGCATCTTTTGCCCAGGTTTGATGTCCCTCTCCATTTTTTTCTTTATTTATGTTTTTTGTGACTATCAACATTTGAGGCCTTAGTTTTTCTAAGGATTGACAAAAGTATCTTTTGATGTCAGAAATGTAATTTCCTGTCTAGAAGACATTTTAGAGCAATGTCAACAACCCTTGAAACACCCTACTTCTCATTTCTCCATTTCACAGTTACCATATGTAGAATTTTTTTTGTTTATCCAATGCCCTAATACTGTTTGTTGTTGTCCTAGGGAACCCCAGGAAATCCTTTTGTAGAGGTATGAACTTTACTACTGTCCCTTCTCTTTAGCTGGGGTCTTGCCCTCTATTTGCCTCAACCCTCTGAAGCCCTTCTTAGATCATCAGTTGTCTTCAACTTAGTTCATTATCTCTTCAATGTACCTCTGCATGCAACTGTTCCATTCCCTGTGCTGCTCTATGTTTATGCACCTCCCAGATTCTTTGGTACCTCTCAAAGGTATCAATGATCAAAATAGTGCGTTTATACAGGGTTATGCTTTTTTCCTGTGCATTGCTTAGACAATTATTATTTTGTTGTGTGTCTTAGATTCGAGGTAGTGACTCTGATAAGGTATACAAAGAAGGCCTCTTGTACAGGAAAGTCACCATGAGCTCTGAAGGAAAGAAAAGTGAGTTGAATGTACCAGTTGTGATTGTGTACACAACAGTGTAAAGCATTTATATAAATCAGTTGCTATTTGAGCAAGTTACTGCACTGATACCCTCTGTAGGCTAAACAAATGATGTGGTATTACTATGTACACTGTATGTCATGAAAGTACATATCACTCTGTAGAAATTTAGACTATGGGCAGTCCCAACTTTTTGAAGTCTGTCATGCAAGTAAAAAAAAAAATCAGTGATGCACCTTGGAAGCTGTATAAGTGAGATGCTCGAAAAGTAGGGACACAGACTAAGCTCAAGAATTTGATCACACACTACTGAGTAATTTTTAGGTGTCAAATTTTAATCTAAATGAGGCGTAACCAATGACGTTCCTTATTTTAATTACCTTTCAATTTTTGTGTCATCACAACACACAGTTGATCACAGAAAAATTAAACCATTTAAAATTTTGAACAATAAACTGGAAATCTGTAAAATGGTTCAGTAAGGACGAGTCTCATAAACAAAACTCCTGAAGAGATAATAATGATGGGCAGCTCAGTCAAGAAACCATTGTAAAATGATCATTGCTATGTGTGTGCTTGTGAGTTGTCTTCAGAGGTGACATTCATACAGTCTTCATCCTTGTCTGATAACTGAATGGCTGGAAGGCCAAGCTTGTTGAGTTAGCTGACTTGTTCCACCTGCTGTTAAGGGGTAAAATTGCAACGACACACTGTATGGTTTGACAAGAGTTTTTCTGGATGAAACGCCTGGTAGATACCGTATTTACTTGTGTATGAGTTGACCTTATATGACCTAAAAACCAGCCCAAAAAATCATCCTCAACTTATACACGAGTCATGCACAAAGACCTGACCCAAGCAATCCAAGAAATTAGCATAACAATTGCCTGAAGTCTGTTGGAAAACCAAGTTTATAATACCAGTTCTAATTGTGTTCAAGTTTTGTCACTTTTCAGCACACTCTTTGTCAACAAAAAAGTTTGAAATAATAAAATTCAAGTGGCTTAACACAAAGCTGCTGGAACTGATTTCTATTGTGTCTTTGGACTGTAGAGCAGACATTTTTTCATACAGCTTTGGTGCGGTGTGGAAATAGGAGATTAACTTTTTGGGAAATTTCTATCTGTCTGAATTTTACTTCTTTGACTAGAAATGATGAAAAATCCGATTTTTGACCTTGAAAATGGGGTTGACTTGTACACAAGTTTAACTTATACACAAATAAAAACGGTAAGGCTCTTTCCAATGCTGGTTGGCAAAATTTTCAGTAGTGACTTGACAAGGGTGTCATCAGTTTTTTAAATCATAAATATATATATGTAGTATTGTACAAGATATCATTTTCCCTTGTTGTCCAAAATTTTACATCTGGTGACCATTTTAAGGTTTTTTGGTCACCAGGTATTAACGTTGAATGAGGTTGTGTTTGGAGCCCTGTATTTGTAATAAAGTACAATTTCAATTGAAGTCTTGTAACCTCTTTCAGCTTCTGCTTGGAAAAGAAAATGGATGCCTTTTTTTGCAACTCTCAAAGGAATGATCCTCTTCCTCCACAAGGCAAGTCAGGTCAATTTTAAGGCAATCTTGTCTTTTAATTCACTGAAATATTTACAACTGGTAAAATCAACCATTTGAAAAAATGAATTGTTCCTTCTGTTTATTTCAGTCAGATGAGGTAACTGGGCCAGAGCATACTAGAAACTGTTTAGGTGTACACCACTCTTTGGCCAGTCGAGCTACAGATTATATCAAAAGGCCTTTTGTATTTAGATTTGTCACTTCCGATTGGAGAGAATTCCTTTTTCAAGCAAAGTATGTTAGTCTTTTCATAGTTATTCTCATAATACTTTATTGGATTCATATACACCACATTGTACTCAGATATAGGACACTTCTCTGATAAAGAAAGCTAACTTTCATATTATTATACACTCCAGTTCATCCTAACATTGGAAATCCTGTGAGTTATGAAATTTTTATGTGTTCATGAAAATGTTAAAATCCTAAACATATCCATTAAACAAGCTGCAGTGAACCTCTATGTGTAACCTGAATCTCCATACACATTTGGTTTTTAGATGGCTAAAACTGTATTTCTTGAAACCATTTTGTGATTTTAAATGGCCATGTAGATGAGGAATTTGGGAAGAATTAAGCACTTATAACTCCTTTTTTCTCATAAGCCATCTTATTTATCTTTCCTTTTGTATTTTTGTAGGAATTTTCGTGATATGAATGAGTGGATTGATGCCATTAACCTTGTGGCTGCCACATTTTCTGCTCCACCCTTACCAGCACCTGTTGGTTCATGGTAAAGCAACATCTTAATTGCTCTGAAACTGCTAAGTGTAGTCTTTCTCTTGCATTGTAACTTTTCAATTACACAACATAATCTCAATAGAATGGGGTGCATGGCATTAAAGTTACCCTTAAATGACTTTTGATGCAACGTCAAGTTCTCCTTTTGTTTCCTAAAGAAAGACAAAAAAGCATAGAGGGAGAATCCAGCTGTATATCAGAAGTCGTGGGGGGGTTTTCAGAGTCATTCATTGTTTTCATTTCTGGCATTTCTTCCAGTACTAAAATTACTTTTACTGCTAATACTGTTTACCTAAAATAACAGTACCTGTGCTACCAAGGTTTGTAACAGAAGTTTGCAGCAAAATTAAAAGTTCAATATATTGCTGCATAGTTAAAAGTGCAATTCATTGTTATTTATATCATAACTGTGGTCATGAACCTCCATGGCATTCTTTGATAGAGAGTTATGTTTTTTTGAAAAGAGGATTACCTTCATACTGAAGAGAACCAGATTGTGTGTTTAAAGTGCACAGCTTCATTGCAATGCAAAATGCTAGTGCAAGTGTGATGCACATATAGCAACATTTGTAGATGTTGATTCTTGACAATGTATCACAAATCAATCAGATTGATGATGTATCTCACTGGAAATTTTTTTCAGCAAAAGATTTCAGCGACCTGTCCTTCCTTTCTCCTGCACTCAGCTCTCTCTTGTAAGTTGCATCTACCATGCTTTTGTAAAACAATAATTAAAAGTAATGATTGAATTTGAACTTTAAATACAGAGAGAAGAAGTCAGATAAGACAAATTTTATCTAAAGTGTTTTCTTCTTGAAATTAACAGATGAAGCAGTTAGAACACCATGAGACAAAGGTAAGTATGATATGATTCATTATTAATTATAACATAGCTAGTAAATTTGTCTAATCAAATTCAATTGCACAAGCATGCTTCATATTCCTATTGTGCATGACGTCAGCAAACAAATCCCTCAAGAAAAAAAAATTTCCATCGGGTTGAAAATGTTAAAACAATTGGTTCATGCATTAGCTGTGCATTTATTGACATATGAAGCATTTGGGAAGTTTGGAGAGCACTCAAGAAGCTATAGTTGCTCTCAGCTATGCCTTGAGCAACTCTTATGCATCTTTTGTGCTCTCCAAACTTACCGCATGCTTGATATCTTGACGAACACATGCTGACATATAAACCAATTGTTAATCATATCATGGGAGTGTTTTATTGCCATTTTCTTGAGGAATTTTAAAAAGTTAATGCAATGTGCTGGCTAATGTACACTTAAGGTTTAGAGGTAAAGAGTACTATGAAAGGCTCAGCACTCATCAACTGGTACACCTGAGATTGTTCCATGTGTTTCACATAGTTTGACAGAAATGTTAAATGAATATGGATGAGAATCTCTGGACAATGAGTTTTGGTTTTATTTCTATACGTGATGAGGAAGAGTCTGCATGCAAAGATAACATGTTGGTTCATATTGCTGTAATAGACAGTTAGCATCACCATGTGATGAATTATTATTTGTGTGTTTTGCTGAATGTAATCGTTGATTCCAGAGTAAAGAGGCAGAAGGACAGTTGATTGAAAGTTTACAAAGCAAGCCACAGAATGTAACTGGCAGAGAGTTTGAGGTACAAACCTTTTCCAGATTATACTCTGAATTAATGATTTTGCAGAAAAAGTGTTTTATCATAGATCCTCCATTTCGTACTCAGGATCCCTTATTTCTGATATAGGCTTAACAGCTGGCCTTTATTTTAGGGTAGCACTTAATCAGGAAGGGGGAAGTATATTATATTCTTAAACTCATTTCAAATCATGGCTACCAGTAGGCATGATTCTTATTTTCTGTAATAATTTTGCACTAGTTGTAAACATTATTGTTTTTTCTTGCAGGAGTGGCAAGAAAAACATGAATTCTTGGATTATGAGGTAAATGATGCACTTTCTTGAGAAATGTTTGGTTTGTAATGATCTCAGACTTAGCACAAAGAATTTAAAATTTATTTCTTTCCCTAGTACAAAAGATACAAGATGTATGTGAACGTTCTGCGGGGATCAAAGTTGGAGAGTAAATTGCGAGAAAAGCCTCGTGGCTCTGGCAGGTCTGTTGAATCTATCATGTTGCAGATGAAGCGCTGTAGTTCCCTGGGGGATTTAGATTTGTCCAGTGGTTACAAGGGGAGGAATGTTCGAGAAAGTTATGTTATGGCAATTTATAAGGGTTGAGGTTCAAACCTTTTTGCTGTCAAAAAGTTCATGAGTCAATTAGCTTTTGCAATTCAAGTTGAGGAGGTAACTATTACAATGATTCAAATTATCCAGTTTCCACAAAAGTATGTGGTTGTTTATACTATTTGATTGGTTACTGTTGAAAAAATGCTTGCAATAAGTTATTTGTTCTGATGAAGGGCTAATGCCCGAAACAACATAAGCTTTGGACCTCTTTACCGTGGCCAATTTTCATTATCAACTCAGTTGATGGAACCCAAATTATCTAGTTGTACTCTCCCACCAATGCAGCACCACAGTTTCGTTGGAAACTGACTGTCTTTATCCATTAATCAGTTATTCTGTTTGCTCTGCCTGTGTATCAAAGTTAGAAGACTGGAGATAAACTGATAGGCTGAACAAGAACTTCAAGGGAGAAAAAAACTTTTTGAAATTTTAAGGAAGGTTGATTTGACTCAAGAACCTTTTTGTCATTATTTCTATCAGAAATGAAAAAAAAAAAAAAAATGAAATACTCATTATTTTATTCTTGGTAATATTTTGTCAAGATGGAACAAACAGTTTTCATGTTTATCCTATGAAAATGTTTTTGTAATTTCATCTACATTGTGTGTACATAGAATTTCCTGGTTTTCTGAGTACCAGTCATTTCCAACAAAAGTTAAACTGTCATTTAGAATGTATTTAATTTCTTAAGGCTCTGTGGTAATGATAAGGTAAAACTAAATTTGTTTTTTTTTCAAAGTAGAGTTGAAGCTAAAACACATAAGCTGCTGAGTTAGATTCTAAAACATAGAATGTCACAGTAGATTTGTTACAAATGTTTTGCCATTTCATGAATTTAGAGAGTTGCTATTCCTAATGCCATGTCAGTTAACTTTATTATTATTATAGGAATTGTGGCAAACTGAGTGTAAAAATGCATGCTCATTAAATTTATCCTTTTGGAGTATTGGTTTCAGCATATGCAAAATTTATATCTTGTCAGCTGTATTAGAAAAGCTCCTAAAGTTATTTCAGATTGGATTTCAAAAGATGTTATCAGATGGAAATGAGAAATATTGATTGATTGGAGTAATATAAATAAGAAATAATGAGAAAAGTTAAGGTTGCAAAAATACATTATCATAGCGACACATGCATATTAGACAATAATATTAATTTTGCACTTGTTTAAACATTCTAATTATGGTCATGTAATAAACATTTTGCCAACATACATGCAATATTTAATGTTGTTGGTTGTAATTTTAAAAGAAATCTGTCTGTGATCAGTTTTTTTTTTAATGTTAACAGCAAAAGCTAACAACAATCTAAAGAACTAACCAATTGCTCCAATCTTTTTCTAATTAACACTTTTTCTAAGAGAAAGTAGTTAATTCATTAACTTTGTTTTGCTTATTTCATGCTTGAAGCTCAAACCTAAAACTGCCTCTCTTTCAAAAGACAGAGCTGCATACATTTATGTGCAAGAATTTCTCTCTAACTGTAATGTATCTTAACTTCATAACACTTTTATTCACACAAGGTCTAATAACTCACCACATATAATTATAGTTATTATAATTGTAGTTTTGGTAAAAAGGTACCTTCAATTCTATTACGTTAATGCATCTTTTTTTTTCTGAGGGGGGGGGGGGGGGCGGGGCAAGAAAATTCATACCCTTTTGGAATGTTTTACAAGAAAGTGTTTTGTTAGATGTTAATAACAGTAGAGGGGCATCAGAATGTTTTTCACATAAGATTCTTCAATTTGCTCTCCCACTTGTAACATACACAAAGTCATTGAATCATTTTAAGGCTGGTAAAGATGTTTTGTTAGTGTATTGTTTTTTCCTGCAATAAAATTTTGTAGAATGAATGACATTTTGTAGGAAGGAACTCCTGAGGGTTCATACTTTTAATGGTGATTCCTACAAAAAGAACTTTGTGGAAAAGATTCTAGAACTAATTACACTAAACAAGAGAGAAACCCAAAGAGAGAACTGTTTCCCAGTGTCACTTGCTCACCAATAGCTGTATCATAATATAGTTCTTGTAACCAACCCTCTTTGCAAATTAACTTTGACATGTAAGTATACTAAGTAACTGCATGCTGTTGACAAAGTCTCCGAGTTAACTTATTTTCTGCCATGTCTTGCAAATATTGAAGTTATTTAGAATAATTCTTATTATTTACTTGCTAACTAATTCTATAACCCCTGTCTTTCCTGGCTCACTTCTGTGCTCCTCTTAATCCTAGCTCTGTCAACATGTCTGGTAACAATAGCATTGAAGATGGTGATTCACAATTCTTGGACAAGGAAATTTAATGTTAATTGCATGCTAGCCTAAAATAGCTTTAACAGACACTACAGACATTGACCAACTTTCTTTCCTGCATAGCAAATCCTTAAAAAGGAGACTAAACTATTGAATCTTCCTCAGTCAATGATCATGTGTGGAATACATTATTTGGTTCCTCATTGTGTGATTCAGGGAGTTGGCCATACTCACCCAGTTTAGACATTTAAAATTACAATTGGGAAATAGGAAGCTGCTCTGAAGCTAGAGCATTGCGAGGCTCAAATGAAATTCCTGAGGGTTGGGGCTGGGTGGAAATCAATGAACACCTCATGGGAGTAGTGTGGATGTCTTCTAGAACAACGCATTTGAGGAGTTATTCTACACAATTTATGAACAAACAAAAAAAACACATTATTTTTTAGCCATGAACTGTATTTGTTTCCAGACTGTTTGTTTGTTGACAATACAGATACCTACATAGTTAAACCTTGAATAAACTATTGCAGGTTTGACGTCATATGCACAGGTTTGTAACTTGAGGATACACTGCAAAATTACAGTTTTTGACTGATGACAAGCATGCAAATAATTTTCTTCTGTTAGCCAATTCATTGTAATCCCAAATAAATTTTTGGATAATGGGGACATATTTTTGGTTGTTGCTATCATCTTTTTAATCCTGTTATTTTAATTACTATGGCACAAAAGTCTTGGGGAAAAACTATCTGGTTTTGTTAAAAAACAATTTTTTTCAGATTGCTTTTTATTTGTCAAAATTGGTAAACCTTTAATTTTTCCAAATTATTTGACCTCTTATGTTGTCAAATTCTTCAGACTTAAGTTCATCGATGGACCGTTGTTTGTAGAGAAGTTAAAAGTAGTCATAAGGAAGGTGTAATCCTCTTTGAGACTTATTTAGATAGTAGCAGATGTCTTAATTTGAATAATTACTTTCAAGGTCACAATGCCTTTCACCTACAGAACAGGCAACTTTTTTTGGCCTTTGTGGGTGAGCAGAGGTTAGCACAAGGCAACCAAGAGAGAGAGAGAGAGAGAGCCACTTGGGAGAGGATGGGTGTTAATAAAACTTACTGTCTATCTCTCTTTTTCTCGCTCTTCCTCTTGCATGTAAATCACACTTGTACTTCTTGCTTGCCTTGTGCTTTTTTCCCTTGACTTACTGACTAAGGCAACAAATCACACATTCTGCAGGCTACCATGCCTAAGAATTTATTTATTTCAATTGAATTAATAATTATATAATTGATACATGAATGTACATACATCAAATTGATTTACTAAAACCTTAAAGGTTATTGATTTTTCCTAACTCAGTGTGAACTTTAAATACATTCAGGTCAAAATGTTTACTTAAAGGACCTTGACACTTTTTGCAGACACAATTTCCAATTTTTACATTACTATTTATTGAAAGTTATAGTAATAAAATAAGTTCATTGTGCACTTTGAAACAAGTTTAGAAGTAGTTTAAACAGATTTATAAGTGTTAGCATTCAAGTGCAAATAAGAATGTGAAAACTATTAAAAGTATTGATGAAATCAGTTTCTTTGTTTGAGTGTGTTCATTCATAGTGAACAAGGGTAGAAATGGTGTGATAACCTATGTAATAAGTCTCATTTTAATGTTAATCTCCCCCTTGTTCTTTAAGCATCATTTCATTGTACAATGCTGAAATAAAATATGGAAGTACTGCATTTGATAAAGATGTTATGTAGAATACTAGAACAGTAGATAACCTTGAAGGCATGCTTTAATTGGCCACTCAAACTCTGAATATCCTTTACTACTCAACTCTAAGCAACTCACCAGAGACTTGTAATTGCAACAGTAATAAGGGAGTGAAAATCGCCTTTTTGTGCCCTACTATATCACTGTTTTAATAAACACTAAAACAACTATTCCCTCAGTATTGGTGGCTAGTAAACAGGAACTACCTCACTGTATAAACCACCATTAGCCACCTCCACTTTGCTCATAGTGGTTAACTACTGTTTTGTGTTCTAAACTGAAATTTTCTCTTCCACTATGTTACCTTTATACTTTGTTACATTTTGACGGTTTGTTTGGCAATTGAAAATTATAGTTTCAGTGGCAAGTTTAAGCTGATATCTTTCTATTTTTTAAATCTTAAGTCAACAACATCCACTCTTGCAACCTTGTCCCATAATATATGTGAACTCTCCTAAAAGAAAAACAGTTTGTATTGATGACTGAAACATTGGGAAGTACTGGGAACCTCTGCATAACTAAATGGTTTGACTGCAAAGAGCTCCTAACTACATGTATGAGCTGGGTAGGAAATAAATCTTATAGGTGTATACCACTCAAGTGAATGGTGCTTTTTATGCATGCTGATTGACTAGTTAGGAAGTGTGAGAGAGAAGTGTCCTGCTCATTAGAACACAGTGCACAAACCAGACAGTCATATTTAGAGAACAGGGCTGGGTTGTTCGAAAGGGGTTTAACTTTAATCTAGGGTTAAAAGTTAATCATGGCTTTAATTTCTCCCGTATATGAACATGTTTAAAAGCTAAGGTTTTGTTGGGTTTTATTTCAATATGACTTAGAACTAAAAGGAAACAAAAGAAAAAAGGAATAATACCTTTGCAAGGCCATTAAACTGAATTAAAAATTTGCAGCGGGTTATGTTAATCATGCATAGAACAACCCAGCCCAGTACCCTAACATTGTCTTTCATAACAGTCTATTAAAATCCTACAGCATCTTAAGTAACTTGGGGTGATGTTGGTGAAAATGGACAGGTGGTAGAGTAACTTTGGGTTGGCATAACTTGTACAAAAGCTCAGTTTCACCTCGTACTCAGGAATATTTCTTACCTCATATAGTGGAGGCTCTTTGGGATGTGGGTGAAATCCTGGCTTTTTACAATTCAAAATAAATTGAAGACCCCAATCTGGGGTGAGAGAAAACACACCAGTCCTGGAAAATGCACAGCACATGCATTAGTGAACCAGAAATTAAACAGCACTGTATAACTGTGTAGGGGAAACATTTTGTTAGAAAATGTATTGGCCAATTATCTAACAATGAGACTTTTGTCACTGGAGAGCTGGTTTATAACAGAAAAGAGCAACACTGCAAGCTTCACACTTGCATGGACATGCAGGATGTGCCATGCGAGGTAGTTGTGGCCTTTCATTTAATTGTGGTGTTAAGTTTGCAGTCTGTTATTGATAACCTTAGAGCAGACAATTTGCAATTCAATAAATTCACTCTTGCTCACTTACTCATTGTGATTACTTGAGGGCTTTGGTTTTATCAAAATGCTTCAATCTCTTACAGTCAATTGTTACCCTCTATCAAAAGATACTGTTATTATTATTATCATTATTATTATTATTATTATTATCATTATTAAATAATTAAAATGTATTACAGTATGCCTCTGTTAGGTGAGGACAGAATTTGGCAACTGCAGAAATATTTATTAGTCACACATTTAAATGATTTTATTCTTGGTTAAATTATACATTTTTAATTGTGTTCAAGCATTACATAGATAATTCTGAGTAAGACAAGAAACTTAAAACTGAAACCAGGATAAATCTGTACCACAAAAAATACCACCAAGTAAACAATATGCCTGATAACATAATTTGAACACATAATACCCTACTTACTCATCAAACTTCGGAGCACACACAATAGCAATTGCTTCTGGCATCATAAGCTGATAACTGCAATGGGTGTGAAGATCAACACTGGACATGAAGCTTGTCTGTGATGGGTGTGTCTGGTTCATGAATCAGATTTTAAAATGATTAGGTACTTGTGGTAGTCAATTAAATATAAAGTTATAAATTCTCCACCTAAATTAACCTGTCATCTCGTGATTCATTCATTACATGAAGGGAGGCTTGGGGAGGAGGTGATATAGAAGAGAGAGAAGATTGTTTAAGGGGGTTGACAGCCAGAAGGAAATCATACAATATGAAACTTTGCTAATCTATATTATAACATAGCTGGTAAATTTGTCTAATCAAATTCAATTGCACGAGTGTGCTTCATATTCCTATTGTGCACACTCGTGATGTCTGCAAACAAATCCCTTGAGAAAATAAATTTTCCATGGGGTTGAAAATGTTATAAAACAATTGGTTCATTCGTCATCTGTGCTTTCATCGAGATATGAAGCACTTGGGAAGCTTGGAGAGCACTCAAGTAGCTAGAGTTGCTCTTGGCTGCACCTCGAGCAACTCTTACACATCTTTCATGCTCTCCAAACTTCGCGCGTGCTTCATATCTTGATGAACGCACGCTGATGTATGAACCAATTGTTAATTGTTTAATCTGCAGGCTTTTGTAAAAAATAGATCAGGATGGTGGAGTTAAAAGTAAAGGACATGGGTAGGGTGAACACAGAACGAAAAGATGGATATCCTTAACCCTTCCATGTCCTTCCCACTCTGTAACTCTGTGTTTCTTGCATTATTGACAAAAGTGAGAAGAGATGCAAGAAGGTACATGTAACCTCCTACATTAGATGGCAACTTACATGTATCCAACCCAATGTAATTAGATTGTGAGAATCTTGATAATCAAACAGATCCTCCTCATTCAGAGTTGTGCAGGAATCTGATGTTGAGGTTTGCTTGGGGATCAACAAATGAGTAATGCAGAACATGTTGCTTTGCTGTACAAATAAAATGAGACAAGATACAGTTTTACATTAATTGAGTAGAATTATATAAACTTTATAATAAAAACTAACGAGAGGGCTTTTATTTGGTAAGGTGTGGGTGAAGCGTTTTACAAATGATTGGTTCAGCTTAACCCAAGTTTACTCATAAGATCTCATTGGTAATTCTCCTAACTGTGTTCCACATAATTCTTATGATGTTAGTTTGGAGAAGTTGATATTGGATCAACTAATTATTGTCTGATTTTCTTTATTCTCATCGTTTGTCTGCTTGATATGGTATGAAAATCATAAGGAAAAATTCTGATGTGGTCTCTCACCAGAATTTAAGGTTAGGGTGTTATCATTGAAAATTTTGAAATCCGAGATACTGGAGTTTGATCTTTCAAGGTGCTGAGTAACAGCAGACATTGCAAATACTTAAAAGACTCCATAATCATCATTGAAAGAGATGACTGGGTAAGAGTCTTAGCAGGTGCTGGGCTTAAATGTGTCACAGCACCAATAAGAACCTGCTCCCAGATAATATTGACTAGTAGAACAACTGCAGCTGTTTATGAGAAGTATGGGAAAGTATATCCATAAATCATGGCTTAGGAGTTTGTGGAAATCCTTCAAAGTTCCTGAAAATTACAGGCTTGAAGGCTTTTGAAGAAAAGTTGTACTCACAAGTCGGCCTGCTAGAATGCCACAGGTTTCAAGGTTTTTCCTTGTATTGTTAGATGCCAGACGTAGGAACTGACTGATGAGTTCTGCTGGAACATGCATTTTTCTGAGGCCACTTGATGACGCATCTTAACACAAATCAGGAGAGAATCAGCAAGTTTCAAAATTGTCAGCTCTTGGCCATTGGATGATTACTACATGTGAGGCACCTTGAATTAGTGCAGTTAGAATTATATTAATCACCAAAATTATGGTTTTCCTGAACAAAGGTAGTCAGACAGTTTAACTAACCTGCAGACATGACTGGTTTGGTGGACCTGTCAATTGTTGGGACACTACAGATGGAATATTCAATGCAAAATTATCTAACCAACTATTACTTGCATAATTATTAAGTTGGTAAGGGTAAGTGAGATTTGTGAAAAAAAGCCATATACTGTCCTATTTGGTCTTGCTTCAAAATTATTTGAATTACATGTAGATGGTAACTTAAGTCTTACAATTTACAAAAACACAACAATCCTTTGCCATCTTGACTCATAAATATCTACATAATTGTGTGGTAACTTAAGCCTGAACAGTTTTAAAAAACAACAACCTTTAGCCATCTTGCCTCATAAATATCTACATAATTGTGTGGTAATTTTAGCCTAAACAATTTAAGAAAAACACTACAATCCTTTTCTCATACCTTGGTGTTTGTACAGAGAAGAGTGATGAGTAGCTAGGTGGTGATGGCATCGTGCTATGTGTTTGATTGTTGTCACTAGGGGTGCCATGTTCACGCTGATTATTACCCACTATTGAATTTGGACTGTCAGATGACTCCTGATAGGAGGTGGGTGGGGCAAGGTAATCCTCAATCAGTGGCGGTGCACTTGGAGTAACACTTGGGGTCTCTGTATGAGGCCTTGATGTGTTGTTATGCTGTGGTGCTATTTGCTGGGCTGCCTGTGCTTTTCGTGCTTTTTCTTCAGCTTCCCTTTTCTCAAACTCTTTTCTTTTGGTTTCTTCCTCTTCTTTCTTTAAACAGAAAGAAATGCATTTGCACGATATAAAAGAATTCTAACTGTTCAATATGACATAAACAATACTAACAGGTAATTATGCACCCTTGAAACCATAGTATTTTTTTTTCTTCCACAATATTACTAGTTCTCCTGATAACTGGTCACAGTGTTATGAATTTTTCTTTTGTGTGGATTGTTACATTAACCCTTTAACTCCCAGATCAAATTTGTAATTCTTCTCACCATCAACCATACAAATCTTATAATGTTAGTTCAGCAAATTTAGTATTGAATCAACTAATTATCACCAAGTTGATATTTTTCTTTATTCTCATCACTTATCTAGTTGATATTGTATTGATGTTGTAAGGAGAAATTCTCTCTTGGTCACTCATAGGAGTTAAAGGGTTAATACAATTTCAAAATAAATTTAACAAGCCAAACAAAATGACAACAATTCTAATGATAATATTATAAAGAGGAACTACATGAAAGAACAGATATTTTTTTCCTCACCTTTCTAGCCTCTTCAACCATTAACTGTTCATATTCCTTCTGATACTTTCCCTTTAAAATTCCTTTTAATTCCTCAGCTTCACCAAATACTCTTCTGAGGCTCTGAATATGACAATCATACAATCATGTCATTGAGCACTCACAATCATAATTTCATGGAGATTCAACTTCTACATCACAAACCAAGCAGGAAGAACTTTTGAAATTTCATGCATGTTTGGTGACCATACATTATGTGCAATTATTGGTGAAAAGTATATCATTCTTTTATTTCAAACTATTATTAGTTTTTAAGCATGATGACTGAATGGTGTTATGATGAGTTAAAAATATAGAAGGTACCATATGAACAAAGGGATTATCAAGCACAACAGACTGGATACTGCATATACATATGTGTAGTTGTGGAAATACATGGTTCTACAAATTATCAATGTTATACCAAGACGCAATTCTTAACACAATCAGCTGTACCCCTAGATTCATTCCTTTCACTGCGATACTCTTTGTCTGTCTTTTTTCTAAGTGCTCTGGTATCAATGGGTTTTTACTAAAAGTATTATATACCTTCTTATTTGTTGCTTTGTCTCCTGGTGCTGCCTTGGCATATTCTGGATGTGAAGGAAGTTTTTCCACAAACAATCTAATACCAAATAGAGATACACAATTAACAATCCCTGTACAGGACACTTAACATTACACAAAATCATTCTCATTGATAGCAATTATCACTTTTGTGTGGATAGGTACTAAATAAATGGCAGCTTTCTTGTCATCCTTGTGTTCAGGACAACACACTCAACTCTTGCAGTCCCACTCCACCTAGAACTATATGTTAACCCTTTAACTTCTAAGAGTGACCAGCATCTCATTTCTCCATTCCATGTCACCCTTGAATCAAACATTAAGGCCATGATAACAAAGGGAATGATCACCAACTAAAGAAGCTCTTCATTGTTTAAAAAATTCTCATTGTCAGCACCTTAGGAAATGTATAGTAAAATTATAGAGAGCAGTATGGAGAATATGCGTACTAATGGTAGGGTGTAAGGGGTTAAGGTGCCACTCAACTGTCAGTGATCACTCCTTGTGGAGCAGTATCCCATTCAATAAGAATGAAAAATCTCCTATTCTCTCTGTGCTACAGGAACTAAAATGACTTAACTGTAAGTACCTGGTCTCTGGGCTTGGCTTACATCACTCTTAAAGCCACATCCCTATTTCCTTTATCATGTTAGGGTTCAATTTTGTCAGCAGCAAGATTTTAAGAAGAAATTGAAGAATTAAATAAATGTCTTCTTTCCAAAATCGTGTTTTTTTCCAGGGTATTAATCATCTACTTACGTGATGAATTTCGAATACAAAATAAATGCACTTTCCAGATTTCCTTCATCATGATATATCCTTGCCTACGAGATGTTAGAAAATTTAAGAAAGGCCACATAAACAGCAACAACAACAATCACAAGTGTGTATGACTGAATTAAACCCATAAGTTTAATTTTGGATTTGAGAGTCTTCTGAGGGTAATAAGCCATCAAATAAAAGATAAATTTGTGCTAAAATGACAATGCCTTAAGCAGCTTTCCACGAAACTTGCGTCAATTCTTTATTTAGCAAATGACATAATGCAAGTTACTGTAAGGCTTTATTTCGCAAGATTTGACGGCCGATCAGAAAGAAAAATCGGAAGCTATTATTATTTGCAATTAATCATACAAGGCTAATTCGTTTCGAAGAAAAATAGATACAGAGGCTATGATGCATGATAAAAAAGAAGCAACCACAGAGTACGCCAAGATGAGACTGTTGATAAAAAAAATTGTTGCAACAAACATCAATGCAATCCATTTCGTATCCCATCACCTGGCAAATAATTCTTACCATTCGCTCCATTTCTACACCAGATCTGAAGTATTTCTTAGGTTCTATGCTATTATCAACCTCAACTTGCCCAGCGTATTGGACAAGTCTCCGCACTCTCTCGGCTGGATCGCGCTCGTCCGCCATCTTGATATTTTGTTACCCACTGTACTCTAGGTCACTCTTTATACTTTTTGATACTTCATAAATGTCGCACGAGCTGACGCGGGCAAACTCGAGTGGGACTGTTACTTAAAATAATTGTCCTTGGTAGGGGGGTGGCCTGTGTATATGACTCGATCGTTTGTATGCTTACACATCTAGCGAAATGTCCGACATAATCCTACACGCGTCAAAAACCAATACAAAATCTACACTTTTGTTTTGCTTTTTCGTTTTCTTCGCTCTTTAAGACTTTCAATTTTTACAAATCAATTCATTGTTCAAACAAAGAAAAGTTAGAAAGCAAAAACTTTTCTCTTCCTTTCTTCCTTAAAGATTGCTGTGCTCTCAAAATAAGATTTCAAAATGAGAGGTTGGCCGCTTCAGGGGCGGTTTTTAGCTCATCAGATTGTTATTTGCCCTAAATACTGGCATGTTATGGCACACATGAAAGGACGACGAATCAAATTGACCTCTAAAATTGTTGCAATCCAAATATGAAATCATAAATGGTAGAAAAGAGAAAAGAAAAAGATAATATGACGCTTTTTAACACTTTTGTACTTTCCGGAGCAGTATTTGAGATCAGCTTTTTAATGTCATTACCGGTGGACTCTACATAACTGATTCGTTTTTCTTCCAAGGAAAGTAATAAGAATAATAAAAAAATGAAACTCTTGAGCTGGCTTTTTTCCGCTGGCTTTGTATCTTTTCGATGGAAATAAACGGAGGACACTCCATTGCGTGATAACTGTCCGGTGATTTTGTCCCACGTGATGCTAAGCAACTAATGGAGTCACGCGTAAATTAATGGGTGGGTTACGTTTGTGTCTGCTAATTGAGGCAGCACACTTCAAGATGCTCGCCTTGTTGCCAAAATGAGGCAAACGTTAGCAACTACTAATCTATTTGACAGTGAAAACACAAATCAAGAGGACACAGCAAGTTCTGCATAAAAGCAATTTTATTGCATCAAGATACTTACGACGCTATACACAGTTGAAAAATTGCCGAGTAAAACCCCCGCAAACAGCATTTATGAAACAACCATTGGATGGTGTTTCACAAAAGTCCATTATAAAAAGCTAAAACCTTGTTATTAACAAGAAAGTGCTGAAAACTATCGCCCCCATTTCTTTTATTTCGGCAAATGGTCTGCACATAAGTCCGCTTAATACTCCGAAAATTGTGGTGCATACTTCTCACATTGTAATTTTTGAAAATCAATCAGCAGTCACTTTTTAAGACACTACAAATCGCCGACACACTTCACACAGTTTTTTTTTGTGGTGAATCACTTTCTTCCTCCAGGAATTCCCAGTCGAAAATCTAAAACAAAAACAGAAAAAAATACCAGAAACTGAGGTAAATTTCCATAACTTCATCATCACATAAACCCTTCTCCCCTTAAACCTTTGCATCAATATTCACATTCTCCATACTCTTATTTATAAATCTCCTATTATGCTGACAAGAAGAGCTCATTTCCTTAACTCTCATGATCTTAAATTTTGTAGCGATGCTGTCTAGACAAACTAGATGGTAGTCAGTCTTGGGAGTTTATGACTCAGAAATTTCAAGTCCCGGTGACTCACTTCTTCAGTTGGCCTTTGAAGGAGGAGGAGCAATTTGAATAAAAGCCTCGACGGGTTCGCGCAATTTTATTCTTCTGAAAACGTAACTCGTCCCTATTTATAACAAAGTGTACTAACAATCGAGTGATTACCTATACTAAAAACCAATCCTCCCAGGAGTCACACACTGACAAATTTATGTCACTATATTTTTGTCACAAAATGACAAATTTAAATTCAGTTTTTTTTCTTCAGCTCTTTGCTTCATTGTTGAAAGAGACTTATGATATGACAACGACCGTGGTAACAGCGACGTAAAGGGAATGGGTCGAGGCCGTAGGTTGGAAACTGCCAGTTTTCCGGATATTATGAAAGTTTGCGTGTTAAGTTACTTGTGGATTTCGTTCAATTCTTGCATATATCACGGTCAGTATAAGCGCAATACAAAAGAACACAGTTGACGTGATTAAAATCAAAAGTTTACCTCTGTATCATTCATCTGATCATTCTTCAATGTGTTTAATAGTCCAGCCAATCTGCAAGGCACGGAAGTTGGGTAAACAATTACGTGAATGAAAAATACAGAGAGGTATTGGGGCATTGGATCAATGTCAGTATCTGAGAACCTATCCCTCCCCTAACCAAACAATTGTCAACTGACCACAAGTTACGGTTAGTGTTGGGCTAGGAAAGGGGTAGCAACTTTGAACCAATCAGAGTGAAGTTTCGATGCTATCGGCCAATCAGGTGCAACTGCAACTTTGAACCAATCAGCGTGAAGTTTCGATGCTATCGGCCAATCAGGTGCAACTGAAAATCGACTCACTTCGCTATTCCACACACATTACTATAGGTCGCATAACATCGCACGACCACTTTTGGACTTACTTTTCAAAATTCTTTGAACTCTCCTCTATTAGAACAATGGATTGTGTACTGGAACTACGAAGACAAGAAAATTATGAAAAATAAGTGCTTTTGACTCTACTGATTTTGACTCTGGTATGGCTAGGTAAGTGTGGAATAGAAAAAGCAGCAGTATCAACAGAAGGCATCGATGTTTATCTAGAAGAGAGAAAAACGGAGATGACACAGAAAAATTTAAATCAATTATGCTGATGATGTAGCAAAGACCTTGAAGCTGCAATCGAAGAGAAAGATGAATATGAACTGCTCATCGAACGGCGTCGATCCTCTTCTCTTCGTCTCTGAAATCAGGGGGAAAAAATAAAACTAGTCAATTAGTTTTAAACTCGACCATTATTGAGGGAGGGTATCCCAATGCATGAGGGCACGCTGCAAAACCTAGGTCAAGTGTCTCGTCCAATTCAATCAATACAGGGAGGCGAGTTAACTTTCGTACAAGTGGAAAATTAATGCTATCTTTGATACTTCATTTAAAAAAAAAAAACAATTTAAGAACAACCTTTGACTGGAGAAGCCTCCAAAGATCAACTTGTCTCTGTTTTTGCATCTGGAGAACAAAATAATCAAAAGCAATCAATAGAGTAAAATGAAAAATCGCAGTCTCCAGGATTTTAACCCCAGTTAGATGATAACATCAATTTTCTATTGCCTTCTGCATACACATAATTTATTATCGGCTTAGAAATTGCTTAATTGCCTGTTAACGGGTTTATACTTAACAGCTACAGATGGAGGGTGCAACGATATTGTGTAAAACAAGCAAACTGCGTGAAGCGCGGGAAAACTTGAGTGGTTATGCCGCAATTGGCTGTAGCTTAGAATGTGATTGTTTGAAAGGAAGGTGCAAGTCTCTGGACCAATCACACTGAGAAGTAAAAGCAATTTCGGATTATTTACAGCTCTTAATTGAAAACAACTTCTCTCTAAACTAACCTCTTTTAGATCCTCCGCTCTGGCAATAATTTTTGATTTGACTTGAAGAAGACGTTGCATCAGTCTGCGCATGTCTCTTCTACAAGCCATCACTTCACTAAAGAAAATTGGGGACAACATCAAAAAAAGAACATAGAATTGAATAATTTCACGGCCTTCCAAATATGAACTTCCTAGAAGTAGATTATCTATGAGTCCTGCGTCCTTGACTAGAATCAAAGTAATGACCTTCCGTGCACAAGCCGGATGCTACGGCACTAAATCTCATTTTGACGAACAATTTGACATATTCTCCTAATTACAAAATTCTCTTACCTTAAATTGGACAAAATCTCCCTATGGAGTTTTTCTCTTTGTGCAAGGATCTGTAGAATTACTGTGGCCATATTTTCACAATCTGCAGGTCGTCTGTCACCTTAAAACACAACAAGAAGTGTTATCTTGGGTAACATTAGAAAACTCTTGTACAGACGAACACTGCTACATTAAAATTGAGGGCAAGAAAGTGAGCCAGGAAACTAGCCCCCAGTCGTTAGCGCCGGCGATCCACTTGGAGTGAGCCGAGATAAGAGACCGGTTTCATTGCAACATGAAAGAGGCAAATCATCACTTACTTTGTCTGAGGTCCTCATACAGCTGAACAGCACGATCATACCTGTGACCAAAGAAAAACGTATGGGACCAAGTTTTCAAACAGAAACCGCGCGAGAATGATTAAACCTAAAAACCTAAAGCCAGTCCTACTCTTTGTATAATCTGAATCCAGGCCACCTGCTACTCCCGTGCATTGTAACAGAATCCAGGTAGTCATACATCAATTGCTGTCTGAAGAGTTTAACTTTTTTCTCCAATTTGGCCAAAACCAGCTTTGGTCTAACGTTGCGAAAAGTATGTTTCGGTAAAAGATAATGTCTAAGAGTACCGACAAGTTTGGAGCATATTCTGAGAAAATATATGTATATTCATCAGCCAAATATCATGCGATTTTTTTTCTGCAAGAAAGTGGGAAACCAGTGGAAAAACGGTGTTGTGATAATTGAACATCAGAAGCATGTTATACCAACAAAGAAGAAAAAGCAAGAATTACATCAAATGCTTGAAAAAAAAGAGGTTTTCACCTAAGTTGATCAATTTTCATAGAAGATTGCGCTGCACTTGAACATGTCGCCTTTTGCAACTCAACCACTTTATTCTGTAGAGCTGCTGTTAAATCTCTAAGTTGTGTTACTTCATTCTGAAAGAAATCAAACTAGCATTTGTATGAGTGGCAAAAATGGTCTATTAAAGCCAAAAAAGGAACAACACTCTAGAAATATACTATCCACCTGCCCTTAAATACTTAAAAAAGGACTTCAACAACAAGGATGTTCGATGTACTCTCCAGTGTTGGAATAATGCGAATCTCCCTGCTAGAAACCAATCCCCTTCCTAGCCCCAATCCGCGCGGCTTTCGAACTCATGTGGATAGCCACGCGAACTGGGGCTAGAAGGGGGATTGGTTTCTACATTCCTGGTAAATTTTCGTCTGCTTTCCACATCGAGGATACCAAACTCTTCATCTTAAGGAGGTTTACTAAAAGGTTTCCATTAATTGAAGGAACGAGGCAGTAATGTACGGTTCAACATAAGAACGATCCATCCTAAGCGACTGACTTAGAAGAGTTTGTTACTGTTAATTTAATTACTGTTTTATACGGTAAGTTTTATAATTCCTCTTACATTATGGAATGATTCCGCTTTTTTCTGCGCCCGTTTCCAGTTTCTTAACAGTTTGTCATCTGCAAAACAAAAATAGCGTCCATTACTTTTCATCTTTTATATTTTATTGAAGGAAAGATCTTCGACGGTTTAATTTCACCACCATCACAACAACAAAGAGTTTAATTTAATTCAACTCACTTTTCATGAGACTGGCATTATCGGCGTAGTTCTCGAGATCTGTCTCCAAACTAAAGAATAAACAAATTCATGATTACATTAAAAGTTATAAAAGTACTGATTAACAAACAATACTTTTACAAAATTTCAACTCACTACGGTTGAGTTACCTTGAGTTGAAGAACTCAATTTTTGCCTTCAGTTTATCGTACTCAGCTAGAAGCTCAGTCTTGAGTTGTCCAAGTTTGGTATTTAGAACTAACAGTGAAATCCTGAAATAGAAGTCGAAATCGTTCAAAAATAGATGCATAACAGAATCATTGACTATAAGTATTCCCCCAAAAAGAGTTCTGTCCTAAGAAGCATAAGATGATAAACAAAACACTGGGTGCCTCGTAGCGCATGACCGCTCGAACTACGCGAGCCTGTTCGTTCGTTCAAAGCGCCCGGTTACATCTTACAAAGTTTTTCCCACCTAACTCTGGAGCGATTTCAAAACTGTGCACCGACAAGCCAAACAGATCATTCTTTCGTGTAAAGTTAAAATATGTGCACGTTTATAACTCACTGGGCAGCTCTGACACCGTTAATCAGCCGCTGATTTATCTTGATCTGCTCACGACAAAAGTGCACCCCTTGAGCTAAAGCCTTTTTTAATTCCTGAAAAAAAAATTATTTACGTTTTAAGAATACAGAGTACAAAATTGCATGACATCGGAGTAAGTGAACCTAACATGAACTGCCATATTCTGAGGGGAGTAGTGTAATTTACCTCGTAAGCCATCAATGATTTTTGTTCGTTGACTGAAAAAGAGCAACAAGATAAGATGAAAATCAAACCGTTTTCTGAAATGTTCTTCTACTATGGTTTTCGTTTCAAGCACCTAAGCAAAAAAAAATGATAATGATGACAAATAAACTAATACAAACAATCAAAATCAAAAATAAGATGCTGACAACTCCAACTGCCACAATCAAAACTAGTTGCCTGTTTAGAAGCGCGGTAAAGAAATTTATTCCAGCTCTACCGAGAAACAAATCCATCTAGGCTCAGTTGTTCAAAATGCGGATAACGCTATCCTACGGATAAATCGCTCTCCAGCGGAAAATTGATAACAAAAACTACCACACTATCCATGAGATGGGGATTTATTCAGTGAATACCGTTATCCAACCTTTGGGGCTTGGTGGTCAGAACGGGACTCGAACCCGGGACCTTCGGTTTGTAAACCTGACGTTCTTACCTCACTCAACAAAGCTGCCCTCTCTATTCCTACCTTCTCAGTATAAATAAGCTGATTGCTCTCATAAGCAAACTCTTACCCATTCCTTGTACTGAAGGCGGTAAGGTGTATAGTTGACGTTTGGTTGCTAGCTCGTTATTTTTCGGTAAAAGGTACAAAACATTATCTTCTCCCATCTGCGAAAAAACAACACAAGCAACACCCAATGTAAGTTCTTTGTTTTATTTTTAGGAACAAAACAGTCCTATTTATACCCCAGTGTTAGAGGGGAGGGAGAGTGTTTACACAGTACTTACATTGACTTGAAAAATTTAAGATAATTCAAAAGATTGTGACTACACTTAGCGTTGTGAGTTAATATCTCGAGAAAACCAATTTATCACTCTTACGAACTAAATTTTGGCATTTCTTATAACTAAGTTCCTAGATTTTTAACATTTACATTTTCTCTTTTAACTAAAAGCTTACTACTTTTCCTACAGGTTTATAAACATTGTTCCTTATCTTTTTTTTTTTTCAACACATTTAATGACTGTCTGACATTCAAGAGGAATATTGAAACGATTGACACAAAATCTTAAAATTTATCCACCAGATCAACTAGAAATTATTTTATAAACAAAACTCAAGACACGGATTACAAAATACAGCTTGTAAGTCTTACGATATCATGTTTGATGCAGTCCATGACCAGGGTCTTTGGCTCAAGTGTTTGTCCTGACACCATCATCAATTCTTGCTCTTTTACTTCCACCCCAGTTTCCTCGCATAACTTTACTTGTAGATCCTCTACACTGTGATTTAGTGAAAAAGGAAAGTTCGCATGTGCTACACGAGTTTTCCCGGCCCACACAAAGCATATCTTTCAGGCGGGCATCGAACCCAACAGTTGGAAGAGAGGGGGATTCTAACACTGCACCTTCTCTACTTCCCAAATTGAATCATTCAAGATTTCATCATCTAAAGGACTCAAAGACGACCACGATGTTTCTAATACTTAGCCCTTTGGCCCCTAAGAATGACTAGCATCTAATTTCTCCTTACAATATCACCCCTGTATCACGCTTTAAGGTCACGAGAATAAAGGAAATTATCACCAACTAGAGAAACTCTTGGTTGCTGAAAAAATTCTCCTTGTCAGCACCATAGGAAATGTAGAGAGAACAGCAGTGAGAATATGCATACTGATGTCAGGGTGTAAAAGGTTAGTTATGTAAAGCTAAATTACGTACGCACTTTGATTGGTTCTTAATTATGATGTAATGGCTTTATGACGTCACATAGATGACGTCACCGTCGACAAAAATTTTGCTTTGTCATCATTTAGTACAAAATAGATTCATTGTTGCCGTGTTTCTGTTCAGTAATAGATCACGGAAGACGTCAAAATGTGGTGAGTACGTCAGTGACACACTCAGTTGCGCCTCTGTGCCACGCTTTTGTTCTCACCACATTTGACTTTATCTGTGATGTTTCACTGCAGACCCACAGCAATATGGAAACTATTTGATAAACATAATTGACGTACTGAAGACGAGGATCAACTTAGAGCGTTGAGCTCATCACACTTACGTTTCAGTCGGGAACACTTCAAATGCATGTACCATGCTTGAATGAATTACGAACACATGTATTACCTGAAAAAAAAAACCACCAAAAAGTAAAATTAATTTAAGCCAACAGATTTAAAAAACAGTGTCGTAACAAAATTTTCATTTACCACAGTACTGATGATTCTTTCCAGCATATCAAAACACTCAATTTTTCCACTTTCAAGCTTTGATCCCCCACGTGCCGTGGGATCCCATAACAACAACAGCCGCAAAAGCGCTACAAACTTGTCCTGAAGAGGTCTGCAAGAGGAAGAAAAACAATGCAACTTAAATTGCTCAGCTTCATCACAAGTTTTCTTACCAATGCGTATGAGAATTGTAATACTTTCCAATGAAGCTACCACAAAGCCGTACTTTTTTCCCAGTTCTTTTTCCCCTTACACTGTAGCATACAAATTCCCGGAAATCTAAAAACATACCGCTATAATTTTCTCCTTTGAGTTAACGTTTGGAAAATAATAGCGTCACAAGAAAAAACCAGTTCCTCTTTCTCTTCTTCTCCCCATTATCTACCACACGACAGCTTGTTTTGGGAGCATTTCCTGTGCTTAAAAATTATTAAGAACTGAAGTCACACTTTGCCCCTTTACAGCCCCTTATGATAACACCAGACTTTGGCCTGAGATGAACGCTACATGATGTTCATTATATCGATTACCAAAACTGATATAGGTTACACACCTGCAGAGAGCATTGGGAGTTGGTAACACTGAGTTAAACTGTACTTCCCCTGAAATAAAATTATCACAGTCACCACAAAATACCATAGTTTAACCTGTCAAGTACTTATAACTACATGATTCTAGTTTCACACCAGGTAAGACTTGTCAAGGTGCCATAACCACAGTACATTAGAAATTTGAGTAACTGAGACTTACTTTTGTCAAAACTTTACAGTAACTGCAATTATCAATCTTATCACACTAGGGGTTAAAATCTATCTGCTGTGGCATTGAGAAGAAGTCATTTCACCAATTAAAACCTTACTGATAAAAGCTTTGTTATACAAAGAAAAAAGTAATAATGAACAGATGGAAAGCTAGGTACTGTCTTAACTTTTATTAACCCTTTAACTCCCATGAGTGACCAAGACAGAATTTCTCCTTACAACATCAATACAATATAAACCAAATAAGTGATGAGAATAAAGAAAAATATCAATTTAGGGATAATTAGTTAATCTAATACTAAATTCTCTGAGCTAACTTTATAGAAATTGTATGATTGGCAGTAAAGAGAATTACAAATTTGATCTGGGAGTTAAAGGGTTTTAACTACCTTGCAAATCAACAAAAGCACAAATGTCATCTGGTCCTTTGCCATTAAGTTCTTGGTACCTAATGAGAACAAGCAAAGAAAATGGAATTTTATTGAGGCTATCTCTTAACCCATAAAATAATACAATAAGATTTGAAATTCTACCTTCCCGTAACTGACAATTTCCTTGTAAATAAATTGACAAAACTTAACTATAGTTTATGTTAAGTTAGTACCCACAGGCTGACAAGTTTATCAACTATTCTCACAGGATGATTATGAGATTACTGGATAATAACCTCACGTTGTTCAAACAAGAAATCAAAAAAGCTCTCTAAGGCACAGCATTCATGGAAAGCAGCAAAATAGTGAAATTAATAGTGTGATTAATGTAATTATTAGTTAACAGTTTTTAATCCTTTGTAAATAGCTAATAACTTGCCTGTGATTAAATAAAGTTTAAAAGAAAAGGTAAAATCAGAAATAATAGCGTAAGGCAAAGTTACATACATGTTTATTAATTATCTCTGGCCAAGAGTTTAAAGTTGATTCATTACCAATAATATAACAACTATCAGAATTGGGAGAATTACAACCAGAAGAAAATCTGCTAGATGTATCAGTTGAATAAACTTGCATGTAACTTTTAAATAAATGAAAGTAACTTTCATATTTCCGACTATTCATACCACTGGACTGGAGAGCTCAGTTCTGACAAGAAAGGTCGCAGTCCTGTGATGCATTCAAACAACACTGTACCAAAGCTCCAATAATCTACCTGTAAATCAAATAGTACCAGTCATGATGAAAAACAAAACCCTTATGCACATTTTTAAGGATTTAATAGGCAAATAACCTAAACAAAGATTGTGAACGTACAGGTACAAGAAGTATATTGCTTGTTGGTAATATAGATTTATATATTATTTATGCTTTCTTCAGGGAAATAAAGCTGTCAAGGATTGGCTGCATGAATGAGTTGTCAGGTATTTTACACTGTTCATGAGTTGATGGTTAACTGGCCATCAGTTAAGAGGTTTAATTTTACATTGGTAGTTGTGGCACACTATCAGCAGCTATTGTGGAGAAGGGGTCATTGCAGTGTACACAGTGTAACTAAATGGGTGGAGTCAGAGGTTCATAAAAAGTAAATCAAATGGTTGTTGCTGGAAAAAACTTTCTAAGACAAACACTAATTATTAACAATAACTGTGTAGGTTAATTAGTGCCCTTACTGTTTTTGTGTATTTGACTCTACCAAGAAGTTCAGGGGCCTATGAAAAGAACAAATAATCAAAATTGGTCCAAACTAACAACTTCTTTTAAAATGGCATATAAATAGCAGATATCTCCATCTGTATTGAAAGTAATGGGCCATAAATCCAAGTAAAAGAAACTTGTTCCGTAACTAACAAAACCAACCTCAAACAGTTTGTAAAAGTAGTATATACCCACCACATATTTAAGAGTTCCCACAAAAGTAGTAGCCAGACTTTCTTGATCCAATTGCTTAGCATAGCCAAGGTCTATAATTTTGTAAACTACCTGGAAGGAGGTAAAGTGAAAAAAAAAATTACAAATAACAATTGTAAACTGCACTATAAATGTAAAATGTTTAAGTTTCAAAAATAAAGCAACATAACACAATGAACCCCCACATTTTAAACCATGATTTTTGGTCTAGCCATTGAGACACTACCTCTTCCATTGGTCAAAGCAAAATTACCGATATTTTGACTAGATGACTGAGATTTTCAAGGCAAGCACAGTTTTTTATGCAGCTAAGCTACCAATGGGCAAAAAAATTAGTTGATGCATAGAATCCATGTCCCCACTTTTAAGGTCTTATTTAGAAACTAATGAAAAATACATTAAAGACCAGTTTGCTCCGATAACCCCCTTCCCCCATCCTATTTTCTACAATCGTAGAAAAACAAGGAACATCATTCTACAGTGGAGAGCAGTTGGGTAAAAGTAAAGGTCTACGGGATACAAATGGAATGCTATTCCAGAATCTTGCAATGTCAATATTGATCTGTCCACAAGTTTGCCTCTGATCAAAGAATTACAATAAAGCAGGCTTTATTGTAATGATCCATGTCTTGCATAATTCTACATTAATGTGCTCAATTTCTTCTTACCTTACTTTGTGCATGACTTATCACAATGTTCTCAGGTTTGATGTCTCTGTGTATAATGCGATGACCGTGAAGAAATTCAACTGCAGCCGCTTTTCAAAAAAAACAACAACAACATCAACACCACTGTTTTAATTGCATACCTAACCACATTAGTTGAATCTGTTGTAATGTACAGCTTGCTCATAACAATCAAATGTGACATTTTTCACAATTTTCTGGAGATGCTTTCTCCTAGAACCCCTTTCAGGCTCACCGGTCCATCTAACATATGTTTCTGTGGCCATCTTGGTTAAACCTTTCTAGCCTCACCTTACCTCAAAACTTACCAAAAGCATTGTTAATATAACCATGCTCCAAGTAATTAATAGGCTTTTCAAAATCACTCTTAGTTTCAAAAATTTCTCACCAACATCTAAAGCAATCTTCAGAACAGTCTTTTCCTTCAGCCCACAGCAGCTCTCTGGGGAATTCAGTACCTGTATAAGCATAAAGATTTATTGAACATTTCATTACTCATGAAAGCCAATAATGTTTTAACAGTTAAAATCAAGTAACAATAAAATAAAAACTATACAATCATTTTTCAACTCTTTAACCATTGCAAACCTTTAATGGAAAGCAGGTGCCTGGGGTATCCAAGGCATTCTACTGGGTCCCACCAGCTCAATTTCCCAAATACTGTAATACTGACTAATTCTTAAAAATTAATTACATAATTTGAATAATTTTAAATATTTTTAAGTGCACCTTTCTCAAATCTCCTCCAGAACAGAATTCCATGGCTAGGAGAGGAAGCTCATTCACACTGACATTCAGTGGTGGTGGAACTTCAATAGCTGCAACCAGGTTGGGGTGATGAAGCCTCTTCATGATGTCAATTTCCTGCTGCCATAGTTTCTCATTTTGAGGATTCAATGTCAAGCGGCATTTCTTCAAGGCTATTTGTTCCTTTGAAATCTATAAAAAATGTCATGCAAACTGCAATTTACCTTAAACCTTTGACCTGTAACTGGCATCTAATTTCTCCTTACATTATATCACTCCTGAATCAAACATGAGGTGAAAATAACACAGAAAATGATCACCAACAAAAGAAGCTATCTTTGCTTTGGTCCCACATTGTGTAACTGAGACAGAGGCAAAAGTTACCTCTTTCTTGATTCAAGGACATATGCAGAGCTCAAAATTACCCACCTTTCAAATGCTATCAGTGATTTAAACTGTACTTTAACATTTCATGTAAAATATTGGTTTGAAATACTCTTTATGAGTCAAATTTTTGTAAGACAAAATTTAATACATATAAGAGAAGGAAAGTAAAAACTCCCAGATATTTAGAAAACTTCGGAAATTAAAATGTCTGCCATGGTGTTTTAAATCTTTAACCCCTAAGAGTGATTGGCTTCTAATTTCTCCTTACACTCTCACTGCTGACTCAAACAGTAAGGTCATGACAATAAAGGAAATGATCAATAACTCAAGAAACTCTTGATCAATGAATAATTCTCCCAGTTAGTACCATAGGAAATGTATAGAGAACAGTATAGAGAATTTATATACTGATAGAGGAGTGTAAAGAGTTAATAAGGATACCTTATTCTCAAAAAGCATAACAGTTCCAAAGGTCCCAGTACCAAGACACCTTTCTTCCACCCACCCCTCCCGTGACGATTTCCTCTGTCTTGCATGTTCCATCTCCTGTTGAAAGACAGAAAATTTCATTTCCTTACCCTTAAGTACTTGTATATTAATTAATCTCTTACAGAGTTGATTTGTTAAGAAGTAATAATTTAATTTATGAAGATCCTGTTTTTAAAGCAAATTAAAAGCAATATTAAAGGAAGGAATCATTAGTAGAGAGCTGCAAAAAAGTTTGGGTGAATGCAGGTAAAAATCATGGCAGGATATGAAGTGGAAATTTTTAGTGATTGCTGGATTATATAGTCTTTAAGCTGAAATCAAGATCTGCTGTTGTTTATGTATATAAACCGTGAGGTTATTTTAAGTAAAAAGAAAAGATATTTAAGTAAGACCCCATGGTATTAACAAAAGCATCCATGACATCATAGCTAGCTTGTATATACTGTGTTCATTCCTTGTAAATCAGTTGAGAAAGATTTGTTTTAAACCAAGATGACACCCTTGTCTTCTGTTGACTAGCCATCATCGGCAGAGTAATGGATCAATTCCTTTCAAGCTATAAGGAGGAGTTAGGTTGAGGACTTTAGGAAGTTTAAGGGTAATGAATGTGATCTTTTTGTAATCTAGCGTACTGCACCAGAGTTTAACATTGTTTTACACCAAAATATCATGGAAATCATTCTACATATCAGAAACATTAACATCATCAAGTCAATATAATAAGATACCTTGAAAAGAATCTAAGTTTTGTTTGGTATGATGTTTTATGTTATGTTGCAAGTAAATGACTGGACCAAGCTTTAGAGAAACTGTCCTTGTAAATATGCTTGAATCATCACAAATTATAAATTATAACTTACAGCAATATGATGACTATTCAATCCTGAAATTAAGGATTCAACGTTAACATCGAGTATATTCCGGATGCTCTCAATTCCAAATTTATGTTGGAATAATTGAATGAATGCCGTGAATAACTACAAGCATTACACATTCCAGAACAGAACATCTAGTACTACAAAAGTAACTGTTAGTAAGGTCATCGATGAGCTGAAAACCTTCGAATTGTGTACCCTGAATGTAGCTGCCTGCATTCAGAGGCCTAATAGGTTTCTCAGTGCCAGGCCTAGATCTGCTGTCATTTCATGAATAAAGCTAATTATGACATTATCCTTGCGATCGATCGAATTCAATTCCGGTAACCGGTAGATAAGAATTTCACACGGGGGTATTGAACAGGATACAAGAAAATTCCCCAGCTATTGTATTCAGTACCGACTAAAAACCTCAAAGTTCAAATTTACTCAAGAGGTTCGATTCACTGTAATCTAACTGGACACAAACTTGTGGCTCAAATAGAATGTCACGACTGAAACAGCTTAATATGCCATCCTTTCTACTATACTAAATGTACAACAAACAGGAAGTTCAAGGAAACCGTTTGCGAGTGATGTTGTAAAAGTTTGCAAAGAGAAGCAAGGTTTGAAAAAAAAAGTTGTTAGACTACTCAATGATCCGTAGATGTTTTCATAGCAAAGAACATGAATTCAAACGTTTCCAATGCATAAACTTCTGTTAAAAACTACTGCAGGTAAGCATACGCAGCGAACTTAAAACGGCCTTCAATATTTCTATCTAAATTACCTCATGAACCGCTGAACGTAGCTCAACTCTTCAATGCTAAGCTAAACTTCACTCAGTGCAAAGCCCGTGAAATTAGGTGGGCTTCCATCAGTATTAACAGTACAGTTTGTCCAACAACGGAACTTTCTTGCTCTCTTCGACGGCAAAACTCCAAGCGTTAATTAAAGCATTACAATTGTGTCTAATTTAGTTCCAAAAGTATGATTGAAATCATTCAACATAGGTTAAATTTGTCGAAATTATTCCATCGTGAAAAGTAGGGAATTTCCCCGAAATACGGAAGTGCTCGGAGAGAGGAGTGTTATGGGTAAAATATTCACTTCTTCAGGGAGGGGAGCGGGCTTTTGAAAACAGAATATTCAACTGAATTCAGCTAATCAGCAAAAACTTGATGAAAAGTCGTATTTCTTCTCAATTGAAAAGTCATCGATCTCTCGCAATAATGTACCTCGTAAGATTGATGCTTTGCTTTTTTACGGACGTCGTTTGAATTTTAGTTAGGGTAGGGAGAGAGAGAAAATGAAAATTCTCCAAAATGGAGGCATTATGAGCAAATTGTATATAACGCAAAGACAACTACGATGATCGCTAACAAAATGCTTAGCTTCCTGATTCAGTGCATATGTCCGAAATAAATTTGTTTACTTCTATGTTTAATTCAAGGAAGTTATTCACTTATAGATCGTATCAACAATTTTGGAAAATCCGAAAATGAAAGCCGCATGTTCCGCTTGGCAAAATGTGTCACTGTACTATTTAAAACCCCAAATGTGAGCGTACTTTGAGATCACCAAAGGGCATCGAAAAACCTGGATACAAATTTTTCCTGTTTTTCCTTCTTGACACTAGTCATCGGCTAGAATTTTCTGGTATTTTTCTTTTTTCTTCACCTTTATCAATCTCATCATTAGCACAATATACGCTTTGTCCTTCAGGCGGAAAACATTATTGTTATCAGCATCTAAAGGATGTTTCTTTGATGATGAACTTCTTCGTCAAACTACAATTGAAAGACTATATGGAATTAATTTGGGGAATAGAGCGAAACCTTTTTTTTTGCGATAATTGACACTTGGCAGCGAGGGAAGTGACAAGTTTCTTGGAATCATTATCATAAGAAAAGCAGAGCTGGAATACTGAACGGTGTTAATTGAGGACAGCACAGGTTTCTAGTTTCTCATAAGTTCGATACAGCTTCGATTCATTTGCTCGTTTTAACATCATAAGGAAGACAGAGAGGGTTTTTTAGCGCTGGTTACCACGGCCAGCGAGTGTGCATCACTGAGGATCCGGTTTAACAGACTCTGACAAGGAAGAAAACAACAAAACAAAACAGAACAATACAAAAGCAAAGCAAAAAGAATTATCTATCAATAGGGGCAATTGTTGCCAAGTGAACACCAGGTTATCATGTGTTCCGAGTCCTTTAATGCAGGAAGTTCATGTAGCTGTTACACTTCCTACTGAAAGGTTCCTTCTTTAGTCTGTTTATACTGTTGTTAAAGCTAAACAGGGTTAGACACGAGGCTGAAATGCGTTAAGAGAACACACAGTCTGTGTCTACGATGTATTTTCTAGAAATTAGACGGGCAAAGTGTGAAAGTACTCAAAATTGAAACTCTTCTTTTGAGAGTTACTGTGGAAGGAACACTATAAAAATGTTCTCATCTGGTTGATATTCATCTCAACGGTTGTAGTGTCCAAGAAAACAAATGGCAGATCGGTGCGCCGGCAAACCTGAGCTGAGCGTTTTCCAATTTTTCACTAAACTGCTGGTTTGTTAGCTCTCAAAGGTTGGTAACCGTTCTTTGTTACGTCTTTATTTCATTGTAATTCAAGATTTTATGCAATGATAAAGAAAACTCAACTTAGGAGACCATTCGGCAACGTGTTTCTTACCGACTAGAAGTTTTTTAATCACAATTTTCCTTTGTTTCACTTGATATCAATTATTTACTCAGTCTCCAGCGTTTTTCAAGGGATTAACTTTTTTTGGTTCGGCTGTCTACTATATAAACAAATTGTAATTAAAATGTTTATTGTGCTACAAACTCAATTGGGTGCCCTTTTCTTCAAAAGCCACCCATTCGATATCGAAATCCAACTAAAAGTAGTCAAAGATTTCAATAGAAGCTTCTAGTAAACTGAAGTTATTTGGTTTTCTTCGAAACGGTTTCCTCTGCGGAAGTAGAGTCGCAAAGTTTGTTCTTCAGGAATCGTTCAGAACCTCTTCAAAAACTGACATATTATTATTTTTCTCTATTTTTGCAAGGTAAGAACAATTTTCCATCGAATAGGCATCCAGAAAGGCTTGATCCTCACTGTAAGTCACCACTAATAATCACTCTTAAACAAAGGCCTTGGCAATAAAAGCGAGTTTTAAAACTTAGATACCCAGGAGAAAGACTTCCCCTTTCACGGAAGAAATCTCTAGGGCTTTATGGGCTGCATCATGTGAACATATACTTGAAACAAATGAATAAATATTCCTATGAAAAGTTATGGCCATTTGGGTTAACAGTTGTTAGACATTTTGCTATTTCCGCCATATCAAAAAACTAACTCTTCCTGATGAAATGTTTTGATAAATACAGTTTACCTGCTCTTTCATTATCAGCACACTTTGTCTGCTACCTCGAGTCTCTTGCATAGTTAATGGCCATGAGCGTCTGGTAAGCAGGAAGATGCTTTTTTCGAAACTTAGGCACTGTTTCTGTCCAGAGTCCATTGCACAGCGAACAAAAGTAGTCTCTTTTTCACGAAGTAGCAATTTGATACATCGACTTAGAATGGTTATCCCTCGATCGCATAGGTGGGCATTGAAATTCGGTATCTAGAGGCGTAACTCCAAAGAATCGAGGAACCCAATGCAGTGTTTCGACTGTAAAAGACAGCAAAACATCGAAACGGAACATACGGAAACTAAGCGACAAAATGCGAATTTTTTTCTCCCGGTTTATGTAAAATGCCAGGATACCCTTAAAAACTTTGGGGCAGTCCTAGAATTAGGTTTTTCTGCGTTCATCGACCAACCTCGAGAAATAAAAGATTAAGCACCTACTCGTTTTCCAACCGCTCATCATTCGCAAATCAAATTGTGATCACTCTCATTCTATTCAGACTCTCTCTAGTAGGTTATCCAATGAAAAGCCGACGAGTGTAAAAAGAACTCGAAAGTGCAAGCGATAGTTGCACCTGCTTTTTTGCTGGTGCTTAGGCGCTGTTTCTGATATAAGCGCCTTAGTTATTACCTCAATTATGAGTGAAATCGATATGCGTTTATTATGTTCGATAGATATGATTTTATTACAATTGTAGGGATTCTGGCTAACAGCTTTCATATGCGACGTAAGAAATCGCATTGTTTCGGAAGATGCTCGGAGCGGGACCCGTCGAGTGAAACATCCTGGGACTCAAATGGTAACCAAGAAGTCATTTTGAACGAAACCGAGACTGGTTTAGTATTCAAATGAACAGAGAGTGGTCTCTTAAGAAACTCTGGTGCTGCGTCGGTGGAGGGTATTGACGATAATTTGGTTTTATCAACTAAAATGGGAATTTAAATGGCACCGTAAAGAGTTTCTATATCAGACGTTTCAAGCGTTAGCCCTTCGTCAGAGCAGAGAGCTTATGTACCATTTTGGCGCAAAGTGAGTGGGTTTCTTCCGTGTCAGTAATATCAAGTCGATTTTCGTTTGACAAAAAATAACTTTTTAATTTCTTTTAAAACTCTTTACAAAATTCAACATATCATAAAGTCGTTTCTATTAACAAATAATCGAAATAATATACACAAGAAAAAATCTCGAAAGTTTACATCGTATTAGTTACTTGGCGCTTTGTCAACAAAGCCTCTATAAGCTTCAACTGATGCTTTATGTGCTGTAAGGGAAAAAGATTTCAAAATTATATCACAGTGGTTACTTTCACTCCGTAAACCTACGGGTGAAGAAATAATCGCGAAAACTTTTGAAAACGAAAATAGAACCTTTACTCCTTACGTCAGGCCTAGGTTACGTTACTTGAAACAAAGACACCCCACTGTCATGCACATGACGACATAAGACATTCTTCACTCACAGAGGAAATAAGGCATAACGACAATTCAGTTGTTGAAAACGTACCCAACGGGATATCACCATCATATGACAGAAAATTCTACCTTGGGAAATGTCGTAAAGGAAAAAAAAACTCTTTTTCTTTAAGTGGTTTTATGGTCACGTGTTAGCAATTCTGATGATCAGGTGTTCGAAATGCTTAGCAAATCAATCGAGGTTCGTTCTAAATCGAATAAAGTCGCACGTGAATTTCTTGTCTCATTTTTCAAGTAAGAACGCGGTGGTGTTTTTTGGAACAAAGTGAAGACAGAACTGTGCAGATCTTACCTTATACTCGTGGTAATCATTCTGCATTTCACCTCTGTCGTCTCTCTGCACTCGCCTAAAAGGCAAAGTTAAAAATAAGTATCAAAACATTAAAAACAAATTAGAATCCTTGAAGTTACACTTTGCTATTATGTGTTGACAACCAACTAGATTTTTCAAAAAGCGCAAACCGAGACGAGGCTTTACAAAATACTCTTTTTGCCGATAAAACGTCACACTGATGAAGAAGGCATTTTGTGCATCAACAATTGTGGCTCAGAAAACATTCGTGTCGGGTATTCTTGCGGTGTTTGTCTAAGGTGACTATTCACTTCTTCAATTTTTTTGTCCTCAACTGAATCTTTGCGCCTTCAACATACTGAAATAAATTCGTATGTGATTTTTTAACGAGAAAACGAAAGTCTACGTTGACTAATTAATGTTAAAGAAACTTTTTTTGGAAGAAAGTCAGCTAGTATGTCTATTACCGTCCAGTTTCCTCGAAGAACTCATCCTCAAATGTCTTGAGTTTCTTTCTCATTTTCTTTTTCTCTTTTTTTTTCAGTTCTAGCTGCTCACTTAACTCATCTCTGAAAGGTGAAACAATAAAAATCCAGTAATAAGTTATCAATAGGAATTCCAAAACAATAGGAGCGGTCTGGAAAACACACAGAACAGACGGCATCCAAAAACTGCTTGACGAATCAGCTAATGGGCCATGAGACTTGATACATTCATCCAGTATTTCATTCTGATATAAAAACAAATTCTCACAAGTGATCTACAGGGAAATGTGAAACAGCTAGAGGCGAGAATCACAAATAAGATTTTGGGAGTTAGAAGATTGCTGTATGACCAATGTGGACACTTGTGCTTCTGAGAATAATCAAGCTTACCGGCTCATTTCGTGGAATTTAGCATCCTCCCTGAGCTCGTCCCTCAACTGAGCGGAGTCACGGAGTGTCAGTGTGTCCTGGATTGTGTCACCAAAAGAGTCATCATCACCATCTAATGTGTCTGTGTAGGGCATGTTACCTGTACTACGCCTCCGGGGTGACTCCTGTAAACAAAGCGCGGTCTTACGTAAATTACTGTTCCACATCTTCAGCTGAAAGCGCAACTGAAAATGGTAAATTGATAACTGCGCAATATAAATTAATAATTAACAATTGTTCACCGAAGTGGTGGTAAACAGTGGAAAATGTCCACCACTCTGAACGACACTGAGGTGAATAACTGTTTTAGTATATACCAAACAGATACAAAAAATTGGTTTAATTCTTTCAATATACCGAAAAATGGTCGAATTGAACTCTTGAAGCGCCATTTTGTCTCATCGGCTGCTCGAAGGTGAATAGCACTTGCTTTTCATTCACCTTTGTGGTATATACCAAATATTATTATTGTCATTAAGGTAAATATTAACAGTGAAAGGCGCCTTCACATTGATTCCGGTTTTTACAGATAGTCTGTGCCCAAACCAAGTGAGCCATTCAGCCTGAGCTTATCCCGGTTTCCGTAGGATGACGTTACCCCAGCATTTTATCAGGCCGGGCGTCCCTGACAATTGGCTGGTGTCGATGCACACTCCTGGGAGGGGAGGGAGGGGAGAGAGGGGAGAAGCACAGTGAAAGCGAAGTGTTTTGCTTAAGAACACATCACATCACCCAGCCAGGTCTTCAACCTAGACCTCTCGATTCAGAGCCCACCGCACTAACTCCCAAGATAGAATAAGACTAATCAAGAGCCGAAAGAAATCAAATAAAACAATAAGCAGATTTAATGCTGCATAAGCTGTGGTATATTTTACCTATGACATAATATTACTTTGCTCTCCGTCATACTTATTGTTTTATGTTAGAAAAACCATAATTTAACCTTACCATAACATTCACATAGTTTCATAGTTTTTTACTCAAGTTCCGTTATTTCTTGATAAAAATGCCGTTTTTAGCAGAGCGAATTTGATAAGCAAATTCAGTGTTGACATGGTGTGCAGCTTGTACGGACCTTGCTCTTAAAAACCACGTAATACTAGACTGAAACAAGGAGTGACTGTATGACCCGGCAAAAGAGAGAAAGAAAAGAGGTTTATTTGTTGAAGCAAAAAGCAGTCCACCTTCTGCGTCAGTCACTTTTTCAGCAACTAAATTCTCATCTTAAAAAAGAAAAAAATTGCGTATCCAAGAAAAGACCGGCACAGAGGGGTGCTGACAAAATATCTCTTCTCTTCTTCCTTTGAAAAAAAAATGGCACCAAGAAAAATCTGGGTCCATCACGTGGAATCAAACTTTAAACCTTCCATTGCGCGACCTGTTGCCCTACCAATTCAACTACAAAGAGTCCATTGGTGAACAAATCCATATACATGTGACAAGGGTCTTGCAAACTGCTAGGATCAGTCACGTTAAAAACGCGTGTCTAAACACAGCAAGTGAGATGGTTAATTTTGAATTAAAAAAGTTGAAGAATTCCAGCCTACCTTGCTACCAGTGATGGGCAGAGACTGAGTAAGGTTTCTAGCAGAAGAGCCTCCACTGGGTGAGTGCAATAGAGCATCTTCATGAATTGGAGCCAGATCAGATACCATTCTATCGATTGAACTAGTGCGCGGCCGGTTACCTTGGACTTTCACGGGCGGTTCCGTGGCGGGTGTGGAAAGTTTCCGCTTGATTGTGCGGTATCTAGGAAAAATTCAGGTCAACGTCTCAACAAAGTACAAAATAAAAAAAAAGAGTCTCAACCACCACACCTAACCTTTTGCTCATATCTCTCGTCAAAACTTTAGCACTAACCTGTCATACAAAGGCCTCATCACATCCTTGTCATTTTTACTATTAGGCCGACCGAACACGCTTTCATGTTGAAGTAGCGCCTTTTGTACTGCCAGCTTCTCATCTTGAAGCTGGTCTCGACTCATTTGTTCTACCTCCTCCGGTCTGCCGGTATCCTTCCTCTTCTCTTGTAATTTTTTCAGCAAACTTTCCAGGGAGTGTTCGATACTTGCGGGCGTGGTGGTAAGTAAAGGTTCGCTATTACTGCTTTTCAATCCTTGTCCGCTCATCTGAGGCACAGTTTCGTTTAAGCGTTCTGCTTCTCCTTTAGCGCGTTCTTTCAGCTCTTTCAGCTGTTTTCTTGCACGGCCAAGTTCTGCCACGTACTTCTTTATGGGCGCTTTTTCGCTTTGTGAAGGTCTTCGCCCGTTTTCGTCCTCGAATGCGTCTTCGAAGTCGCGTATTTTCTTCTTGAGCTGACCGATTGTTTTAGTGAGTTGTTTGACGGTTAATTCACCCTTTGGAGATGTATCCACTCTAAAAAGATATGAAGGAAAGAGAAAGTAGGAAAATAAACACTTAGTGGTCCTATGCAAAGTGTTGGCCAGGTTCTGTAGCCTGGATAGGAAATCTTCAAAAGCTTTCTCTTGCAGTAATTTAAATCTCAAACAACTTAATAGTTTAAAACTCAAAAATATCAAGGGAAAGTCTTAAAAGCCAAGTGTTAGACATTGCTGAAGCTAATCTCGATGTGATAGCCAAAAATACTAGTTACATGTCCAAAAATCACGCGCTCTTTACGTTGCTTTCAAGATACAAAACGAAACGAAGTGAAGAATCGAAGCAGGTGCTATAAATAACTACAACTAATAAGTCATAACAACTATACGTAAAGAAATAGACAAACGGGAAAACTGTAAAAAAGAACAGCATGACACTTAAAATCGTTACACGAAATTCGGGACAAATGGCAAATTGAAGACAAAAAAGATTATTCAAACAGTCAAACGATAGATCCGAATGAAAAAAATCCACGGTGAAGAACTTATACACGTGATGTCAACAAAAGAAAATTACGCAGAAAAAAGAAACAGAATATTGATAAAACATTGATAAAATATGACAAAAAGAACAATACGAATTCATAATACGTTACGCCAATCGAATTTTTTGCGGCTAAACCCAATGTCTGGAGCATTATGGGACGAATAGTATTGTTAAAAATCGTGCCAGTCCACCGCAGCTCACCCTCACATTTCCTTAAGTTTTCTCTAACAATAATTACGCTGGTCCCATGTGTACTCCCGGGGGAGATTCACTTCAATAGTAGAATACCAGCTTGAAACCCAGCGCCTACACATCAGTCTCTATCACATTTCCCAACATTACTGGAGCTTACGCAACCATTAGTCTCCTTCCAGCAACTATAAAACAGTAAATGGCGCAAACAAAAGATCGGTAAAGAGCGCCGGAGGAAACAATTCTCAATTTCCGGCAGCTATTTCATCTCAAATCCCCCGTAGTTTAGCCCCCTTTCAACAACACTTTTCACATGGCACAAGTCCGTTACCTTCGTTCAAACCAGGAATGCTCTATCTGCTCATGGGGCGGTGATGGAGGACACTCGTGAGGAATGGTGCGGGTATCAATGGTAAGGGGCCTAGATCTAGGGGACAATAATGCTTCATCTGTGCCGAGCCCATCGTATCTTTCCCTGGGAGACAGCTGTATGCCGTCATCATGCTGCTGAAGCTTGTAGAGCTCTAATGGAGGGACAATGGGTGCTCCGTGATGCTTTTTCTTGTACTGCTTGGTAAGAAGTTCCTTCCTGGGTCTGAACGATGACGAATCTACTTCATCCACTTCGCCCTGCTAGAAGAAAAATACAATATAGCTCCAACAGAGTAACCAGGAACGAAGTAGACAAAAAATTTTGCTCAGTTTCTTTTCAAGCCTCACCGGGCCGAAAGCTTAAAGGCTATGGGTTGGCCAGTAGTGGTCATTCCGCCTGAATGGAGCCTTTAATTGTTCAAACACTCCACTTAATTGAATTAAAATAATGAAAAACAGCTAAGGAACCAAGCTCTAATAAATTATCCAGCCTGTAAATCATAATAACGCAGATAGCGTAATATCACAAATGGTGCAATCTGATTGGCTGAGCTACTCACTATCAATTCCGTAACAGTTAGCGATTAGGGTGAGTAGCCCAATTGCATGCGGCGTGACTTGTTTGTCTCATTATTCAATAAAAACAATAGCCTGTCGTGATGTTAAGTTTGTAACGACTAACAGATTTCTACCAAACAATAGTATAGTGCGCTCTTGATTTCTATGCGCTACCACCGAAAGTTTCATTTTATTTTCATTAAGTAGAAGAGTACCATCATCACTCACCTCTTGCCTGGATGAAGCTGAGTGCAGCTGAATCCTTGATGATCTGGAGGTTCTAGGTGATATAGGTGGTGTTGTCGACACTACATTTTTATTCTTTGCTTCATCAACTAAAGGATGTACCTTTGACTTGTTTTGTCTCTGTTGATCATCCTATGGGAAAACCATTGGAAGTTTACCAGGCAACACAATCATAACAACGCGAGGTCCTTATTGTCCATCTTGAAAAAAAACTTTGTTATTCGAAATCCATCTCAATTTTTTTCCGTGCCAAATCATTTCCGTTCCCTTTCGCTCCATAATAACTTCTTTTTTGTTTTACTATCTCATCGAAATAGTATTTTGAATTCAATTTCAATGCACGCTAATTGTCTCACGCTTGATCATTGATCATCCTTGTTCCCTTTTCACCTAATCTGGACTGTTTGGCTCTTAAAATTTAATTTATAACTCGCGTCAATCGTTTAAGCAATAACCGCCCTTTCTATCCGTTTACTGGCGTAAAAATCTACGAGGGATGGAGAGAGAACGTAAGAAAAGTTTACAAAACACGAGCCGGAGGTGAGTTATTTACCAGCATTTTCAGTGTTCCCTCAACATCCCAAGTGAGTTTTTTACGCCGATAAACCAACAGAACGTGTGACAGTGTTCTCTAATTGCTTTTATAACAAAGCTATTATGCCGGTGTAACCAATCAGGGCGTTTGCGATACTTAAAATATGGCAATCGAATTTTGCGCGTTCAAAGTTTTCGTACTCAACCTTACTGTGGCACAACTAGTGAAGGATACTTAAAAAATTAGACATAAGGTAATGGATTTACAGGTAAATGTTAGCTCCACAGCATCAAGAAGTACAAAAGTTCACTTACAAACGTACAGGTCTTGTAAAGGGCAAGAAGCGGACTAACTTAATGGTAGGTTTGATAGCCTATGGAGTGCACACTTTCAAAATTACTTCATAAGTACTAGGGATAAATATTGGCATTCACCAATCATACCTTGTCCGAGTATTCATCATCTTCGTTTGAGAAAATCTCACTAGTTTCGTGTCGTTTCTTCAGGCTTGGCCTTCGTCTATTTTTAGGAGGAGCTGCCCTATTACGCGTCAAAGATTCCAAAATCTCAGAGGTCCTGCTCACGCTGAACAGAGGATCACTTTTACCTGTTCCTAATATTTCTTGATAAATATCCTCGTCATTCTGCAGCAAACAAGCAGATAAAAGAACTTGTAACAAAGGGTTTTGAGTACGTTTTACAAGCCTGGCAGAAAGCGGTACCTGAGGCCGGAATTCGACAAATATTGTGTTCCTTTTTGTGTCTTGCACACAAACGCCACTGGCCACTGGGTTCAGTTGCGTTTGCGAGCAAGTCACAATGTTTCTCCCATTCAACACTCTTTGTTTCCCTTTCTAGAGGCATGACTGGGCGAAAGCTAATTGGTAAACGTGACGAGGAACAAGTTGTGGTGATGTTGTATTCTGGGTGTAGTAACTTATGATAAACTAACTGCCTATTTAAAAAGAGTACCACAACTGAGATATAGATAAGTTTAGCCGTGTTTACGCGATGAAATCAAGGAAAACTCATCCGCCATATCCCCAAGCGAAAATTTGCCTTGATCAGCGTCCTTTCCATATTAACCACTCAAGCATAATTTGTCTTGGAAAGCTTTACCTCAACAATGGGGTTCAAAATTCGTTTGTCCGCCTTAGGACTAAGGAACCTTCTAACGAGCAATTTCCTGTCTTTATCACCAAAAACCACCTTGTCAAAGTTAATTTTGTTCAGAAAAATTTGCCATTGCAGCATTAGTTGTTGATAAATGGGTACAGTCTTCTTTGCAGCCGTTGTTTGGTATAGTGACGCAACGTTGGCAGGATAGAGAATGTGTTGCGTCACGTGACCAAAAAAACAGCTGCAGAGGGATAGAACTGAAGATTCAAATTTTCTAACAGGCCAGCAACCTTAACTGAGGTTTATAACTAAAATTGGAAACCTCTTGTGCAAAAGCGCTTATGATGCTGGGTAACAGAATCTCCACTCACTTTTTGACCATCGTTTTTCCGAGGAAATGTAGAGCTGAATATGTAATTGCTGTTCTCGTCCTTTGAAATAAGAGGAAATAGAACGCTTAAAAACCACAAGCAAAGTTGTCGCTCTCAAAGAGTGGGCGCAGCGAAAGGGTGTACCACCCAATTCTGATACTGAATAATGTCAGCCATGCAGCTTTGAGTGCTTGTCCGTTTGTCTTAGAAATTCAGTAAGTGTAATGAAGTGTTCCAATTGTTTGTCAATCCCCAATGACAGATTTTGAAACTTTGGAACAAACTCAACGTTCCACTGAGCTTGAATTTGTTTTTTGGTTCGTTTGGAGGTTGTGAAAACCACAATAAAGTTTCTTTTCCTCTACTTCAGATAATTCAGATTATTCTCTTAATCATGGTTTATCAATGGGTCTGGACAGCATCCGACCAGTTCCTTCAACTTTGTTTCATCATCTTATCGCAAATCTCTCCATGACTTGCTTGACATGTTCCTAACAAAAACAACGAGATAAAAAAGCCACTTACCACACCAATAACTATTTCCTTCTTTTCGAACAATTCAAATCCTTCAGATTTGGGTCTCTTCTTCACAGGTTTCACCACACTTCCCTTCTTAACCTGGTCTTCTTCATCTTTAGTGAGCAAGTCCACAGCTTCCTTTGTAACCTTCTTTAGCGGGTTACTGTTTTCAACAATGCCGCTTGAATCTGCAAACGAAGAAAAAAGTAAACTATTTGAGTTTACACATTTTTGAGAAAAGACAGTGGTGACATAAATAATACCACTACTACTGCTAGATACTTCGAGCGCTGTAGTTAGCCAATTTCGCGGGCGCAGTAACAATAACAACGACAGCAACAGCAAAACCAACACAACTAACGGCAGATAAACATGTCACAGGAAGTACAATGGCTTTACCTTAGAGCCAACAGTTGTTACTGCCATGTTACATTATGCAAAGTATAAGGCTACCTAAGCAGAGTAATTCATATGCTCTCACTTATCCTCAGTGAGTCTCAACCACTTGTTCACATCATTTACAGCTAAATTCACCCACCTGATGTCTCTAGCTGACTCTTGACATTTCTTCTCCTTCTCCTCCTTGGTTTGCTAGCTTCCTCATCCGTGTAATTACGATTTGGTAGTGGTGGACCTGTTACTAAGATAAGCACACAGCAGAAACCTTCAGAAGCATTTGGGATAAAGTTTGGTTCTAAAGATTAATACATTCTTAATTTTCAAAACAAAAGGTTTCCCTAGTGAGTGTGGTGTGAGAGCCCAAACTGCGGTCATTCTGTTGTGTTCTTAGAGAAAATACTCCACCCCAGCAGTAACCACTCCACCCAACAGTTTAAAAGGAAACCGACAAACTGCTCGAGAGAATCGTGAGGACACTTGAGCTTTAACTGGTCTATCTACTGTAATGGAAAAAACATCCCTCCTAAGGGGAAGGGGAATGGGGGTAACAAAACGCCTAATGGCCTTATCCTATGGAAACCAAGACTAGCTTTAGCTCCAAATATTTAATTCTATCACCCTTTACACCTAAGCATCAGTACGCATATTCTCCAAACTGTTCTCCATACATTTCCTTGGGTGCCAAAAAGGGGAATTTGTTTTAAAATCACGAGTTTCTTTCGTTGGTGATCATTTGCTTTATTCTCGTGATCTTAATGTTAGATTCAGGGGTGATATTGTGAGGAGAAATTAGATACTGGTCATTATAGGAGGTCAAGGGGTTAAAACCTGTAGGAGTGATGAACAAGTAACTTTTCTTCATTATATCACAACATTATCCACCAAGTAGGTGACAAACATAGACTAACACATCAACTGGAGGGTTTTATCCCAAAATAACACCACACTCTTCAAACATAGTTAAAAGGAAATCTACAGCACATGGAAGAGAAGATTACATTTCAGAAGTGGTATGAAGAAGTGTTCCTTGTGATTGTACACACCATAGGTCATTTCACCCTTTAGCCATGATGATGCACAACAGCTTATCATTTTCATTGTTAACATACCTTCATCTCCTGACTCTGGCGAGTGTGGGCTGTTTTCATCTGTAGACGTCAGGTCAGGCCCAAACAAGTGTTCTTTGATGGTGTCATTGATTGTTTTTTGTACAATTCTAAAATACAAAAATAAACATAATTCCATGCTTCATGTTGTGTCCATGCTTATAAGCTATTTCAGAGTATAGTGTAAAACCATATAGTTAATATATAAAAGCTGACAGGTATTCTGATGAAGTCTCTTGTTCAACTCTGACTTGGCCTGTGATTAGAGATGTACATGTACATCAGAGAGTAGGTCTTGCAATTAAAATGCTCATTAGCAGTTTATCATAAGGACCCGAGCTTTAATTGCTTAGCCCTCAAAAAGTAAATAAAAGGTGTACGTACTTCCCAGTTTGTAACAAAATCCTGTGATACCCTAAATACAATCAACTGTAATCTGTATCTAGTGCTACCAATACTTACTCCTTGCCAGCAGGGGGCTTGGTAGATTCTGGTATGGGGCCTGAATCACTGGAAAGGTAAGGAGTTACAAACATTTTTAGAGGTGCATACCCAACTATTTCTAAGGGCAAAATTCAATTCATCATGCTTTTCTGATGTAGGCAATCTACGGACCAATCTACTGCACCAAGTTTACACAAGCCAGATTATATGAAACCTCTGAATCAGAAACTCTTCCCTTTGATATTTAAAACAAGGAATGAGAATTAAATGAGGAAAATGGGATAAAATCACAAGAAAAAAGATCATTTTGGCAACAGCTTAATTAGTTAACAGTTTACTGATAAACTTATTAGATTTGTTCTGTTTTACTTCCTCACTACAATTTATGTGAATATTGGTACTTGTTTGCATTTTTTTCATATCTGATTTTTTTTCTTCTAATTTTTAATAAAACGAAAGAGGTTTCAGAAGTTAATTGTGACAACTTAAATACTGTATGATTCTTATCAATAATAATAATAACAATAATAATAATAACAATAATAATAATAATGATAATAATATCTATCACTTGTCAAACCACAGTAAGGCAACTGCACAAAGTGATTGTTTTTCAATCATGAATGAACTACTTTCAAATTTCAATAGAGAAAGAAATCAGATACTTTCAAGGACCTTAACCAATTTCAAGACCCTTTTCAACCCTCATGAGTCATGACATTCACTCACTCAGCTATTCTCTGTTTTTTGTTAAATCACTCCTATAAAAGATGCGTCTACAATCATGAAAAGGGCTGTAAAAGGTCTTGAAGTAAAAGCTATTTTCCATGATGCAAAAGAGCAAAATTGTTTGCATTGTTGGCAAACATTTTCTCTGTGGCCATTGATGATGGGAAAAAAAAAAAGAAAAAAAAAGAAAAATAGAGGCAGGGACATGACAATGAAAAATTTACCAACAGTCCACTTTCACATATCATATGTTTGCAAAAAATTATCATGTTCAAAAGAACTCAAAATGATACACAGTAGTGTCTTTATAGAAAAACAACTGAGAAAACATCTAAGAATAAGCATACACTTATGAGAGAGTATTTAACCTGATCCTGGTGTATAGTTGCAAATTATATAAGGGGTGATGCAATTTTCTATTTTCAAACTGCTATGCTAATACAAGCAAGATCATGAATGTCTGAATAAATGCAGCATTGTGTCCCAGTTTCAAGTGAGTCATATGAGTTTAATCTGAAGTGTTGCACCAAAAGACAGTCACAAAGAACATAGGAAAAAAATTAAGGGATTATGCACTTAAATGTAGAAGTAAAACCATAAATCATCATTTTACTTTCCCTCAGAACAAAAGTCTGGAATTAAGCATTTGATCCATACATGCAGACATTCATGGCATACATGACAGATAACTTTACCCTCAGATAGTGTATTTGTTGTCAAATTTACCTTTGTTGAGTATTCCATGATGGTGAAACAGACCTCACATACATATCCAGGTCTTCTGAGTGCGGTGTTATACTAAAAGAAAATCAATTGTAAATTATGAAGGCTGGACAAATGTTCATCCCAAAATTATAAAATTCACCAAAGGCACACAAATAAATCAATAATTGCCTACTATAGCACCTGCACTGAGTGTATTTCCATCCTTAATAACATACTGTTTTAATTATTCAGGGCAGGAAAGGATTGTCAAATTGTCAAATAACACAAGTCTATTTCATCTACATCACAGCCATAACGAAAAAAGAAAACATTGAGCTTTCATGAGAACCCTGCTACATAAGTTGAATCTTAGATTTCTAATATTTGACATAACACTTATCGAAATGACACACATCTTCCTTGAGAATTTCAAAGTAATAATTTAATTATGAAACCCTCAGACAATGTGGCTGCTGTAAACTGCCCACAAAATGTGCATATACAGAACATCTGCCCCAGTAAATTGCCATTCTGTATGATTTCTATATCAATCAAGCATAATGCATATTCAAGGCACACAGGAAAATGCTTTCCAGTTTTTTCTGATGTGATATTTTAAAAATTTTTGTGTGAAAAAGACTTCAGATCCTAAAATAATGGCTACTTCATAGCCTGACAACACAACCAAAGATGAGCTTTTCATGGGAAAATTAAAAAATGTAAGTTTGACATGGTCAAGCTCAAAAAGCTTAGCAAAGCAGAAAAGTGGTAGTGCTAAAACAATGTCAACCATTTGCACAATCACCACTATAATTTTTGCCCAGCTACATTGGAAATAACAAGAATCATAACCCTGTATAATGACATAATTGGAAGGAATGGTAGGGAAATGCAAGAGATATATCTACTGATTGAAATTATCTTGGTTAGAGATGTGCCATACCTTGCATCAAACATAATTGTGTCAATCCCTTTGCATCTCAATACATGTCTGTGGCAATGACTTTTGAATAAATTTCACATATAAAAAAAACTGTATAGTGACAGAAATGAAGCTTATCTTGTGAAAAAGTGAAACCTTGCAATCTTCTTTATCTAATACTCCAGGAAAAGCTTAGTCATGTTAATTTACAAGTGAGATCTTAGAGAGTGAAAAACAAAATACTTGTTCCACAGCCATGAACACAACCAATATTTCTCAGATGTTCATTTGCATAGGAAGACATGCAAATCTTTACAGTAATTAATATTGTGACCCTTGCAAGAGATAACATCACACACACATCACTTCCAAGTAAGCGTAGAATGCCATCCATGTTCCAGTTATTAAAACAATAACACACAGTATCAAAGTGCAGTTTGCAATTCAAAATTAAAGGTAAAGCTAAACTAAACTAAAAGAATTTGTCCTGGCCATTATGTCTACCGCTGAATCCATTATAGCACCACTGGGTTGTTTTAAAAACAAACAATTTTCCCTAATAAATTGCATGAAATGCCAAGATAAATATTTAAGAGAAACATCCAAAACATTATTATCTTATCCAAAACACTTTAAGAATGTTTTAGCTGCCAACTATACCTTATCATTGTTTCACTCAAATTTTTCAAGAACTAACATGCATCTGCACACTTAAGGAACACAACTAGTCAATTGTCATGACTCTGAAATTATTTTGGGTATTTCAGCAATTTTGCTGACAATGCAGTTTACATTTCCTTACATCATTTCCATTACAAGGAGTACAACCTGTGGCATTTTTTCAGTTCCCTAAAAGTGGCCAGAATGCATATGGTGTTTCACTAAAACTAGTGCACGCATTATGTCACAAGCTGCTCTTATGATGTGAACAGCATCTGTACCCATTTAAAACAAGATAAGGCAAGATAAGACAAGTTGGAGGAGATAAATTCGCATTGTTAGCTGAACTAAAGGAAAAATTGGATTCAGGGGAAAGTTAACCTCATGAACCATTGTCACAAGAGGTATATGTAGAGGAGTGCTGTATTCATAACAAAGGCTGAGGTTATGCCAAAATTAACAGTTACCATAAATGGTCAATGTTTTTGTGGATAATCAGATGTAAAATTTAACACAAAACTGTCAATGAATATTGTTTTGACCAAGGAAGAAGGCACACAGCTCACAGGCCACTGTCTGGCAGAATGAGTAGCTAAATGTAATTTCTCCATAGCTAACCTTGAAACCTAATAGGTCAAAAGCTCATGTAAACCACACCCTACAAACTTTTCTACATCTTTATTCCAATCCTCCTTCCTATAGACAACACTTGGTTATTTGCACTTTGTAGTAAATGACTGGCTAACCCTTTCAATCACAAGAGAGGCCAATATCAATACATCATCAGGCATAAAAGTGACCAAAAGAAAGAAAAATATCAACTAAGGGGACATGGTTTGATTCAATGTGAAATTTTCAAAACTAAAATACCAACAAACGTCACTGCTACAGCAAGTAGTGGCTGTTTCCTGAATTAACCTAGTATCCTTAAGACATCAAACCCTCCATTTTACTAGTGATATGCAACATAATTTGATTTTTGGAGCCAAAGTCTTATCAAAAAATTTGAAAAAAATATTAAGTGATTAACTACCAGATACCAAACTTATTATCTATGGTAATTGCTTCATTCCAATAAAAGCTGGGATGAAGGGAAAATTCTCAAAAAGAGTATGGCAAGAGTATGAGTAAAAGAAGGAGAAATCCTTGAGTAGTTACTTACTGAGTGGAGGACTGTGGAGCCTTTTTTGGCTTCTTTACTGTGGCATAAGTGGGGCCATCTTCTCCAGCCTTCTCTTTCTCTCCCACGAGATGAAATGAGTCCTCATCACTAGCTGAGCTTTCATTCTTTTCATTAACAATCTGTAGAAGACAGCATAGTACATTCCCATTATCAAAAAAATTTGATAACCAGACACCTTTGTCCACCCAGGGGGTACATACACACACTGTATGGTCCCCTGCAACTTGTCATGGAAACCTTAGCCAATACTGCAATGGACTATACTGGCAACACACCTTTTGTAGTGATTTGTTGGGTACCCGTAGTGTTGGATGGTCATTTGTCCTAAAAATAAGACAAGAGATGTTAGCTAACATGGCTATTTAGTTAAGGCAAGACATCACTACATGCCGATTTACTGTAATATCTATCCATGTCTACAATCACATGACTGTAGAGTCATAAATCTCTAGAATTCTACACTACAGTTGAGTCAGAACAATTTCAAACTTCTAAAGCTGTGTTTAGAAGCTTCTTCAAATGTTGATCTCTTTATAGTAGGATTATTTGAGGTGTAAATGGGTGAAAAAGAGCACAACAACTCACTTTGTTTCTTGAACTCTGAATATGTCAGTAGTGGCATAGGGAGACACCTATAAGGTGAAAATTTTAGGCCTTTATTATAATGAGAAAGTATAACAAATGAAAGTGAGTGAACAACAATCTAAACTTCTTTTTAATAAATCAAAGAACACCTATGGCCAACTTGTGCATAAAGTACTTAATCTAGAAATGAAACATGGTTGTGCACTAGTAATTACTGCTCTTTGTAGCAATGCAAGGTTGCCGTTATCTTAACAGCCAAGCTTCCAAAATCATGGAGAGATCCACAAATATGGTGCCTACCCAGCTTTGCAGATTAATAAATGCAGATAAATCTTCAAAAACAGCACTAAATAGTATCTTGTGTTTATTAAATTTCTGTTGGCAAAATTTATCAAATTTAGATGCTGCAATCCAAATCTTTGCTTGCACAAGCCAAATTTGACTACTTTCCATTTCTATGTCAGGTTTTGCCTCACAGTTACTCAATAAATATTTGCATTGTAATACAATGAGCTCAGTTCTTATTTTATATCAGATCATAAACAATCAAAGCGATTCACAGTATTAAATTTTGGTTTGTGCTCAAACTTGATAAACTTTCGTTCACTTGGAAAGTGACATTTAAAGCAACCCTGCTTAGTATAAACTGTAATGAGGCCTCTCTGTCATTTTATGCATGGTTACAACTCCAATATGGTTTCCTGCTCAGGCAAGTTTGAGACAACTAATTAAGGCAGTGTCCGCAACTTAGTGAGTGAGTGAGTGACTCATTTGCATATCAAAGTCCCCATAAAAGCTTGTTTGCAAGAGTTAAGAATGGACCAAAGGCATTACCAACCTCAAATAATGTGTCAAATTCTTCAATAAACCTGCCAACTATTGCATTAGTGCGTCCTTGTTCTCGCAGACCTTCTAATCCATCACCACATCTGTAACAATACAATTTGTGATTCATTAACCATGATCATATCTTTTAACCCTTTATACCCTAACACCAGCATGCAAATTCTCCCCTCTGTTCTCTACACATTTCCTAAGGTGCTGATAAGGTGAATTTTTTTCAGCATTCAAGAGCTTCTTTAGTTTGTGACCATTCCCCTTTATTAACCTTAATGATCGATTCAAGGGTGATAATGCAAGGAGAAATTAGATACAAGTCACTCTTAGGGGTCAGTACATTTAACTTAAAACTTAACTGTCAAGTGTTGATAATACCAGCTATAAAATAGTCTCTCAAGATGATTGGATAGCTTACCAATTTGTACAGGCAATCATTAATAACCTTTCTTTAATAAGCAACTATACAACAAAAGCACATTGGCCTGTTACCTGAAAAAGTTTGGTCCAAACACAATGGCTAAAGCTGTTGAACTCATTTTATTGTTTTCTGTGGAAGACAACAAAACACGTGAGTAATTAAACAGTGCAATGATGGACAACAGCTCAAATGGTTAGCTATAGAAAAATTCACCTACTAAATTACCTTCACTCATAGAGACTGTTACAAGAAAAGTGCAAAGGTACTTGAGCAAGTGGTAATTTGATGCTGGAAGCTTCTCTAGCAATGCCTTCATATCAGATAGACCCCCACCATCATCTTTATGGGCTAAAACAAGTACCAAGAAACATATAAAATAAATGAAGAGTACAAGTCATGTATGTCTTGATAATTTAGGAGTCTGGAAATTGTTTAAAGGATATTGTTTGAAAAAAATATTTCTATATAAACTAATGTGCTTTAAAATGATTTCCAACCCTAAGAAAAGCTGTAACTGCAATTACAATAATTTTTAATATCTGTTTTATATCCCCAATCAGCTGCTGACACATCACTTGTCTTTTATGCCACTCTGTCATGTTGATGAATGATGGCAATGCATTAATCATTCTCAATCCAAGGCTTTTTTCATGCAGTACAGGCCTCTGAGTTTTATATAATAAACAAAATTGAGAATTATACACAAGCTTGTGTAGATATGAAATTTCTCTAAGAGTTTTCTACTCAATATCTCACTTGATAGATATCTAGTTGAACATTCACAGAGAAATTCCAATCAGCGTAAACCCATGTATTTTCTCTTCATTATATGTATCACATTAGCTGTGACATGCACATTGTTAGGACATAATTCCCCTCACACCTTGATAAACTTTGATGAAATCTGCTGTCATATCTTGAGGAATAAGTGGCTCAGGTAGTTCTCTCTAATAAATGTAAACAACCATTTAAACATGCATTGGTGTTAAGTAGTATAAGCAAGAAAAGAGATTTCAGTCAAAAAGGAAGAACTTTATGATGTGTGCCTATAAACATGACTGCCACTTTCTGCTTCACAGTAAATCAACCAACAGAAAGTCAGATAATTAATCGACAAATCTATGAATCAATCACAAGTACATGTAGTCAACTACTCCCTTCTTACCAAGAAAAGTTTAAGTAATCCAGCAACAGCCATAACATCTCCAACTTGTTCCAAGTTGGCTTCACCATCTAGATGGAAGTGAACACAAACACAAGAAATTACCCTTTTTCACATCAAGACCAGAGTTGCAAAAATTACTATCTGTCACAAGACAATGTAAAATAAAAATTGACAGATATCAAACAATATAATTATTATGGACAAATTTGATAAAAATAATAAGTCACAGGGAGATTTCCTGTCAAAAAAATTTCCAAATAAAAACAATAAATAGTAACATCAAAAACATGTCTGGCCACATTTCTCTTTTGTCTCATGAAATGGAGGCTTGATAGAATTCATATCTTTTCAAGATTCAAAGGTTATTTTCCATTCTGCAGACACTACTTTAGAAAACCAGACACCTAAAGACAGTTTAATTTATTTTTTCCCAGTATAAAGAGCAATTTTCAATTGAGTACTGAAAATAATCCATGATTACCTTGCCTTTGCCTTACTTTCTCCTGTGATTGTCCAGAAAACTTGCCCCACTTTTTCAACCAATCAGTTTCACAGCTAAACCTATCATAACCTAGCCTCTTGTGTTTATTGCAATTTCTTGTTGGCCCCTAGTGATATTTTTCTTGCTATAATTGGCTATTGTGATTGTTTTAGTTTTGGTTTTAAGACTCAATTGAAATGCGCTCTAACTTAAATGGTAGCACTATAGCGATAAAACAGGATTTAAACATTACCTCTGTCATATGTTGCCTTGAGGGACTCAACCACCTTATGATTACCACTTATTCGAAAAATTCCTTCCTGGTTTAGACCTAAGTGACAGAATCAAGATTACTGAGTACAGATACATGTATGTATGTAGCAAACAGTGATATCATGATTTCCTCCCTCTACCCCCCCTAAAAAACATTAACTACATTACCATGCTCTTTGAGGTATTCTACAATGCTTGTGATGATCGGGGGTATTTCACATCCTTCAGACCGCTTCAGTAACTCATCAATAGAAACTCCGAAGGTCCTGTTGGCACCTGGAAAAACACACACATCAAATAGTAAGAATTACAATGAAAAATAAACTGCCATTATAAATGTACAATTAAGAAAATGACAAAGTAAATTGCCTATGTAAGTACAAATTATTTCTCTGTTCAGACCATTTTGAAATTTTTTATTTGGTACAGTTATGACAAATAGAAAACAGAGAAAATTGTCAATATATATGCCAGTTTATAAATTGTTTTCAACAAAGGAATCCAAGAGTACAACCATAGCAATGTTTTTTTAAAACGAGTTGATAATATAAATTGGCCACTATAAGAGTTTCTAAAGCTGATGTTTCAAACATTACAACTACAAACATAGCCCTTCATAAAAGGCCTGGATATAAATTGATTCTCCAAAGGGGTTTACAAGCCACAAAAATTACAACATCCAAACAGGATAAATACAAGTTATAAATGTTCTGGTATGAGAACATATAAGAGATAACAGAAATTAAAGAGAACGAAAAAAAAGAAAAAAGGAACACAAACAAAAACAATGTTTATGCCCAACCATACAGTACCTAGGGGAAGGAATTTTATGGAGTTAAGGGCTGAGAAAAATTATTTCTACTTCACCTTCATTTGCCTTAAATACAAAGTACCTCTTAGGAGACCTTTAAGAAACTGGGATTCTGGTACGCTTTGTGAAATTTTCACTATGCAAGCATCATCATACATAAAATTATCGTGTGTGCTAGATACAGTCTTTAGAAAGTTGCACTTTTTTGGATATTTGTACAAGTTTTGGGTTTACCCTATAACAATTTTGATGGTGTTTTTGGTTGATTTCATGTATATATTTATTTGATCAGTATTTATCTGTTAGCATTTATTTGCAATGATACTCCTTTATTTTTTCTACCACTTTCCTAATCACAGAGATCATATGATTTGCTTCCCCTCTCAAATATTATAAACATTTGGATTGAATTTATCTCATATTACTTTTTCATTTCATATTTACAGTACTATTTATTAATGTGATTCTGCTGGATAACAATTACTAACACGTAGCCACTGATCAGACAAGGATGATGCTAAATATACTTGCTTCTAGTCAAGAAACAAGATTAAAATCATTCGATAAATATCTTTGGTTGATATTTTTCATTGCGATAAACTGTATTTATAAAATCTGACTTACCACTGCCTGTACTTTTCCTTTTTGGCAAGGGTGAACTGATTTTTTTTTTCATCTTTGCCATTCTTGACTCGGAAGTCTGTGAGACAGAAAGCTGATCGGAGCCCTAAAGAATGAACAATCAAGGATTTGGTAAGAGACTTAAAAAAAAAAAAAGAAGTATGCTAGCAGATATATGTCTCATGACAAGTCACTTCACAATGTTTTACTTGAGAATATCAGTTAAGAGACCTAACACTTGCAAAATAGAATAAATTTTTCCATTTACCATATGAAAAAATTTGTAGATCATTGGAAATTTGTTTTAGCATGTATACATGAATTCTCTTATAGCTCTCCTCATGACAGTCCATCACATGACACGTCAGTGATACTGTTAAAATAACGTGACCGACTCCCATGTAGTATCTTGAGGATCACTGTTTATTAATGATATTAGTATTCTTGTAACTCCTACATATCTGTATATCTGACATATTGTTCATACTTTAAAGCTGTCTTAACAAATAACTGAGAAAACATTCAATAAAACTCTAACTGAAGAGGGGATTTCACAACAACAAAAGCATAGTATTTTTGTTTCATCAGACCAAAAGGTGAAGCTGATGTTTCACAGGGAATATGGATAACCCTGTAATATGAGACTAACATGGTATTTCACATAGACATGTAATTAGGGTTCCAAATTTCTGAGCCTTGAAAAAATCATACAGCATTGAACCATAAGAACCTTTCCTTCCACACTCAAACACTGTTGTTTTGTCCCTATTTAAACAATACAATAATTCAGCCCAATCCCTTTTCCCCTTTAAAGTACACAAAGAAGGAAAATAATTCTTGCCCCCAAAAGTTAGTTTGACCCTTTCCTTAAATTTGCAAACAACTGTATTCTAAACAACACCTGTTCAGCTTTTCAGATGAGAATAGTTTTTCAAAGACTACAGAATAATAAACCTTTGCTAACACTAATGGACGGAATCCTAAAACATTACATATTTATCATTGGCTGATTCCAATATTAATTTCAACATACTGATTAAATCCCAAAAGGAGGACTAAAGAACAAAAATAGTCCTTGCAAAAGAAGGTGTGTATTTAAAAATTACAAAATAATGAACTGTGCGATACGCACTGCATTTTGTGGGAGTGAAGCGATAACGGCTGAAATATTATGACAAAGTGCCTTTCCGTAAATAGCCATGTGTATTACACTGCGGGCATGACAGTTCACCAGCAGAAATAATGGTACACCCGGTAAAGACAAAACAAACGCATCTGGTCTTTAAATTTAAAAGGAAAAATGAAATCGCATATCGCAAGAGTGTAGTATTCAAAACAATAAAATTGAAAGGGCCGAGGGGAGTCTCTATGTCCGGATAAATAGGTTTTATATCAGCCAGAATCTTTAAATCGCTTCAATGTAGTGCGGATTATAGTTACAGCAAGAGCAAAATGCAACGTTAGCATACAGCTAGGGAATGGTGATTCTAACCAGTGTAAGGCCGTAAAGGGCACTTTAAGTTTGCTATTCACGGCCAAGAAACGGGAGAACGCGGAAAAAGTGGGATTATGTATTCGTTAATCTTACCTGCTGGTTTCTCACGGAAACGCTTGACTCGGAGGCGCATATCAACATCGGACGAATTGCCTGAGTAAGACCTGTTTCTACACTACGTTGTCGATTCACCCCTCCTTCCCTCTGACTCATAGATCCGTGCTTCCAAACTTACATTCAGCGTAATAATCCGAAAATAAACAGCGAATAGATCGACCAAACGAGGCTACAACGATAATGCACCTTGAACCATTAAAAGGATTCCTTTCTGGAGCTTGTCAGATTCTCATGTTAGACAGAATCTTATTGAACGTCAATTAAACCAGTTGGACACAAAACCATTGCAAGTTTCTCCTGAACTGTTTGAAACTGGCATGATCCCGCGCGAAACTTGTTTGATGCAGCCACGGACTGATCAAAAGTGTGGCAGACCGAAGCAACTCCAATCGTTGATGCGATTGCTGACGACCTAAACAGAAAATTAGGGAGCTGAAGTCAGTTTCAATCAAATGACAGAGGTTCGCTTCTATGTTTGCAAACAACACAACGCCTTAAACAGACCTTAAGCAAACAAAACCTAACGAGATCCCCTGCGAGAGTGGTCGTACATTTCCCTCTCGTTGATGAAGTCGATGTCTTGTAAACGGTACACAGAATAACAACAAGTAATTAGCCTAACTTGCGACGATCGTGGTCAAAGAATTCATTTTACATACCTTGTCGACGAAGATTTTCATAGAGCAGCAGCGTTGGGAAAGTAAATAATAAATAACAAAGAATATTCTCTCAAAAAGTCACTGGATTGATATTCAGTCCGTTGTTTTCAAACGCTTTGGGCTAAAAAATACTTCTTTTTCGGGACTTTCTTAGCTGAGACCACTTTCCTCAGTATTTGTTTACAACAGAGCAGGTGCTTATGAATCACTTATTTAAAAGTGCCCAGAGAAAACCCGCGATATTCGACATAGATTGTTCCGCCAGTCAATTTTTCAGTTCAGCTATCTAAACTTAGTTTGCTTAAATTTTGCGTGTAAATACAAGCTCACGTCAAAAGAACCAATCAGACAGTAGCATTTTAGTCACATGGACTATCCCATGGATCATCTTGGGGAGAATTTGATGAACAAGTTGTCATCCTGCCCAGATTGATTAAGCAATTTTTCATTTTTTCTTTTTCAGGTTTTCAAAAATGTTCCTGATATTGAATCCATGGTTAACTTACTAACTTCACCTTATTTTTCCTGAATTAACAGGCAATTCCTTAATCTAGTACCCGGTGTCAGTTATGGTGTCACATTGCAAGGGAATCCTTAACATGTTCCTAAAACTTACTTAACTTTTTACGTAAAAAAAATTGTTCAGAGCGGTCCTAAATATCGCCTTTTTGCTCTTCCGAGTATACTACACATCGCTATTGTTACACCACACTTTGTAACCTTGTAACCGCCTTATAATGTAACTGGGGGCTCTCAATCTCTCGTGCGCTTGCGTAAGTTGTAGACGTCACTTCCGGTTCTAATCACCGGCGCCAGAGCGAATCTTTCAAACATTCGTGATATATTCCCTTTGGACTTTAAGACACCAAGAACGTTATTTAGCCTTTGATGGTCTAAATCAGAGTCATGGCTCAAGTTAATAACTCCCGATTGAGGGACTCCCAAGCTGTAAGTGTTTGAATTTTGCTGTCTTCTTCACCTTTTCAGTTGTAAATCTGCTTAGATAAACACTTCGCGTAGTATCTATGGTAGTGGAATTCGCTTCTTTTGCTTGAAGTTTGAAAATAGAAGTTGCTTCGCGACTTTTTTCGCTTTTCTTTTGTGCAAACGTCCTGCTTGATTTCCGCTGAATTAGAAATATGGTATCAGTTGTTTATTGTCAAGTTTTATTTATTGAAGGAAAGGGAAAACTCCGCGTAATAAGCTGAAAATGTAGGTTTCCTCTCGGTGCCTGTTATTTGTTTGGGTTTTCCCGTTCGCCTTGTCGGCCATGTATCGAACTTCTTTGGATTTACAACCAAGTCGTGACAATTATGCGTAACATGAAATGGTATCGAATATTTCGGCAAATTGTTGAATTCGTTTCGCATTTGACTGGCAAATATGCTTGACGTCAATCGAGTACACACTCGTTTTAGCTCCGACCGTCCTCCATTCGAACCTTCCCAATTGCAACCAGGATTCCAATGAAATCAACGCAGGCTAACACTTCTTTCTCATTAGTTGATGTTATCAAAAATCCTAGTAAGAGAGATAAGGTAAGAGAAAGGCGAGTGCACCGTAGATATTTAAATTGATTTTCCTAAAGGTTCGCATAATTTTTTTCAACAACTGTTTCAACCACTTCTTCAAAATTCGCCAATATTTTAGTGGGATTCATCTATTACCCTTTACAAAATGAGCGGCTAAAACCAGCTTTTGCACAGCTGTTACGAAATTCCAGTCATTAGAATATCTTATGACCTTTACTACTCAGTTGTAAGTTTGATTATGAGCTTTCTTTGGAAAAAGTTGCTCTTAAGAGCGCCTTTGAAATAATTACAATAGTTTTACAACAAGCGGCTTTTATGAAGTAGAAAAATCTGTAATCTGGTGAAAGCTTTTGCGTGGATTTCATTAAATATGTGAAATATGCCAATTCTTCTTAGTTGGGTGTCATGGAAAAGTTAATTGTAAACCATAGTGGTTATTTTGGTGTAAAAGCAAAAAACCAAACACCTAATTTCATATTACTAAATTTGTAGGGTTGTTGTCCATGGTCATTTCCATGTTAAAGTTACACAGTAAATTTGAATTTTGTAATGACCCGTCTAAACTTCAATGTTTACTTTTTAAAATCTGGTTTATTAATAAAGTAGGGATTTGTATTAAGGTCAGTAGCATGATTTCAATCAGAAATCAGATGTGCAATCAGCTTGGAAAAAAAATTGTTGTTTATACCTCAAAAGTGATAAAACTCAAGCACAAATCTTTATTCATGATAAGATTGATTAAACAATCCCAATTTTGCATTTTAAATCCACATGATCCAATATGTTTTGAATGTGATAAACTTAACACAATAGAGGAAATATTACCAATTGTTCATCATACCAGCTGTTATCATTCCACTACAATAGCAGATTGATGAGAACTCTTCACCAAGTCAGTAGAAAAAACTTTGCAATTAATTCTCATCATATAAGTTTTAGTTGTCAAGGTATCCACTTGGTACAGAGTCATGCATGGCAAAGTGAGTACAGTTAGTTTGTTTCTTCCAGTGGCATCTAGTGTGGGAGTGAGCTTTTTTTTGTTTCTACAAGTTGTGGGGAACTTACAGTGAGGACATAGATGATTTGTACTTTTTGACTGAGTTTTGTTGGGCCAGATTGGAAAAATTTGGGTGGAGGTTATGACAAGGTCTGTGCATTGTGAAAAAGAGCCTGACCAAACTCAGTCCATCCTGACTAAACATAGTCATAAAGCATGTTATCATATGACCACTAGGCAGGGTTGTAGATAAAAACCAGCAGCCAGCGAAGTATGCCGGCTTCTCTGCAAGGTTTTGCTGGCTACTTTCATTGCTTCAAGAACCTGTACAGAGATGATGTTTATCAGGTCTAAACTTTGGGCTCAATAAAAATACAAATTTGCACTGCCTATCTTTTCTGAAAACATAAAAAGACTTCTGACTGAAGGTTAGTTTAAAAACGCTCTGATGGGGACTAACTTTTTAACAAATCTTGCTGCATTGGTAGGAAAGTACAAACAATATGACATTTTGTCCGCCAAATTGGTTTCAAGACTCACAACTGTTTACTTTTAAAAAAGCTCCAGCAACTTAAAACCTTAAAGAAAACCCTGACTAAGTGTTGAAAATGTCATTTCAACCTTAATGAAACATACTTGCATACAAAAGAAGGGCATATAGTGGACAACTACATGTACTAAAAATATTTTATGTTGAAAAATTTTCCTTTTCTTTCATCAATAAGTTCAGTTTGCTTATTTAAATTGAAGCCCACATATTCAATTTACATTTTCAGAACATTCTAAATAGATATCATGTTAGTTCAGGACTGGACAGCCTTTTTTAGATTGGGTTGCATCAACCTGTCAGGCCTAACACTCGTCAGCTTTCATTATGATTTTTCCTATGGGATTGTGCACATGGACCTGCATTCATCATTTGATAAGATTAATTATTTTTTGTTCCAATTCTTTTCCCAAATTTTATTAATCCTACACAGTAAACATTTCTTTGGTTGAAAACCTGTGATCTTTAAATTTGAAACAGTATTACAGGCTTTGAAATACAGTGTATCTTGGATTATGTTGCTACCAACAACTGTATTCTAAACAAATAACAATGATACTGCTGTTCTAGAGTTTTTGATGAAGAGGGAGGAGGAATCTCAACTCCTTTACACCCAGGAGTGACACAACCAAATTTCTCCCTACAATATCATTATATTTTCATGCAGAAAGGTGATGAAAAGAGAGAACAATATCAACGAGGGGATCTTGTTTGATTGAATACCTACTTCTCAAAATAAAAGGTGTGAGATATGGGCACTAGAGAGTGCAGAGAATTTATCCTTAAATCTTGAAATGTTTTACAGTGTTGAAAGACATTGAACTTCCTACTTTAGGGAGATTATATCATCTTTTCTAGGAGTGATTTGAAATTTGTGAAGTTCCATTTTCAAAGCATCAAATTAAATCATTTGTTGTAACTGTACATTTTGCTGTGTAAGAAAATTATAAATACGATCTGAATAATATTGTAGTCGTGAAGTATTTACCCAAGCCACAAATGGATTTAACTGACATGTTTAATTTGTTCCTTGTGAAGAAAAGGTGTTAGTAGCGCTTTTGAAGTCTTATAAAAAATGCGTTGTTTATCAAAACTTGGAAAGTTTTGAAATTTGCAATGTAACACCATTGTTTTTGCGCGCGACGAAGTCTGTTGCGATAGTAATACTATTTTTAATGCTCATGTAAGTCCCTTTTGAGCTTTTGTCTATGCATAGACACAATATGCAGGCCAACCACTTTCCTTTGTTCCGCTCCCTTCTCGAGTCCGTTCTTCGATTCTCTCTGAGAATCCTAAATAAACCCGTGGAGACAAAGTTCATAGGGAGCGCGGGCTCATTTCCCAAACGCAGCGCTTAACTTCTTTGCTTGTTGTGGTTTATGAAGGAAATAACTCACATCACCTTTCCAAAGTAGGCATAAAGAAGATTGCTAAGAATATTGAATCGTTCAGAAGGGATTAGTAAAAAGTCCGCAGTGAAAACGAATTTTTTTGACAAGAAAAAAAAAATTGGAAAACAACTGGAACACACACTTCTAAAGCGACATAAATAAAAAATCTTTTTACACATGTCAAAACATACCGGCGTTTAGGTTTCGCCTAAACCGATTCTTTTTATAATAATTTTAGTTACCATGGTCACCCCAAAACATGCTCTCATCTGCAAGACAAGTAAAAAACGTTTATACCTTTGTAACGTTGCAATGTGAAGTGAAATGGTGTTCTAGTGGAATGAGTGGCATGATTACTTGAAAACGATTTGCTTCAATTCTTTCGATGGTTCAACTGAATTTTTTTCTCAAACTCTTTGAACTAGAGCCCCTTGATTTGAAGACTTCCTGCTTCACGTTTCGTGTTTAATCCGATATTTTCTCTCATGTCCTATCGTGACCCACAAAAGAAACACAATCCCATAAATTTGTCGCTTAATCGACGGGTGGAGTCAAAACTTGTGTTTTTAGTCCCGTTTGCGTGAATCACGGATATCTGGAATCAAAAACAGCAGGCACTTCGGAAAGCGGAGCCTACTTTCGCATAATTTCGTCATCCCCATGGTATTTATCTGTTTCATTTTCATTTTCTAGGCTATGTGCATCTTCATTCGGTGTCACCTAAGGTTACAACGCCGATAATCAGCATGCATACGCTCTCTACAGTTGCAAAATTTTCAATCGATCTACTTACGATAGATACGATCAGAATTTTTCTCTGAAATTAGTTCATTGTTTTGCCGAATTAATTTATGGAAGCTTTTCAGATATGTTCCTTTGCGTGGAAAAATTCTAAGCTACTTGCGTGACAACGCTATCTGAAATGTGTTTTGTAAAGGCTGGTTTTTATTGACGTTGGAGAGGCCGGACGAATCACTCGAAATCTAGGTCACGACCCCAGTTTGTATCGTTTTTCTGATGATGGCTAAATCGGAGTCGTTATCAGATGCGTAGAAAAATACGATCATGTGAATGTAGATAGGAGGAAATCAGAATAGAAATGAAAATTTGTGTCTGTCGCCTGTGATCTGTGGAAACTAAATTGCTAGAATGGTGAGCTGTCATATTGCCAAAGAACTCACTCTGTGATTGGTTGGTTGTTGCTTGAAAATTTAGTAAGCGTCGAAGTAATTAGCAGAATCTGAAGGAAATGGAACCATTCTGATTATTCCGACTCCAATTCCGTCAACCTTATGATTCCGCTACTACCCCAATTTTTTCACCAGGTCGAAAGCGCTCTTGCGACTGTATCGTAAGTGGAAACAGCTTTTAGAACGGATGAGCAATCGTTGAAAATCAGCGAGCGTCCTCGAAATGTTTCTCCACTCTGAATGAATTCATTTCGGGTTGTTTAGCGCATAACGCTTTCGTAAAATTGTACCTAATAATCCTTTTTTTTTTTGGCCATCTACGAGTACACGAAACCGCCATCGTTGATACGATTTTTTCCCTTAAAGTAACATCCTAATCAATGTTTGCGCTATGAGTACATTTGATTTTTTTCTCGGAGCTGTCAAATTGATCGCAAAGCCAAGGCTGTTAAATCGTTCTCCATGAAAAGTTTCTTTCTTGAATTTTGGGTTGGCTTTGAGATAAGAATTCTGCTTGCTTGTTTTCTTTGACTGCTGACCAAATGAGTGGACGTAACCAATCCCAATGTTACGTGTGTCATCATAAATCTCATGTGGGGAGGGTGGGTGGGGAAGAAGTAGTATACGAACATTGTCAAACAAATTAATTTTTTTCGCCTTTCCTTTGAACTATAAAATGCTCACCTCATTTCTAGTTATTTACTGCCATTTAATTGAAGGAACTTCCATTCAACTGTTTACAAAACGAGATTTGAAAACTTACACGACAAGAGTTAGTTGTTGGAGGGGGGAAATTGTTCATTTCGAAACAAACTTTAAAGAACCATATGTTGAAAGGGCGCGATGTATATGAAGCGAATTAGCCATCATTTTAAGTTTATGACACATGAATTTCCCAGAATTTTTTGTGTAGGACATTTATAAAGTCGAGTTTGTACGGGTCAATCGATAATTTTTTCCTAGGTTCAGCTTGGTCAGTTTTGAAATAGACATTAAGCGAATTGTTGGAAAACGCTTTAAGTTTGTTTGTTTATCTGCGCTTTTATCCGGTTATTGTTAATCTTTTTAAAGTGGGGCTACGTTTCTTTACTTTGAACGATCATATGCTTCATTTTGAGGAGACACGTTTGTTTTATCAAAACATCGTCTAATGTTTTTAGAGAAATGACCTGGCGGATGTTGGCAAAAGTTATCAAAATTTTGCGCGGGACTCGTGGCAGAATGGAAATTATACATAAAAAATTATCCAGCGCTCAACCAGTAAGAAGCTGAAAACTCTTTTATTCGTTGGCACATTCTTGAAGCGGATTCACGGTTACCATTGAGACGTTACAACTCACGTAACAGGGGTTCAAATTTTCAAGCAAGAACAACTTTCTTCACATTGCAAAGCGAGTGCTGCATGATAACGGTTTAATAACGGCAAGATTCGACATGGCTTGCGTTGGAACTCATCAGCTTTGGTCTCCGGTATGTTTCGCGAAAATTCAACTTCCCGCGGAGAGCGCGTTTGCTGCAAATCTTGTTTCTAAATTGCATACTCTTGTATTACCCTATCTGCCTTAAGGGGGAGACGAGAAGTGAGTTTTCGAATTATTTACTCTTTTCTTTCTCGTAGAATGTTGTTAAAGCTACAAACGTCTTCTACAAAGAGCACAATGTCACCCGAGATAAAAGAGGACAAGTTGTCGGTACACGAGGCGGCTTTCGGGGATGCACAGTCTGGTTTACAGGTAAATACAGTAATTATTCACCAAAAACCGACCAAAACACCTTTCAAACGTTTTCTGGCCAGCTGAATCATTTTTCGATATCTTCTTTTCTTTTTTTTTTTACCCTTTTTTTTTTTAAGATTTCTTACTTGAAATCTATCATTGAACTTTTCAAGAGTAATAACTGAATACGTTTGATCGTCGATTTTTCTCAGCCGCTTATGAAACTTTTGGGTTCATACGCTCTAAGGCTTCCTTTCTAAACTTTAAATTGGTTCAAACATTTCACCTTTCGCCTGAGAAGAGGATTAAATGTTTTTTTTTTTAATAGGTCTTTCTGGAGCAGGAAAAACCACAATCAGTATGGCCCTTGAGGATTACTTATGTCGACAAGGTATTCCCTCGTACACGTTGGATGGTGATAACATGAGAACTGGACTCAACCGTAATTTGAGTTTCACCCCAGAAGACCGCGAGGAAAATATCCGTCGTGTCAGTGAAGTTGCCAAGCTGTTTGCTGACTCCGGCATGATCTGTCTTACTGCTTTTATCAGCCCGTACGAGCGGGTAAGATATTTCTTTAATTTACCGGCGTGATTTTAGCTCGGTATTTCACGTTTTTCTCGGGATTAAACCTCGAATTTGGCAAATTATGATCGTGCAATTTTTCTAAAAAGAATTCTTTGCTCGCTTAAGAAAATGTAAGGGAAAAGAGGCTTTTTAGATATTTAATCATTTGAATGCAAGATACTTTGAATGCCCCTAAATTATATCTCATTTGAATGCTAATGATGAACTTTTATTTTTAGACTCTCCCTATTAAAACGTGATATTTTTTCAGGTGTTTTATATTTCTCTTACAGTACTTTGTGATTTCAACTAGCCCCTCGGTTTCTGAATTAACCTTTTACAGTCACTAAGAAAATTTCGCCGCCAAAGTTTGTTAGATCATGGTAACTTTAAGTAATTGGTTAACTTTGACTTTGTCATAATAAATGGTTGTGTGAAGCCGTCTATGAGCATTCTGCATCTATCTATTAAACATATTCTTAAGACTGTGTCAATACCATTATTGAAAATTATCTCACAGGAAATTTACAACTTTTCAAAGAGAATTGTCAAGGACCGAACACTGAACAAACGATTTAAAGTGACTGTGAAACAGACAAACGTGCCTCATTTTCGGCACAATAATTTTAAAATGAGACTCGTCTATGAGCGACTAACATTTCATTAATTGTGGATCAACCGGTTTTTTTCATTGCGAGTACCTTTGCAAAATTATGTGAGGGATCTCTCCTAAATTTATTGCATCGTCGATTTGCAATTTGATTTGCCCAGCTATATAAAGATATACTCTAAGTAAAGTGATTTCCCTTTTTACTCGAGGTTAGATGGTCATTAAAATGACGCGCTAATTATAATGTGACCAGAATGGAAATTCCGAAGTGAAACAAGGCCGTCTCCTGACAGCACTAAGTTATTTCTTTCTTAACGTGCCCACCTCATACTAGTTCAAAAAGGCATGAAATAAGTTCGTCTTATGAACGCAAACGCAAGCTTTATAATTCTTTTCATACTTTCGCCTCTTCGTTTATAATTTTCACCTTAACGAGTGCTTTATACGTGGCATTGCTACCAAGTTATAGTGACGAGATTCATTTGAACAGCTCCTATTGTTAACTTTAAAATTTGCATAATACTCTTTGCTCCGGAAGTGAATCGTGGGCGTCTCTCCCGAAGAACCGAAAACTTCTCGGGTCCGAAAATCCACCTGTCAAATATGCAAAATAACTTTCGGATGATTCTCGAAGCCACACACGAAAATTTCGGATCCAAGACGATGACCCAAAACGGGCCCCGAGAAGTTTTAGGGAGCAATAAGTTTTGGGTCTATTGAGAAACTCACGTCGGAACACATCACGCGGCAAGTTGTTGGGATACGTCGCGGAGACAAAAATTAGTTTTCTGTAGCATGGAGAATTATTGTGATAATCTTTTCGCCTTAGGGCTGCGAGATGCAACCGTGTGGTTTTGATAGCTTGCTCAGATACTTTGCGAGGCAAAACGATATACACCGTTGAGCGGGAAAGTAGGTTTTTAAATAAGAATTTTTCCTAATGAATGACTCGCAAAACAAGCAGAGAACTCCAGAATTAATTAGAGCACTTTTCACACTATGATGTAAAATCTAGTGGAATTGCGTCCACAACTCACCGAGCAGTGAAATTTTTGTCTCATTTATTAGTAACCCAAATGATACCGCGTAATTTAACATGATTTATCGTCTTTTTATTCTGATACACAAGCTTTCAAAAAATTTTGTTTCTCAGGACCGTGAGAAAGCTCGCAAGTTGCACGAAGATGCCGGTCTGCCATTCTTTGAGATTTTTGTGAACACTCCTTTGGAAACCTGTGAAAAGAGAGATGTCAAGGGATTGTACAAGAAAGCCAGAGCCGGCCAGATTAAAGGTTCTGTCAAACACTTTAGAGTCTTTCCTTAGTCGACTTCTTCGCTAACAATTTCTTCCTTTTATGCCGTTTCACGTCTGACCGGATTGACTGGTTTCTATTTTAGGTTTTACTGGTATTGACTCAGCGTATGAGCCTCCAAGCAAACCCGAACTGAATTTGAAATCAGGAGAAGTACCTGTAGACGATTGTGTTCAAGAAGTTATCAAACTCCTTGCAGACAGGGTGAGTAGTTAAAAAGCGGTTTTGATAAACAGTAAAAACTTGAACAAGCTATTTTGTAGAGACAAACTCCAAGAGGCAAAAAATAACTTGCCTGAGAAAAGTCCTGTGCAGTGAAGTTTCATCTTGAGATGAAAACTCTGGTACACATCGATTGCGATAGGTTGAACGTGTAAAATCTTCACTATGACTGATTAAGAATTTAACACCTTGTCAACAAAACAGTGAATGACGTTTCGACGGCCTGAAGAGAAGTTGTTATAGAAGGCATTTGATTATGATTTCAACTGAGGACTTCCTGACCCGGATGATCGGAACACCTGATCAAATATATGTTTCTTTTCTCCAGGGGATCTTGCCATATGCAGCTTACAGCGGTATCAAAGAACTGTTTGTTCCTGAAGAAAAAGTCGAAGAAGCCAAGAAGGAAGCAGAGGAACTACCTTCTGTTGAGCTAACAAAGGTTGGTCCTGCTTTAGTTAGGATCCATTGCGATTGAATGTCCCAAAACCAAAACCTAAAGAAAAAGCAACAAACAGCCTCACTCGCGAGAAACGCGTGAGGGAATAAGTCGCAGTTTGGTTTTAGATTTGAATCTAAGTGGTTGAGAGGGTGGGACAGGTTTTGTTGACCGGTAGCCAGGTGAAGTAGAGAAAACCAATGCTATAGAGGAATGCCATTGACAGTTTATTGAAAATTACTTTAACATAAAATTAATTTCACGACATTAGTTGTGTTAAAAATGGTCATATCTTCACAGCTGGATCTGCAGTGGGTACAAGTTCTTTCTGAGGGCTGGGCTACGCCTCTGAAAGGTTTTATGAGGGAGCGTGAATTTTTGCAGTGTCAGCATTTTGGACTCCTTCTAGACGGTGAGCGTTTCTTTTTAGAATCTTTCTCCTGAAATTTTCATTTTGAGACTCAGACACGCAGCTGCTTTTCTTCAAGGCGAGGAACTTTTTCTCATTTTTCTCTGAGTGGAACGTTTTTGCTCAAAGGTAGCTGACCAATTTGTCTCCATGTCTTCGTTGCAGCGGCTCTTCAGTAAAAAAAACGGCTGTAGATGTTATATTTTCCCACCAAAATGATAATTGTAGGTTGTTTGTCTCACGTGATCTGTTTTCTTGTAGAGGGCGTGGTCAATCAGTCTATTCCTATCGTGCTCCCTATTCAGACTGCTGACAAAGAGAGACTGGAGGATAAAAAAGCCTTAGCTCTCCGATACGAAGGAAAACCAGTAGCTATCCTTAGAGATCCAGAATTCTACCCCCACCGCAAAGAAGAACGATCGGCCCGTCAATTTGGAATAACGCATCAAGGACACCCTTACATTAAGGTACCCTAACATTAAGATTCCCTTACATTAAAGTACCCTCACATCAAGTACCCGTTACATGTGTTCTCACGAAATTTTGGCTCGTTAAAGTCGGTCTATTTGAATGAGAAAGTCGAAGATCATCGCAAATTGAAAGGAGATTCAATATTTAATTTTATTCAATTTTATTTATAGATGATTCATGAAGGTGGTGATTGGTTTGTCGGAGGAGAATTAGAGGCACTGGAAAGAATCAAATGGAACGATGGACTCGACGAATACCGAAAGACTCCGAATGAACTCCGAGCTGAATTCCGACGACGCGGTGCCGACGCTGTGTTTGCTTTTCAACTTCGTAATCCAGTACATAATGGACATGCGTTACTAATGCAGGTAGGGAAAAAAACTATTTACCATTTTTATGACCTCGCGCAGACCAGAGCAAACGAATACAAGAGGAGTTTTCTACATGTTAGGAGGTTGTAGACTATAAACATTAGAAGTTAGAGCAACATCTGAAAAATTTTGTGAAAAGACTAGACTCTCCTCAACTCTGTCGACACAATTGCTACAGGTAGAAGAGTAACAATAAAAAGTATTCGTTAAATAGGAAAAACTGATAACCATTCCATTCGATTCCTTGAAATCAAAATTTTTATTTCGTTTACCTTCCCCTCAGGACACCCGACAGAAGTTAGTTGACAGAGGATTTAAAAAGCCAGTGTTATTACTGCATCCCTTGGGAGGGTGGACTAAGCAAGATGACGTTCCTTTACCAGTGCGAATGGCGCAACATCATGCTGTAATGGAAGAGGGTGTACTGGACCCTGAAAACACAGTTATAGCTATATTTCCTTCACCTATGATGTACGCTGGTCCTACAGAGGTGGGTATTTTGACACGGCTGGAAACTCTCATGATGAGGCACGTTTTAGCTGAATTCTGGTGGCGGTGCCAACTCTCACCGGAAATACCTGGAGATGTGCTTGGTCTTCAAACTCAAAACCAATCTTTTGCGCAGCGTAAATTGCAACGTCCGTTTCATGTTGAGTAGGCCGAACACGCACTTTGACTTGTTTTTTTTTATTTTTATTTTCGATCTATAGAGCATACAAATCTTGTACGGAATTTAAAGAACTCTTTTTTTCGTGATGAAGGGCCAAGCCCGAAACGAGAGTACTTCTCACAAAGTTTCACTTTTTTGTTATAGGTTCAATGGCATGCAAAGGCGCGTGTAGCAGCTGGGGCAAATTTCTTTATTGTAGGACGGGATCCAGCAGGAATGCCCCATCCAGATCCTAATCCAAAACGGGACCTTTATGATCATTCACATGGGAGAAAGGTATGTCGTCAAGGGAGGGAGATGGGAGCAGTTGGGGGAGAGAAAAAGGTCTCTGAACCAAGTCTTGCGAGATATCTACATCGTAACTACCCTTGTTTCGATGTTCTGAGTAAAAATAATGTACTGACAGAAAACTTGGTTCATAACAGACATCCAAGGAAACAGAATTCCGTTTATTTTTCAAAAGCTGAGAGTAGCGTTTTTGGAATGACCAGTAGTATGTATCCCAGTCAGAGTCTCCGTCATCTCATTTTCTCTTGATTGATCATGTGACGCGCATGATCCTAGAGCATGGCCTTCTGGTGAACTCATCATGCACCATGAGGTTCCCGGTTTACTTGAAGTGGTGGGTTCCATCTATCCCAGGGACTTAGATTTTAGTAAATAAATTGAACATCATCCTTCAGCCTTTATGATACGAAGCTCAAATACTCTTTCGTTTCTTTTCTAGGTTTTAACTATGTCACCGGGTCTTACACAACTAGAGATAGTTCCTTTCCGTGTGGCAGCTTACAATACCAAAGATAGAAGGATGGAGTTCTTTGATCCTGAGCGAAAAGAAGAATTTGACTTCATATCTGGTACACGCATGCGTGCATTGGCAAGGTCAGGAGAGGAACCTCCAGATGGTTTTATGGCACCAAAAGCGTGGCAGATTCTGTCCAATTACTATCGTTCCCTCAACAAGAATTAATAAATGGGTCATTTACACTTAATGAACGGTAGCACCCTGCATTACACTACAAGTTCAGTAATTACATTAACGTTTAAGTTTACTCTTTTAAGTCAAAGCAGGAAATGATTTTAAGTTTGCCGTGAATCGATTTGAAACCTACCAGAGAGAGAATTTGGTAGGCTAACTATTGAAAGAAAATCTAGGAAAGCAAAATTTCTTACACTTATGTTCACTTACACCAGAAGTCCTCCTGCTTTGGTATAGACACCTTTGTAGCAATCATTTTCTTTCAGTGTTGGGGTGATCGTGAAATTTCTAGATATGTGTTTTTAATCAGCCCTCTTCAAATCGATTTGCGTCAGACTTAAGATTCTCAAAGAACGTCTCCACTGTCAGTGAAGTTGCCATCATCATACGACGAGGAACTTTTCCTTTGGTATAGTAGAATAAATCAGTAGTCCTATACTTCCCATACAGTGACTTTCGTTTGCGCTGAATTTTTAAAGCTCTTTAAATTAGGTATAATTGTTATAAAGTTACTCGTAGGTATTGAAATTAATTTTTTAAAAATTTTTACAGAGATATTTCGTGGTAAATTCGTTGCCAAAATATCTTGATAACTTTACGATGTCTTACTAAATTTGAAGTAATGTTCAATTTTTTCATCTCGCCTCAGATGATCAAGTTTTCTTTTGTCTCTTGATGACTTCATCACTGTTAGTGGTTTGCACTCCACCCACCCCTCCCTACTGAGTCATGTCTCGGTTTTTATTTTAGAGAACGATCGCCGGTGTACGACAGTATTGTATTCTTTATATCCAGTTGTTTTTTCTACAAGCAGCCCAAGTTCGATATGTTCGACAGATGCACGGTCAGCTTTCTATTTTTGAGGTCAAATTCCGGATAGTTGTTTGGTTTCTAAACACATACATCTTCTCCAAGCAGATCTCTCTATTTCCACTGTTGCGCAATAACAGTATAACACACATGTAGTCAAACATCGAGCTTGGGCTACCTTTGATTTTATGAGGACATTAAGGGTACATCAGTTGTGATTCTTACTAGTAACTCTTAAACCAGGCTTATTGAGGGTAAATATGAGTTGCCACCTTGTGGAATTGACTCAACTTTTTCTTCTCTGATAGAACAGAGTTCGTGCGCGCAGATAGGGTTTCACCGAGTGCGTCCTGTCAGCTGATATTACATTCAAGTTTCCTGCTTGCACTGTAGTAGAGTGGGATTAATCCAGAAATAAAATCATTAACCAACGAAGACATAAAACTGTGGTTGTTAAGTGTTTGAGAAAGCAATGTCAGAGGTATTCGTCTACTTTTTAAAGAAAATTATAAGACAAACAAGAAGACAAACGAATTACCAAGGGCATCATATTTCCACTTAGAGGTTACTATTAAGCGAACAGCGTGCGAATAACCTTTGGCAAAAGGAGGTATATGATCAAGGGAAGGAAAGCGCTAAAAACGTAGGCGATCTCTTTCCGTGCAAGCACACATTGATGCTAAAGCGTCTACAGACTGGGTGTTATGAAACAAAACATTGAAATGAAAAGTATTTTCTGAATCAAGAGTTAGGAAGAGGTTTTTGACGAGCCAGTTGGAACACAACGGCTTAAACCAAGGGAACACGCGAGTGAACCAGGAGCGACTATGTCGACCGTTTTTAGTTTGACACCTGATTGAGAGAGACGGTGGTTCGGGTTGAATCTCGACCGATCAAAAACCGTAGTAAAGGAAATTGACGTAAAACTGAACATCTTTAGAAGCTTATTCTCAAATTCATCTATTTTACGCAACATAAGATTACCCCGGAATCTTAAGCCCTTGTTATTTCGATCCATTGTCGCTAGCTTCTAAACGCTTTGAGTCAACAAGACTCTCCAAACAACACATTGTGCGAAATGAACAAATAAATACCGAGACTTGCTTGAATGTTCGTTGGATTTTAATAGCCGTGATTGAATAGCCGTGCTACTTACTATTACTGATATGCTTGAGATATTCGCAATGCGCTTTATAGACTCTAAATTTAATGAAAGTGTCCCTCACTTTGGAGTTTCAAAAGTTGCTTAATTTATCCTTTTGAGTCTTTGAGATCTACGTTTTCGATATTTGAGCATTTTCGCACCCTCGCTAATATTCTCAATCGCGAGAATTAAAGCCATCTGCAGCTACGAAAAAGTAAAAGCGCTAAATTAATATGAAGCGTTAAGTTACCTAAACTACTGTGCCAACGTTCATAACTCTAACACAAATTCTTTCTGACGCAGTCTCACATAAAGCCTCTAAAATTCATTCGGTAAATTTGTTTCCTTTCACGTTGAGCCTTTTCCATTTTAATCCGTGGATACGTTTTATTGATTAGATAGCTATCGTATGTTAAGACTGATATTTGCGTGAGCAAACTTATACTAATACGTTACTACGGAATTCAAGTCATCGCTTTCATTAGTAGATGTGGCGCGGTGCTAGTGAAGGGGTCTCGGGTAGGTGCTCAGCGGTAAATACGGCGACTTAACGCCCTGAAAAAAAGAACCGGAAAACAACATTTAATCAAAAAGGTATCATAAACCTTACTTTGAAACTCGGGAAACCGGAAATATTTATGGATCGTGATTGAATTCCAATCTAATTTAAAAAATTCCTAATTACAACTCAGCGCATTATAAACTTGTCAGAATGTCCATGGTTTTCCAAGGACCACAGTTGAACAAATACTAACAGGTTCCCAGCTAAAGTAATCGTGATTCATTGATAAATCGACAGATGAATAGACAGTCCTATCGAGAAACAGAATAAAGGCCAGACGACAGTCAGATAAACTGACAGACTGATGGAAGGTCACACGAACGGGTAATGATACAGACAGTAACAAAGACAGGCTAACAGACCGATAGATAGACTACGAGCACTCCCTCTTTTTCAGTAAAGTCCGTAGCGAGACCAAAAAAAAAAAAAATCAGTGCTATTCGAGCGCCTCAATCCCAGAGCTCCTCGTGGTGCGACAACATCAATTTTTCTTCACTAATTTTGGTTGACTCGCGCGACGGACTTCCCGAAAAGGAGGGACTACTCGTAGTCTAGCCAACAGACTAATTGACGGGAAGAATGGACGGTGAGTTAGTCGATGGACATCTAAAAAAGCAGAAATATAAAGGAAGAAATGGTTTTGAAGTATTAAAAAAAAATACCCTTACCTAAACGTAATCGAGCTGAAAACATAATAAAAGAGAAACCAGTTAGTGTGTTTTTCTTTAACATGAACATCTAAGATAACCGTTAAGTGCGATAGAAGATCAGAAGAAGTTAACTTAAGGTATAGGGTATACTGCTAAAATGTTGGCATTAGCCCTGGAAATACATTTGGAACTTTAAATTTTGACTGACTGGCTATACAAATGACTAAATCTTGGAGCGCGTAAATGACAACATTTTGTGCATACACGCCTTTTTGTGCTACAGTTTCTTTGGAAACTTACCCTATTTATTACCAGTGTAAAATGGTTAGTTTTTGGTGATGTAAACGCATGTTTTTCAAATCCATCTGAATTTTGTGAATTGGAGACTAGCTGTTGTAGATAGCTCGTTAAAATAAGCAATGAAGCGAAGAAGAGAGAAAGAACTGAAGAAAAAAAGGGAGATTTTAAGAGTTTCAACAGGAAAAAATTTTACCTTCTGTTCTGATCTATAGGTGATTTCATATTTAGAGATCTTTTTTGATAATGTTTGGCTTTACATGGTTATGAATAATGACTTCTTTTTTTTCGACACGGTAGTAAAACTTTACCCTAGTGACTCCCAGTGCCTCTGTCCATCCCGGGGTCAGTTGGCGTAAATACCGGCCTTCTGTCAGGGAAACGTGGCAAATTGCCAAAGGAAGAGGGGGAATGCCTGAGATGAACGAACATCCCACTCAGGAGAAGTGAACATACTGAAATTATTTTGAGATAGAGCATGCAAGACTTGGTGCTCACCTTGGCAAACTCTCTGCCTGAAAATTTTTGCTTGGCCTGGGTTCTGTAGTTCTTCGAAGGACTCTATGACGTACACATAGTTATCTTGTCCGGCGATCTCCAACAGTTCACGGGCATCCACAACATTCCTCTTGCCAACTCCAATAGCAACCATCTGGACTCCCATATTTCTTAGAGGCTTAGCGGCTAATCCTAGAGGGGTGTAGGAGCCTGTCTTGGTCTGTTTACCGTCCGTAATGACAAAAGCCATCTTGAAGAAAAGAGGAGAGAAGTGTAAGGAAGAATGAAAAGAAATTATTGTCGTTTGCCCAGTGGTTCGCGACGTTTAGACTGCATACTGCTGGATGAGCTATGAGATTCATCGTTTTTGCATCACTTTATATAGCAAGATGTTCAACCGTAATTAATTAACTTTCTACGGAGCTTGCTAAAGCCGAAGTGAAACAATCCCAGATAACTTTTAACACTTAGTTGAAAATGTAACGTCCTCTAAGAAGATCACTTCTTCTCTAAGAAGGTCACTGACTAGAAAGGAAATATTCTTCACCAAAGAATTTTGCGAATAACTCGATGTCTTTACCGCCTCTGACAGCACCATATCTCCCCTTCAGCGTAACGTGTGATTGCAGCGTCGAGATTTAAATAAACATAATTTACTGTTAAAGTTGTCAAACTACGCATAATGTGGTGATTTACATCGCTGTTCTGAAGAGGAAAGGTAAGAAATGTATAACTGATGAAAATACTCAGGCAGAATTATTGTTCTGCTCAGTTATCTTTTATTTCGGTACGTCGGTTGACAATAATCCTTTCAGTCACCGTCAAGTCCTTCTTTGTTCTAAAGGAACGGAAATCAATTAAATACCTTCGGTACGTTTGATCTCATGCCTCGCCTTGTGGTAAATATGTCTAAAGCGGCTGTGTCTAAAGCCTTGTCTATGTAAGTCCGTCCTTTTTGCCACCGCAATCCGTCCAAAACATTGTTGACCTCTGCCACGTTAAGTCTGTCTCCTTGGAGTGTGTTGAAGCGCAGGACAGTTTCGGGATTAGTGCTGTAAGTGATCACAGCAACATGGGTGGTGGAAGGTCCTATGTCCAGTTTGCTGACCATTCTCTTCAGGAATCGTTTTGTTCGTTCCCAGTTCGTCTTACCAATGCTTCCAGAGGAGTCCACTATAAAGGCGATATCTGCCGCTTTTCTACATTCGGGTACTATGAAATGCACAAACCATGAATAAAAACGCATTTTACTTTTTCTTATGGCTTTTAGATTTTAGCTCCAAAGTTTAGGAAAAAAGCACTCCCCTACCCTTTATTCTTGAATACCAGCCTCGCAAAACTATACGACTCAACCACCTTCACTACTCAAAGATCATTTATTGCACACCAACGTTAGAGAAGGTTCAAAGGAAAGTAATATGTTTCAGATCGTTTCACGAAAGTCCAAAATTCTAGCTAATGAGTCCTTAACCCATTTAACGCCAAAAAGAGAAAGATATTGAGAGCCAAAGGTTTGAGGCTTTGGCTCCTTTGTTGCTATGTATACCTAAGTACGGATTGCGATGCACATAAAGATTGTCATTATATTAAGATTTTAACTCACCACATGGTGACCTCCTGGCAACACTAATTGGAGTTGAAGTGAGACACGCCTGTCTCTTCGTAAAGCACTCACTTGTGTCTTGTACATCATCAGAAGCACATACTGGACTGGACGTAGCAGGGCAGGTTGGACAAATACACTCTGATTGACCGTCAACCACTCTACAACCGATGTTGTGAGGTGCCTTACAGGGAAAGATCTCACAAGCATCTGTCAAAAATATGACAAGAGTATGAAATATGGGCTTGAATGGAAACGTAGTAGATCCGAATAAAGAGGTCAGGGTTTGCGTTTTGAGGTCATTTATCAAAAGTTTTGGCAACTTTGCAAGCCAAATGCCACAGCCTAAAGTCTAAAGAATATGAGTCTCAAACTGTCAAGATCTCAATCTTGAATGTAAACGCCAACAAAAAAAAAAAGATTCTTGGAACAAGTAGCTACCGGGACACTAACGGGCCACAGGATTCATAGTTTTGCGTTCGTCGGGAAAGACCAACCACACTACCTCTTCTTAGGTTTGTTCCACAATCGGAGCAAATAATTTAAATAATGAAATATGGCTGATATTGGAAAAGAAACACCCGTCTAGATATTTTTCGTAACCTTCTAAAAATAAAAAATAAAGGTCCTATCTATCTTTTAAAGCTTAAATTTCAAGAGAAATCAATACTTTTTAAAAATAACTTTTTAATGTATTAACAATGATTGGTTAAGTGAATTTATCATAAGTGGATAGATGGTCTTTGTTATCTGAATGAAAGCAAAAGACTGGTTCGAGCTACTACGTACTGTCACATGTTTAGTATTCCGCCATGTTGTATGTTCTGCAAATTTTACAACGAGAGAATTCTCGATATACAACGGAAAAAAGGAATACTTTATAGAGTTCTATTTTGCGAAAAACGTTAATTTACCATTCGTTAGAAAAAAAGACTGACAGTGATAAAGAGGTAATGAGTTCCTTTCGCTTTTTTAGTTACCATTTTTAGAGCACTGTCGAGTATAGAGAAATTTTCCGAATCTGTATTTATTGTAGATGTATTATTTTCTCTGTTTATCTGGTTGTGTCAGAAATAGAATGAAAATATCATTGATTTCGGCCAGAACCTAACATGTTAGAAGCTTTCATGCAATTCAAAACTCACCTTTAGCTGAGGCTGAAAGAGACAAGGAGAAAAAAAAGTCAGGTAAGTATAACGATGTGATAAAGATGCTCAAGGAACGCGGAGAGGGAAGACCTCTTTTGGATGTACTAGAACACTTACTTGGACATGTCTTTTCCACAATTTGCTTGACAACTGACTCCAGCTCGTTAAATCCAGGAGAAGTAAACACGTTGTCGTTGGAGCTTGCAATCTGACGCAGCTGGCTAGTGTCAACGCCTGATCCGATGCCTAAGGCGAACACTTCCACTCCCTTGTCTTTGATTCCTTTCGAAGCTTGATCCAAAGGTGTATATGCCTTGGTGGTGGTCTGCTGTCCATCAGTTATGACTATGGCAACCTAATGGAGAACAAAAGTTTACACAAAAACGCAAGTCGGCGGAGAATTGAATCTACAGCCAAAATAATATTATGCCTTTAGAGAGTCAAAGGTACAGGATTCACAGGATTAACTGGTTTTTGTTTTTTTTTAAGAATAATATAAGTAAAGGCGATACCAAAAAGATTGCACGTTGCAGTAAAATCCAATGAAAGAAATGGAAAGCTTTAGAGTAGTTAACAATTTTGTTGTATGTCTTTTGTGGAATAAACAAATTTGAAATACCTGAGGTACACTGGGCCTCATTCCTGCGCTTGTCACAAACACTTGTTCATCTGCCATTTTCAAGCCTTTGTCGATGTATGTAAAGCCTCTCTGAAATGCGATCTTATCGATCCGCTTTCCATATTCTTTGGCAGTAATCTGCGCCCCGGACACGGAGTCGAAGGCTATTTCAAGCTTGGCATTGTTACTGTAGGCGATTACTGCTACATGGGTACCATCTGGACCAACATTAAAAGCACTAATGATGTTCTTCAAGAAACCCAACATCAGCGGCCATCTTCGACGACCAATACTTCCCGATGAATCCACGATAAATGCTACATCCGCCGTGGCCTTGCACGCTGCCGGGGTTCAATTAAAAAAAAAGGAAGAATAGCATGACAAAATAGCTAGACAGGAAAAAACCTATTGTGTATCACTGTTAAATGACATATGTGTGGTTTGAGTTTACTTACGTTCAGGTGTTGGCAGTGGCGTCGGTGTTGTTAATGGAGGTGGTACTGAAAGGGAAGAAAACGAGTTGGTCAAGTTGGAACATTTCTCACATTCCTCTTTCTACTGTATCGTTTACAACCCTACAGCCAAGACTGTATGGAGCAAAACAATTGATCGTCTTGTATGGATCAGGAGGTTTAGCTGAGAAAGTACAACAGCACAAAACACGTTGTTTGAAGGTATAGAAAGCAAACAAAAATCAGACTGAAATTTGCACAAGTAAGAAGAAGAATCCAAAATAGAAAACGGTTTGGTATTTAAACCGACGGTTATCCTCATATAAAGGGATGGAGTATGAGACTTTTGAAGCCCACAGAAGGTAACGTCTTAAGGTCCAGAGTATAGGTGCTTTTCCAGCACCTATTCCTATCCAGACCGCTTTTGGATGTACTAAGACACTTACTTGGACATGTCTTTTCCACAATTTGCTTGACAACTGACTCCAGCTCGTTAAATCCAGGAGAAGTAAACACGTTGTCGTTGGAGCTTGCAATCTGACGCAGCTGGCTAGTGTCAACGCCTGATCCGATGCCTAAGGCGAACACTTCCACTCCCTTGTCTTTGATTCCTTTGGACGCTTGATCCAAAGGTGTATACGCCTTAGTAGTGGTCTGCTGTCCATCAGTTATGACTATGGCAACCTAATCGAGAGTAAAATTTTACACAAAAACGCAAGTCGGGGGAGAATTGAAACTATAGCCAAAATAATATTATGCCTTTAGAGAGTCAAAGGTACAGGATTCACAGGATTAACTCTTTTTTTTTTCCTTTAGAATTAACGTAAGTAAAGGCGTTACCAAAGAGATAAGGCAGTGCAATACAATCGAATCTATGTTATAGACGAGCCTAAAGTATTTGACAATTTTGTTGTATGTCTTTTGCGGAAGAAACAGTGCTTAAATACCTGTGGTATATTGGGCCTCATTCCTGCACTTGTTACGAACACTTGTTCATCTGCCATTTTCAAGCCTTTGTCGATGTATGTAAAGCCTCTCTGAA